CAGTGTTCATGGTGAGTTTTGTGCCGCTTTGAATTTGCCGGTTTTGACCCAGCTAATCTTCACCCTAGGGTTTTTCATTCTGCCTTCAAATTGGCCGCTCTCTAATGCCCATTGCACCTTTTCTGAGTCTGTCAAAGGAATCCATTGAATCTCAATCTCCTTGATCTGCCGACAGATTCCTATTTTTCTTTCACCCGGTCTCCCCCTGGCTGGGAATTCTCAATTTTTTTGTCAAACTTCAAATCTCTTCCGTCAACACTCGGAAATTGACCAGGGGATGTTTCCGCTTTTCAATTGACAACAAATTTGTAACTTTGGGTGCATTTTTTTTTTATTTCTTAATTGGTGCCTAACTTAGGAGTGTAAGCAGCTGCCAGAACATTTACGGAGGTTTTCAGAATTAAATGGGTTTGAAGTTATTTTAGTTGAGTTGTTGAGGAGTTCAAGACTCTGCATTTTCTATTCTTCCATGGCCTGTTTAAAGTTGCTCTGATAGTACATGTACATTGAACTCACTTATATGTCTGCAGTGGTGTAAGCCAACCCTCCAACTCAGAGACTTTTCGAAAACAAGGTCTAACAAAAACATGTGATTCATTTGTTTGATGTTTGAAGTTGTGAAATCTCACATTTGAGTTTATGTTTGGCAAAATATACTTCCTTACAGCATGTTCAGCATTCAGGGGAAAAACCCATTCTTCTTCTTCTTGCGTACGCTTCTGTACAATACTTAACATCAAATACAATAATATATACAAATGTACCACACAAACACGAAAAACGCATTGATGCTTAGTGAATGTTTCTTTCTTAGAAATGGAGTCTGTTTGCCAGGGTGTTTTTCCTGAACAAAAAGCTGAATTGACTCCAGGTAAACCAAACTGTAAATTGATGCAAAGCTCAATGACACGAGACATCTCTTTTATTTGTACAAACCACATAGGTGTCGGTTGATGAGTCTATTTTAGATCTAAAGTTTAATGCACTTTAGATAGTCGTACAAGAAGAATCCTCCCTTAAAAAAAGTAGAACAAGTTACTTTCAAGTACAGAACAAGCGGACTGCTCACAACAGAACCTTTGAAGGTTTGCAAACCGACCCCACCTCATCCACAAAAGCTCAATACAGACACGACCAGGCGGAACTTAGCTGTCTTTGTGGAACTCGGATTATGAGTTTCAGAGGAAAGGTTCTGCTCCAGTGGAGTAGAGCAGATCGATTGTTCCATCAACCTGGGACAGGAACACTGCTGATAGTTCTGCATTGTGCTTGGTTACCAATAGTCTTGGTCCAAGCTGGATTTGAAATTTTTTTTCCCCCCTAAAAGTAATACAGCTGATCCCTGACAAGCGTAGAAGTGGCACTACAGAGATAAAGATCTCGATCAACAACATGAATCAAATCCAGTCTTGGGAATTTGGGCAGTGCTACCCGGTGAAATGTTAGCATACCTCTGCACTGTATTAAGCTGATGCACAGACAGGTGGTAGGCCTTTATTCGCAGAGTTTTCTTGATAGAGCTGCTGAAAGTCCCAAGACTTGACTGGATTCATCTAGTTGATAGAGACCTTTCCCCGAGACCTTTACCCTGAGGTTTATGGCAAGGGGAAGGGGGTAGCTGTGATAGCTAGTATGGTCATTTCTTTACAACTCTTGTCCCTGCCTAGGCTTGGGGAAACATAAATATGCAAACCAGGGTGGGAGAGGTTGGAAGGATCCCTGCATGCAAAAGATTCATTCTAAGACTCATTCTCTTTCTGAAGAGATCACAGCAAACTTTGATTTACTTACATTGTTTTCACGCCTAGAGCTAGATGTACATTAGGGGTTCCTGTTGCCACGTAACACACTTCAGATCCATCTTAGATTTTCAAGGATGTCTTGTTAATGTTGAATTCTCTACAAGAAACATAATGTCTAGAGCACATTGATTCTTGTAAATGTTTGCGAGCAAACTGGGTCGGCTAAAACAACTATTGTATTTTGCCCGCAGCATTTGTCTTTTGTAGAACACCAGTTCACTTTTTAGAAATGTCTCTTTCCACTAGCAAACCTTAAATATAGGTCTGTTTTGCAATTAAAATATATATGAAATAAAATAGATGTAGCACAGCTTTACTTGCATCATAATTTTGTTCTCTACCCCTGTTAAGAGGTACATGTATACAGATCAAACATTCGTGGGAAAGCTCTTGAATTTAGTGATTGCTTTTAGAAATGAATTTACTTAAATAAAGTGCCTTATAGCTGCACTTTTCCCAAACCAATGATCTGTTGATACCATGGGTCCTCCATGAACACCTACACGACAGGTTCAACTGTAAAAATTTGAAGGACGCTTCAATAATGAAAACTTTAACAAATGTCATCATGTGTAAAAAACAATAGCATGCACCATTGATCTCTACTCTTACTTTTTTTGGAAACGTAAACGGGGCTGTAATTTCAAAAGTTGAACCCTGAGCAGTGTATTTCACACTGGTTCAACCATGAAGGCCACTTCCTGTACTTTTGCTCACCTTTTTTTACCTATTTTTTTCCAAAGAATGGAATACACGAATTGAAACTCGCATCCGTTGTAATGGTTTAAGAATAAATATATTGAGGTGGGTTAAGTACATGTACATGTATGTAGTTACCTGTATGTTTTTTTAGCAATGCTAGTTTGAAGTTAATCCATTTCTTTACCAGGTACAAAAACACCAATTCATGAATATAATGTTTAACAAAACAGTCCCCTGTTCTCAAATGTAATTTATCGGTAAACCATTGACATTTATTGCCTTTAAATTGTTTTATAGCGATACTATTAACCCTGCCACTAACCTGTGAATAAGGCTTGCAAGTACGAAAAAAATAATGCCATCACATACTCATGTGAATATATTTTGAGGTTGTTGAACTCCACGTTGACATTTCAGGCTGATACGTAGTCTTCTGAAGGTTGGCAGTGTAAGAAAATCTCAGATTTTTATCGGTTTGGCCCCAAGCTGCAAGCGGATAAGCAAGAGTCAACAGTTGAAGCGTGATAGAATTCGCCGGTGCATTGAAAACGATATTACGGCATTCGCTATTCTTTGCGCAGTTCACTGTAGCATGTCTTGTTGATGTTTTTGTTCTTCTTCTGTAAATGCAGCAAACCGGTAATTTCTTTTCAGAAGAATAAATTGAAATGCTATATTAAACTTGTTTTTGTGTGGTTGACATTTAGCCATACTGTCAACATGTTTTTGTAGTAGTGGACTTAAAATTACGATGTACATGGAAGGTTTAGCTCTACTGAATCGTAAAATTGGTTGTTTTCAGGAAGCGTTTACGTACATGCATTTATAGAAATCAAAACTATGATAGTCACAAGTGGTGAAATAGAGATCCAAGTTTGTTGCTGGAGTTCTAATTTTTAGTGAAATGAGTCAGATACCCTGTGCACTTGAGAATAATGTAATTGGAACTCAGCATAAGACCTTTCTTCCATTGTTAAATTTAGGTTGAAACCCCCCCCCCCCTTCCCCCAAAAACCTATAAACTAAAGTTGCACAAAAAGAAATATGTGTATGTTGTATACAATTTGATTGTTAGTTTTGATGTGCATGCATAAATGGTATGTGGCGCCGCACGAATTGCTTATTTCTTTAGGTGTTGCTTATTTTCAATCAAATTTAAGACTAGAGTTGAAGTCAAGGTAAAAAGGATTTAATCCAGGATGTCCCAAGATGGAATTGCCTCTGGCATGTGACATTATAAGAAGCAACACGGACAGTGATTGATAATAAATATTCACACGTGAATCTTGTCCTAATCTCTGTTTTCCCTTGACCTGTGATAAATGTGTTGCAGAGTATTTATGGGAGACAGATGAAAATAGAAAAGCCTTGTGGTTTTTAATGGAATATTTAATTAAAAGTAGTGGTCTTTGAGCGTTTTGGTACTGTCAAGAAAAATCCCTTAAAGCATTTGTGGTTTTGTGAAGAACGGTATAATTTGATATTTGGGACAGTATGCCCTGTAAATCAAGAAATATGATCTTTAAATTTCAATAGTCGTTTTTGCATTTTGTTTACTCTTTGGTGTTTTGTCAATGACAAATTTGATGATTTTCTTTCTTCAATACTCGCCTGGCGTCATATATCTGAGAAATGTCCAAGGTTGCCATTATTGAAATTTAATTCAATTTTGTTGCGGCATCTTCATTGATTAAATCTTAATTAGGAAATTCCTTGACACATAATCTAATTATATCTTCCTTCTTGTCAAATTTCTTTCTCATTACTGTCATTCCATTAGAATTCCTTGTTTCAACAGTTGAAAAGTGTTTTCTTAGACACATAAACAAAAACTGGTGTGCTAAACGCTGACTGAAAGCCAACTTAAAAACCCGCCAAACCATCTACACAAAGATTTGATAACATTGACATTTCTCCTGTTTTATTTTGACAAATAAAACAGGACAGTATTTTTTGGGGCATGTTTCTTTCTTCACAAATCCACTTTTCCCTTGTAAGTCTTTCTTTTTTCTGTTTTCAAGGAGTGAGTTATTTATATCACTGTGTAGTTCAATAGAAGTGGAATGTGGACCCTCTTCAAGCAGCTAAATTTGCTGCGTTTGTTGTGAGTCAGGAGGGATGACATATTGTATACAAATAACTACAAATTAAGTATCTTTATAATGTTCTTACTGAAATATGGTTCATAATTCAAGGGGGAGAGGCACAGGCCGAGAATGGAGAAGCATGTGCTCCCTTACACCTCCCCTTAGCTACACCACTTAGTGAGAAGTCACATCAAGTATGAAAGTGTCCAAAAGTAGAATGCCGTTTCAACTCTTGTGAATTGTTGCTGTCAATGTTTGCTCATTCACACTGCAAATTTACAAAAGTTGCGCACTTTATCAAATGTTACAAACAGCAAATTGCTGTTGATGTTTCATGACTTCATGGAACAACAAAATAAACCTCAGTACTAACAGTCTTTTCTAAATTTCTTTCTTCCACCTTATCCAGATCCCAGCTACTTTGATGCCTACCGAGACCAGCGTTACTCATCCTCCACGCACAGTCCCAGCTGTTACAGTGGCTGCTCTTGCTCCCCGCCATCCTCTGGAAAGGGAATAGCCTTGACCTTTGACCCTTACACCGACCTGCAGGATCTTATTCAGATGTCGGGGCCATTGACGGAGGAGGCAGTGCTGAGAGCATTGAGGCATCGGTGGCACAGCGGAGAATGTCATGTGAGTTAAACTCCCCCTCCCCCTCCCCCTCCCACAACTCCCCACTTTCCCACATCCAACTCCTGCTCTCCCCCTTCCCACTCCCCACTCCCCCCCCCCCCCAACCCCAATGCACCCAGTGTTCCCATGCGATGTCAACATGTAGTAGGTAAATGTCCTTGGTGTTTCCCAAGTTTGAATTTGCTGATACATGGGTTTTAGTAAAGCTGGTTATATTGCAGTGTTACTGCTATAGTGTAGTCTGAGGATCAGATGTTCACATGCGCAGAGCACTACAAACATCTGATATCTATATATATAAGAGAGAGTTTAACTCGGCCTCCGAGACGATGTTTGCTCATGAAAGGATCCGAGACCGCGGGCTCCCGCTGCGCCAAAATCGCTCCACGTCTGTGGAAAAATACGGAGGGTGTCTTCCGCCGGGTCGGACGCTTCGGGTCGTCCTGATTTTCCCGTACGGACCGGCGATCCTTTTCGTCTATTTTTCGTGACTGCATTTTGCACCGGAATTTGCCGTCGTGTGCGCTTTCACGTTGACTGCCTGGCCGCCCCCTGTGCTGGCTTTTCTGCGAGTCTAGACTGTGCGAGGTCAGCGAGGTCAACGTAGGGGTTTCGTTTACGTGTTCTACTCAGCCGTTCTGCAAAAGCATTCACCAAATTGTGGATGGGTGACCTTGGTAAAATATTTTTTCTCCATGGTGCGTGGCCACCGAGTGCCCCTATTCTTTCATAGGCTTCGCTTGCCGCCCCTGCGCCGAGTGCAACGAATACTCAGAAGGACTACACATTAAGTATGCCTTGCGCGGTCTGACCAATCGAAAGTCTACACTGCGTAGTATTTCCGGGCTATGCAAAACTTTCGATGGCAACGCGTACTGCAGCCTGCTCCACACCCTGGAAACGAGGTTGGGTCTACGGTGCTCGCTATTTGCATGATTTGAAGCACAAGCATGTGACGTGTATAGTGCTCTGTTGCTTCCATCGTGTGTTAATACAGCTCCATGCTTCCACCAAGGCTGAGCGTTGTGAGTTCGCTGCCCGCCACAGTGTTGCGTTATAATTTCGGGGGCCTGTCTGGGATCAACGAAGGATCGATGCATTGCTTCAAACATCGCGATCTTAAACGCAGTCACACAAAAAAATCGACGCAAATGTGTCCGATCCGGCGGAAGAGACCCTCCACATTTTTCCACGGACGTGGAGCGATTTTGGCGTCGCGAAAGACCGCGGTCTCAGATCGTTTCAGGAGCAAACATTTCTCGGAGGCCGAGTAAAATTTGCTCTTATATAGATGGTTGACCCAAGTTGAATAACAGTTGACTCGACAAGTTCCTCGCAGACAGTCTCGCAAATTGTAAGAAGTTCAAGTTTACGTTTGTTGAAGAGTCCAATATACTGAAACTTAATTATGACCTTCCTAATCAGCCTTCGCCTGTGTACTACGGCAAGCCTTTCCAGTACGTTTTCTCACAAATGCCACTGCCTCACAAAATGCCAATTTAACAGACCAACGGGAACATTTACAGACTGTTGCCATGGTACATAATTATCATGGGCGTCAATCGGTGGGGGACGGGGAACCCCTCCACCCCCCCCCCCATTTTAAAGCGGTGGACACTGTTTTGGTCCCCTCCCCCCACTTTTCTACCCCGAATAAAAATTGTAGCTACTACATGTATAATGATTCTATTACTCAGAATAGCTGATTCAATGACACCAAACTCGAAAATGATGTTTAAAAGATGATCTTTTGCAAAAAAAAAATTGTTTTAGTGGTCAGAAATTGCCTCAGATCGCACCACAGAAATTGCTTTTCTATAACTGCATGTCTTCTCAACTAAACCCCCCAATTACATTCATCTCCCCACATTTTCATCCCCAACTCTACGCCCTACCCGATCAATGATCGGGTAAATCAACGAGGGATCGATGAATTGCTTCAAATATTGTGCTCTTTGAACTATGTTGGGTTGGAATAACAAAGAGTGCATAAATAATAATATTGGCAGTTGTTGGCTGTTTGGCCCGCTTATATTATGGTTGAACCATGCCAACTTGAATAAAATAGTTAAATCGACTTTTTCCTCGCAGGTCTCGCAAATTGTAAGAAGTTCAAGTTTACGTTTGTTGAAGAGTCCAATACTGTACCTTCATAATGACCTTCCTCCATGATTCAGACTATGTAATTTTATTATCATGGGCGCGGCGTCAATCGGTGGGGGACGGGGGACCCCCACCCCAACATTTTAAAGCGGGCAATATCGTTTGGTTCCCTACCCCCACTTTTTCTTCCCCGAATAAAAATTGTAGCCTACTATACTATTCTTTTGCTCAGAACAGCTGATTCAATGACTCCGAACTCGAAAATGATGTTTAAAAGATGATCTTTTGTTTTACTTTCGTACATGGTCAGAAATTGCCTCAGATCGCGTCACCGTAAATTGCTTTTCTATAGCTACATGTCTTCTCAACTAAATCCCCCATTTAAATTTAACTCTCCACACTTTCAACCCCAACACAAATACGCCCTACCCGATCTATGATCGGGTAAATCAGCTTGTACTGTATATCCGTACATGTAAATTTTATGCAACACTGTGCGCCAGCCAATTGGAGCAACCTTTAGAAGTTGTGACGTCATTTAGAGGAGATATTTAGCTACAAATGTTGATTGTTCATGAGCTGCCCTGTTTTGGCCACTCAGCATCAAGTTACCGAAGACACGATAGGAGACGTCTGCTGAATGGTCAGAATCGATATTGTTTTGCACAATCTGAACTCATATTCCATAGACCAGCTTTAGTGTAGAAGTACAGGAAATGTTGATAGAGTGAAGGATAAAATTTTTCAAATGAAGCACAAATTTCTATTTCATTTAAGACGAGGGTTGGCCCTGTACTTGTCAGCATCAATCCGTACCGCGGGGTACCGTTGGAGCAAGTCTTACAGCACAGTCGAACAAACCAATCACAACACATCCACAGATTAGCATCTCACGTCCTGAAGCAGCTTATAGACACGGGCACCTCGCAAGCTGTAATACTCGGGTAAGTTACTACAAACAGAATATTCCACTGAAATGAACTCGTTTGTATCCACCAAATAAAGTGCTTTGTAGTGGTCATTAGATATACATGTATGTATGATGGTCAATTGCAGTGTAAAGCACACATGTAATAAACTTTTCTTTTCTTTTGTTTTATAATCTAAAGGAAATGGAATTTTAGTGAAGTGCACAAGGGAAATTTCACTGTAAACACTGTTTCAAGATAGAGTGATCTAAAAATACTCTCAGTATTTTTCATCTGGGTCTTTTGAAACTTTCAAAATTCAAGGTTTGAAGTGGAAAACCTTTTTGACTCATTTATTAACTAACAAATGGTAATTTTGTTGGATACTGTTGTATCAATTTTTTTTCTTTTACAAAGTCCTGCAATCATTCAAAATTGCACCTCAACTCATTCCGTCTACAGGTCATCAGAGTTCAAAAAGGTCGTTTTATTTTTAACAAAACAGATCTATTTGCTGTGACCTATTTACCCAATTTCTGTAGGCAAACAAATTGTAGTTGTGTTCAGTACCCTCACATTGGTCAAACTCTGTTGTATACAAAAAATACCAGACAACTCTCAAAGTCCACTTTTGGGCCACTCTTTGACAAAGTTGCACCGATTGTCAATATATCCTATCGACTTTTTTTGTCAGTTGTCCTTCAGAGGGTGTCTCCAAGACATATTTGTTTTGCTTTGGTTTTCAAGAAAGTCTTTGATCCTGACCCTTTTTATGATTGCTTTCTGTTTTCGCCATATAAAAAGTATCGCTGGTTTGAAAATTTAAATTATATTTTTTTGTAAAATGTTGGATGTGGAGTAGTCAGAAGCCATGACTCGCACTATGCCACACATGGTTTTAGGCTACTCTAGATCCAAAGTCACCATGCAAGCAATATTTACTCAGTAAAGTCAACGACCCCTCCCAGTCCCAGGGAGTCAAAGCCATCCAATCCTGGCCTTCTACTAGATCTTTTGTTCAATCTTCTGATTGTACCTTTTTCTCCCTAATCCTTGAGTCATCATCTTACCAACACTAATCACACTGTTTGCTCATTACTCAGTAGGCCTAATTATACTTACATAATGCTAGTCAAAACATGAACAAGCAAAGTCACTACATACTGCAGACTTGTTTGTTCATACTTGAACCAAACAACTGCAGAGTAACGTCTAAAGGGTTGTTTTTCTAGAACCCTTGTTGGTGTTGTTTGTTGTACACATCTTGTGGTTTGACCACAATTTTTAAATACTGCTTCACCTAAACAAACCAGTACTTAGTCATTCTGCAAGCACAAAATCATTGTGGTAGGAATTTTAGCATAGTGATGTAATAAGACTGCTTTAAGAATTAGCAAATGTTAATTAATTGCACCATGGTGAGAACACTTGCACAAAGAGTGAATGTGCAAGGATTGAACGTGTTTGTGCACAAGTTTTCATATTTGTGAAAAGGTTTATTCAAAAAAATCTTCATTTGAAAGCTGAAGAGCAAATTAACAGTTGACAGGGTTTTGGAGTTTACATTACTGATCTTGATTTTTAAAAAAAAATGCAAATGGGATATGTGCATGTTTTCAATCAAGCTAAAAATTAAACTAGCTTAAGCATGCACATATTTTATATTAACAAAACTACAATAGTCATGTTCTTGTCACAACTGTTGTCCTGACTTTCTCTTTTTTTGGTAAACTATTATTTTTAGTCAGCATGCTGTCTAGTATGTTGATGTGCTACCAACTAAGCAAACACATGTTACACGTTTTACACCATCCCTTAATTGACAGGCAGAAAAGCTCTTTAATTTGGCGCCCAGACGTGCCAAAACTTGCCCCTGGGCATACATCCGGTTGCCCTAGAGAACCCAGACTTATTTTTAGGCAGTCTCGGAAGTCACATGGGTCGCCTGTTGTCCAAAAACTTCCAATAATTAGATCATTTTTGTAAGCCCTTAGGGTGCTTGTTAGCCTGCTCGGTCTGCTTGCACTGGCTGGCTGGTCTTGGTGTTTTGTTAAGGGTGGAGAGTGGTGTAGAAACACTCCATCCTGCCCTCAAACCTGTTTGAAGTTTCACCCTTGGAAACAACCTTTTAGTCATATTTGCCCTGTATATGTACTTTCATCAAACAATAAATGCACTGATGCTGAAAACATTGCTTACATCCATGTAGCCTGAGTAGTGAGTTTTTGCACTCAATCTTTATATCAAGGATGGCAATTATGACTAGTGTAAGAAACCACCAAGGGAAACTGATTTTAAGTCAATATTTTGTTATAATTTTTTGACGAGGACACTGACAGAAAGGGGTCTACTTGTGGGCAGGAATAGTTACTGAACCATTCATAAAAAGAATCAACTAAGAATTACATTTAAAAATAGTGCTTCACTCTTTCCTCAGCCTGTGCATTCACATAGATCTAGAACACTGCATGTTGCACTGTACACATTGAACACCATGGTTTTGGAGAACTCTGTAGAATGCAAACTAGTAAAGCCGTTTTTCTTCAAGATAAATTTCTTTGATAACTAATTCAAATATCCATAATTCCATCAAATAAAAACAAATAGAAACTCATCAAAGGGATTTTTTTTAAAGCATATTATATCGTTAAAGGGAATATACATCATTTGCTTTTGCTGTAATTTTTAGAAATGGATGGAATTGGGGGGTTGGAAATATATAGCAAATATAGTTACACTGACTTTTTTGAGGTTTTGGGTTCGAAAATGCTATAAAAACCAAGAAAAACAATCATTTTCCTGTAGTCTGGTTCCCTGACTCCATATAAGAAGAAACATAGCCGTTTACATACATTGGGGAATTGTAAGGTCAGGGAACCAGTCTAGCTGGCTTGTACCCGTTCATAGGTGTGTAATCGATTGCAAACAAGTGCGATGGTCAATTGGGGCCAGTATTTGAAAAAAAAGCCAGTTTTTTTCCAACGCTGGTCGGCCGACCAGCGTTGGAAATTGATACAAAAATACCACTTTTGTTGAAAATGACAGTATACCAGGTGCCATGATTTTACAGGATGCTTTACACTGTCATTCACTAACAGTAACAGTCCAGCAAGGTATTTTAAAATGATTTGGTAGTTTTATTTTTTGATGTTTGCAAATGTTGTATTTTCCCTTTAAGCAGGTACATGTAGTTCAGTCAGCTCAGAAGATTTGCTCTCAATCTACACAGTTGAACCTTCATGTCAATCACCATCTGAGGATGCTACCTATCCTGTACTAGCTCACTGCAATGAGCCACAAACTTAATGAGCTAACATAGAAATGAGATTCCATGTGTCCATCAAAGCAGCAGAATGCATTCCTGAGAAGGATATATACCCCAGAAATGTTCTTGTTTTGCTGAATGTAGGAATCAGACCATGCAGGGGTTTGGAGGTTTGCCTTGGGTTGGGTACCACATAGGGTCGTCTGAAACAACAGCCTGAACTGCCTCTGGAATTGTAGGTGGCCTTGGTGCATGCTGAGTGTAGGCTGAGTGTTCAAGAGGTGGGAGGGATTCCAATTCCCTGGGAAAAATTGATGTTTTAATTAAGTATTTTGAAATATTTTAATGCATTTGAAATTAAGTTATAGTTTTAACTCGTTTGTTGTGTAAATAGATTTGAATAAATAATAATTAGTCCAAAAAACAAATGGAAAGAATCTCAAAAGAAAAATAGATGGAAGGATAAATAACATGAAATTTAAAAGTGCTAACTTTTTTTGAAGGCTGACACTTTAAAATTTGAAAAGCTGAGTGATCTGTTGGTTTTTGTTTTTGTTAAAGTTTTTATTATTATTATAATATTTTGGGGGACGGGGAACGTGATGCTCTTTAGTTTCTTCCAATATATTCTTTAGACTGTAATTTAGAGTGGTCTACTGTCATTTTAAACAAAGACCGGGTGTAGAAAAAAGCATATTACTTTTAAAGCTTAAATTTAGGCTAAAATTGGTCTAGACAAAAACCATCAGTGCACTCTCTATTATTATGTTCTAGAACCATACTATTTTGAGGGCATGCAGTCCAATGCCAAAGATCTACAGCATTGGACCTGCAGTCTTTTGATCAAATTCGAAAGGACAACTTTTTGCAGAGATTTTTTCTTTTGTAAGATTGTCAGAATAAGAAAATGGCTCTGACTCCATTCTGAGATTGATTTCAGGAAACAACCTGTGGTTATCAGTCCATGACCCTTCCTTCCTCTAGGGACCATTCCTAATCTCAACTTCCTAACATTCTCAGCCAGCAAACAACATCAGTTTAGTTATCAAGTCCAGCCACTTGACCTATCCTTGTCCACGAACACTTCAGAAGACCCTTCAGGAGCTTGCCCACTAAACCCGGACCCAGTAGACCTCCGTTCCACCGTAGGGACCGAGTACCAACAATAGCCGGTGCCCTGCTGTAATTTCCCTAATCCCTTTAGCCCCAGCTGTGATTTCCAAAGAAATTTCCCTGGCTTTTTGTCAGGCCGAGTCTTTCTCGGCACAAGGCGGAATTATACTTTATTTTGCTAGGCCCGTAGATTTCCCGCTTTTGTTGTGGTCCAATTGTTGAACTGTCAAAGTTCTATTCCCACTGGGAATTCAGTTGCCCCAGGCACGGACTTTGTAATTTCTGCAGCCCCATTGACGAAGACAAATTAGAATAAAATGTGTTGCAAAATTGCATGAAATCCAGACTTTTTTTTTTTTTATAGGATTTCCTGACTAGTTACTGTTTATATTTTTCAGTTCATGAGGTTTGGTTCCAAATTAAAAAAAAAAAAAAATTGATTCAGGGTTGGGGAGGTAGTTAATCTAACTCCAGACCCTCTCTGATTGACGTCTCCATCAGTTTGAAGGCTGAAGGCCTTTTCAAGTTACTTTTTAAAGTGCTTTCCCTGTATAATCTGGCCAGGATAATTAATTGGTTTCTTGAAATCCAGCATCAAGGACTGGTCTTACCTAATCCCTCATTGACTCGTTTACTAGGAAGGCTTTCTGTGTTTTGGTCAACTGTCACTTATTAGTTTAATGGTCAATGAGAACTGGAAGAATTTCTTAGCTGTCAAATGAGTCACTTAAAAATTCAATAGTTTAAAAAAAGTTAAAGTTACATATAGAGCCTCCTTATTTTATTGTGTCATGTCAAGAAATGAGGATGAACCATTGTTGACAAAAACAGAAATGTTGGCATTCTGTGGCTTATCGTTTCCATGGAGTGTAAATTATGGGCTTGTGTGCCACCAAACTATGCAGGGAACTTTATTTGAAGCCAAGGCACTTTGCGTTAATAATTTCCCCTGACAGTGTAGCCATAACAAACATTATTGTCAAATATTTCTCGTCTGACCACGGCCTCACTGTGGTTTTTGCAGTGATTCATAAACTCAGTCTGTGGTTTTTACTTCAAGACTGAGTTACAGGGAATGTGACGTGTCTACCCGTTGAAAAGTCTACAAACATTGTTTGCCGACCTTTTTTTTCCCTTTTCACCAAACTTCAATTCTCCCTACAACCACTCTGAGAAAGTAAATCATTCCCAATCCACATTCTTCCATAGAGTCTTTTGTGATTCACACAAGCCATCCCAGGACTTTCTGAAGGGCCGTAATTAGTTAGAGAGCCAAAGAATTGGAATCCTAACAATTGTGGCTTTCTTGTAGAACTTTCAGGAGTTGTAAAAAAAATAGGGGGGGGGAACTTCTCTCAAGTGATAGTTCCTCTTGTTTCCTACATTGATTTCTTCAAAGGAGGGTACCCAAGTCCCAACGAATCAACTCAGAGTGATTTCAGATTGACCAAGTCTCTCAAAGTTCTGTCACCTCTTTCTGGACACGTCTTTTCCACCGTCAGATTGATTAAAGAAGAAAAAAAGATGAAATGTCACAGAAGAGAGTAGTGGGTGGGTGTTATAAAATCATAGGCTGAATTGCTCAAAACAAGATGGGTGGATCAAAGGTTCCAAAAAGACCAGATTAATTGCCATTGCTAAGTTGTTTAGACAGATTATCTTCAATTCCCCCCCCCCCCCCATTCATCCCCCAAAAGGTGAAAATAATTTTCACAATAAAGAGTGCAACCCTCCAAACATTTTTTAATCTTAAGACATTTTAGGTCTATGAGTTGTACATGTAACTTCATTTTGTTTCCTCCTTGCAGTGGTGAAAGTGGCAGCGGCAAGACCCACACATCGCAATGTCTTCTGAGACAACTGTACAGTATAGCAGGAGGAGGCAATGAAACAGATTCCTTCAAGGTGAGAAAACGTCTTCAAATTCGGTGTGCTTTGAACAATCCGCAGGGAATACATAAGCAGATGCTTGTATTGTTATTTACAAATACAATAGCAGAAAAGTTTGTTCAAAATGATTAAAGCATTTTATTACGTTATGCCTTGTGCATATGGTAATATCGGGTAATTAAGGATTTTGTGCCCACATGGTTACTGCAGGATTACTGTGCGAGTATTGCATACACTACATGGTGATAATATGAGGGCACCATGCAAAGTAGAGCAATTTAATACCGTTAATGTTCCACATGAGAAAGTTTCCTAACTCGGTTTGGGAATGTTTTTTTACCAGCCATTTGCATCTGGTAACACGTTTGTAACGTTGTTCAATTCCCTAGCCCTGAAGTGTGTCATAAAATGGAGCGGTCTTAAACAGAGCAAGATCTTAAACTTTTACGATGTTCCCTATAAAGTCCTCTACATTGATCTATTCTCCTTTTTAGCCTGAAGTAAGGTTTTCCAAGAACCTACCTATTTTGTTACAGTTGCCATCTTACAGTGCTTCTATTTTGCATCTTGAGTTTGTTTTTGTGTTGTTTTCTGATGGATTGACACGTAAACACTATGAATGCAACATATGTAAGGCCTTTTTAACCCTGCCACACAAGTTGCCCTGTGGTGAAATTGCTCTGTTTTTATTTGGTGATGGATCGGGACCACTTTCTGGAATAGAGAATTAAAATAGTGGAGAAAGAAGTATGTCACAACAACCAGTTGTAAGTAGAGGCCATATAAAAGCTGGCCTTACAAACAAACAACACTTTATGTCAACAAAGAATTGCAAACTGTTTACGTGTTTTTCATCCTCCTACACAACAAACGTAGGAATGTGGTATCAATGGATCTGCACGCAAACTACTGGTACAGAGGGCGCTGTCTATGTTACAGTGGTCCCTGTCTTACATTCTAGATGTACAAAAATATTTTTAAATTTTTCTCACCAGTTCACATTTGAAATCAATATAAATTCAAGTATCATTGCAAAGAAGAAAATATCTGTGATCTAACTGATATTTTCCTTGCTCCATCCATGTACTGCTGAGGAGTTTAATTGTGAATACCAAGTTATAACAACTTTCATTTTGATGCTTAGAAATGAATACTGAGTAAAATTTGCCGGATGGCTGTATATTTCACCTGATAGACTAATATTTAAAGAGCTGTTAATGTGGGATTTTGGGTGTGATTTTGTAAAATTTAATAAGATCAGCTGCAAACTACAAAATTCAAGCTTTCAATTTTTGAGACTTGAACTTTCAAAGAACCAGTTCCCCTACTTTATGAAAGTTGCTGCACATTTCACCCGATGGACATATCTTTTATGAACTTTTCATGGTTAAGGAATTTGAAAATCTAATTTTGCCGTCAGCTCAACAAGCCAACTGTAAGAAATATTTAGATACCTTTTTGGAATCAAAAATATTGCAGCGACATAGCTTTTGATGTCATCATGACATCTTCATTCAGTGTAGTGACTTAAACCACTCCGGTCATGTGACCACCTTTTGGGTATCTAAATATTTCTTATCAACGTTATGAAATCCAATAATAGTATACAAGCCAACTAAGTTTCCATTTTTGAGACTTTGGCTGAACCTGCAAAGGCCCCATCCCTGTACTTTGTGCATTTCCCAGTAGGCTTAACTTCAAGGTCCACGGTTAAGCCTTCTAAATTGAGAGAAATTTGACTGCCCTTGGAACACCACCAGCATCTGTTGATAAATTGGTTTGGTCAGCCAAAGGCTGAATTATTGCCTTATTGCTTGAGATATGGGTCCATCGGCTGGCACATTCGATAATGAAAACCTTGAAGATTGTAATTGGATGCAATAGTTCTCACAGCTTCCTGGGAGCTTTATTTTCCTGTTTAGAGTGTGTGTCATTTTCTGTCTGTGTCTTTATATCTTTTTGAAGTGTCTGCAGAAACCTTGTCACCTCTTTTCAATCTGTTGGGTTGAATTGTCTGGTAATAAATTAAAGGTATACATCAAATGTTTGTTCAAGAAATTATTGTTTTGGCTTTGAAGTGATAGACTAATAAGGGGTAGTTAAAAATCTGCGAAATTAACATGATTGTAAATTTATGACACAAAAAAGTTGAACATATTTTATTTTTCATACATTTCAGTGTGAATATTTCTTGGCATCAACTTGACACATTACATTCATGTTTCATCATTGAGGTGGCATCTATGCACATACACACATCTTCTGAACACGTGTACTTTTTGGGAGAAAAAATTCACATGCACTTTGTGTGGCAAGAGCAAGATGTGACAACAACTCAGTCACATTTCTTATTGTTGCTTTTGTATTATTATTTTGAAAACCATGTAAAATTTCAGCTTATATTGAATGTGCACAATTTTGTCATAAAATTCACTAGAAATATTTACAGATACTTAATTCTGCCTCTTTCTTTTCATTTTCTCAGCATCTTGCAGCATCCTTTGCGGTCCTTAGGTCCTTGGGATGTGCCAAGACTGCCAGCAACTCAGACTCAAGTAGAATGGTGAGCTCATCAAAAATATCCCTTATTTACATTACCCAGAATTACAATTTTAATAGCACATCTTTTTAACCTGGGAGAATGTCTTTGGGCGGCAAAGCACAAAAATGTGCTTATCATACAAAAGAGTATCAGTCAAATTACCCATGAGTTTTGTACTGCTTAGGAGTGGTTTCCAGCTGGATTTTTGGAAGTCATAATTACTCATAGGCATGGCAAGTGCAAGTGCCCTTTTCAAAAAATTTTACCCCCCCCCAATAAAAATGACCGTGCTACGCCCCTGTTACTAAGCATTTAGGAAAAAAGTAACTCCATAAAGATTTTCACTGGTGTAGTGATCATGGAATGGTTTATTCAAAACAGAAAGCTACTTTACTTGTATTTTGGAATTAATGTTGTTAATCACCCCTGACCTAATAGTTTTCCCTGAACAGACCTCATTAGATTTTTCAAGTTATGTCCAGTCGAATAAAAGGGGAAGACACAATTTTCATTTGGATAAACTCTTTTATATGTATATTCTCCCAAATTTAATAACCAAACAATAGGACCCTCCTATTGTTTCTTCCATATTCCCAAAATGCTCTTTCATTTGTACTCCTCTTTGAATGCCAAGCTTGCTACTCATTGTTAAAGTTATCATCACCTCATTTTCCTTTTTCATTTTCTTTTTGTGACACAGGGTTACTACATAGAGGTGCTCATATCTGACTGTGCTATTTATAGAACCAAAGTCCACTGCTATTGGTTGGATCATGCCAGGGTGGTACGGCCGAGACCAGGAGAGAGGAACTATCACATATTTGACCAGATGCTGGCTGGTCTTAGCCAAGATGAGAGGGGTAAGATAAGATGTGTCCGAATGACATGGCTACCGGTATGGCTTGCAATGACACATGCACCTATGGAAGCAGCCGAAGCCACTTCCCATAGACACATATATTACTGATAGCCAGAGCCGAGCAATTCAGACATAGCCCAACCTGACTTTAGTCGGTAACATTTTTTTTGTTTTGGGTGTTTTTTTGTGTTCAGCAAATTTGCCTAGCATACTTCTGTGCTTCGCAGCTCAATCAAATGAGCTCAGTTGGATAGAAATTTTTTGGGTAGCACAAGTATTTTACGAGCCAAAACTATGTACTATATATTGATTCTGACTGGATCTCAACTTATATCTAAGCACATAATTTTCTAAGCAACGTTTCTGCTTATCAGCTCTCTTAAATTTTCCCCATTGCTGATGTGACCATACCAGAAGTTGCAACCAGCGTCGATCCAAATGCTACACTGTCTCTCAAGAGTATATTCCTACTCATCATCAATGCCAGATCAAAAGCCCATTTTCTTATTTCATTCCTTTGTTTTGCAGTCAAACTGCATCTCAACGGTTATGCTGCACACAACTTAGCCTACCTCAGCAAGTCAAGAACCGACAACACAGACAGAGACAGAATACGATTTGAAAGCTGGAAGGTAAGTGTCAGCACTCAGAAAAATCTTCTTAATAAAATTTCCCAAAGTCCTATTTAAAACCTCTCAACCTCTTTCAAAATCAAACACATTTTGTCGCCTTTCCAAGAAAAATATCTTTATGTTTAATAATGTAAATTGCATTTCTTCAGAATGTGCTCCGGGATTAGCAAACAGAACTGTCTCTTAAAATTGATCAGAAACTGAACAGTCATCTTTTTTTTCCTTAATCCACAGAGTTCGCTTGCAGTTCTTGGTATTCCCTTCTTTGACGTGATGAGAATTCTCGCTGCTATTCTACTCCTTGGTAATGTGCAGTTTGTTGAAGATGGCGGCTACGAGCTTGACATCAAAGGAAACAATGGTAAGAACAGGGCTGGTGTGTTTTCCCCTCTGAAAATTCACAGGTTTTAAGGTTTTTATGTTCTAAGATTTCATTATAATCATTGTGGTTTCATGCAGTTCAAATAACACATTTTTTGTTAGAAATTGTGAAACATTGTCCAACATTTTAAAACGTTTCTTCCAAAAAAAAAATAAGAATAGTTTCCCTTTTCTCAATGAAGTTTCAAATATACTTTTTTTCTCAAACATAATGTTGTCTGTGGGAAAAGCAACTCAAATGAATCTCCCCAATTTGTTCGTATTCTGTTTTTGTTTCATAGCAAAAGTCAAGTGTAATGATTTTTATTCTGTTCTTTCATGTGGATTTTGTTCATTGTAGAAATCAAATCTGTGGCAGCATTGCTTGGTGTTTCAGGGGTATCACTCTACCGAGGCTTGACAACAAGAACACACAGTCTGAATGGTCAAGTCTTCAAATCCCTGTGTGATGCACAGACGGTAAGTGTGCTCCAAGGAAACTCATTTATTCCCATTTCAGGCTGGTGCATCTAAGTGTGGCCAACCAAGTTTGTTTTGTTGTTACGTCATTAGCTGTGAGTGCCAAAAATGTTGTCAATTTTCAAACAACTATAAGATTTTCCATCTTGACCACCGGACTTGACTTGCTACATGATTCAATTTTATCTGTTGTCTCGGTAATTTCACTGTGAGTTTGGTCTGCACAACCTAGCACACTCATTGCACCTATTAGTATGGACATGCCTTTTTCAAATGCGAATGGAGACATAAAGATGTGAGCTCAAGTTTAAGGGGTTTTCTGTCTCTTATTAGCACCTTAATACCTTTTATTTGTTTGTGTTTCTTTAGGCCAATCAGACACGTGATGCTCTTGCCAGAGCTCTGTACTGCCGGACGGTGCTAACGATCGTCAAACGTCTCAACAGTCTGAAGAGACCCAGTGTCTGTCATTCATCTGGCAGTAGTGATGACACACGGATAAACGGTAAACACGTCAATTAATCAGTCAGTTATCTGACTAAACTCAAGTCAACTTGTATCGACCGGCATGGAATCAACTTGACTGATATTACTTTGTATTAAGTTGGCTTGCAAGCTTGTGTCAGCTTGAAACAATGTAGCTACATCAAAATGTATTTACAATCCAAATACGTGGTCAGTTTAAAGTTTTATCAATGTTTTACTTTATTTTTGTTTTGTTCCAGATGTGTGCATGAAGCCAGTTCGGCAGTCCTCGCCAGCTCTTTCCAAATCTTCCACCAACCAATCCTCCAGCTCACACAGCTCCGTAGGGGAAGGGTTTATCGGAATCGTGGATATGTTAGGCTTTGAAACAACTCAGGTAAGATGTCCATCAGATTGGGACTATAAATTTAGACATATTCCCGTATGGTATTTCATTTCACCATAGACATGTTTTTACCAATCAGGGTTTGGAAATCAATGGATGGCTATTGTTGCAATAAAACAGTTTTAAATGTAACAAACTGTTTAATCAACAGAGTTAGAAATAAGTAGACAAAGGTAGCTCCCTTTTTAAATACTTGAGAAATACTGTTAAAAACCTTGAGCAATAAAGTCATTGCTAATCTTAGTGCAAATGATGCTGTTTAAACAAAATATGTTCAATGTAGGTCAACTGGTAAATGTTGTACAACTATCATTGTTAGATCATGTGCTTGGATACTGTAATTTCATTGGTGGAGAACGACCATGTGTCCATCTGTAAAAATGCATAAACAATGGTTTATCTCCATTTCCCACATCAGAGCAGTCAACAATTGTTAAGTCACACACATGTCTATGAGAAGTGACTTTGTCCGCTTCCTTTGTGCAGTTTCAAACCGTAGCCAAAGTTCCGATGAGGCCTTACTACTACGAGCTGTTTCTAAAGTGGATACTTTTTTTGTGCTGATGAAAATTCACTTTAGCTTGTGAGGGTCAAAACTCAAAGCTAATTTCCCCAGAATGACAAAGTTGTCTACAGCCTATCTTTCACTCAGCCACTCACATTTATCGTTTGCTTGTTTTGTTTTCATATCTCCAGTGCAATAGACTAGAACAACTGTGCATCAACCACTGCAGCGAGACATTACAGCAATATTACAATCAGTGTGTGTTCAGGAGAATTCAGGATACGTGTAGAGAGGAGAACATACATTGCGACGTACGGGTTGAATACAATGACAACACGCCATGTTTAGAACTTCTTACATCGAAGGTAGTCGTTACAAAATCATTGCAAATTACGTTAACATACCTAAGCATAAATGACCAAAAACTGATGGGTCCATTTGTACTGATTGTAGAATTTTGCAATTTTTTTAATAAGGGAATAAATGTGTGCTCGAGACGTTTTTATCACTCTGTTTAATACCGCTTAGAGTCTAGGTGCTGATAATTACCCGAGCCGTAGGCGAGGGTACTTATCAGCACCCAGACTCTAAGCGGTATTAAACAGAGTGATAAATACTGACTGAGCACATATTTATTCCCATTCATAAATACCTTATCCGTAAAAAAATATCAAATAATTCGTTCAAAAAATCCCGATTTTGTTCAACAAGTTCACTTCATGCTTTTTGAAACATCCCTCTAGCAAAATAAAGGAGTGTTCAGCTGGCGAGTAAGATGTAAACAACCCTTTTATGGAGATTGACGCGCGCGTAGCATGTTCTGCGCGATGTCACGCAGAACGCACCTGGGGCGTTGCGTTTTGAATTTAGAACTATAAAATTCTGACTCGCATGTAGTGTTGCGCATGCCTACGTGAGGATTGTGAACGTTCAACCAATGAAACGGTAAGAGGCACTGGATTTTTAGGAGTCCACATTTTATTGTGACACTGGAAAAGTGTTTAAGACCAGCTAGCCATGTCTTTATCATCCGTTTAAGACCGGCCACATGACGGGCTCTCGACCAATAGGAATAGCTAAACTGTCTGAGGTATTTATGAATTGTTTTTAAAAGAAATTTATATTGACATTTTTTTTATTTATGATATGTAAAATATTGCAAGGTAAAATTGTCCAAAAATGCTTGTTTTTTAATCTGTCATTTAGTTTTACTTGTTAAGAATTAAAAGTTTAATTCTATTATTCTTAGTGAGATGTAAACTTTTGTATGAAATGTTCATTTGTTATAGGATGCCGGAATTGTAGGCATAATGGAGAAGGTCGGCCTGGAATCAACAGATGACCAAATGTTGATGCAAAGTATCAACAATAAACATCAAGGCAATAGGTAAAAATTAATTCATGTTCTTACACTGTTCTAAATAACAATTATGGTTTTAAAAATTTAACGAAGAAATTGACTGGAGTGGGGTTTGAACCTGTGACTATCGTATTGCCGTTCCGGTGCTCTACCAACCGAGCTATCCAGCCCTACGTTGGCGTTTTTGTCGATGTTTTTGATCAAGGGGCACTTGCCACTATCCATCCACATGCGAGAATAGTTATTCCTTACAAATTAAGACAAATCTCAATTATTCATAACAAAAATCTGTCCCTCTTCAGTTTTTTTCAAGCAGAGCCCGACCACGAAGACATGTTCACTATCAAGCATTACGCCGGTGACGTCACATACAATACCAGTGACTTCCTGCATGCGAATCGTGATGTCATCAATGATGACATCATCAGCATCTTTCAGAAGCATTCCTGTAACTTTGGCTTTGCTGGCTACCTGTTTGCTCCTGAGCTGAAGGCATTGCAAGGTCAGTATGAAAGTTTATCCTATTTAGACCAAAATCATATATTAAAAAAAAGGGGACATTTTATTTCAAGCGCTCTTATTATACCCATAATGCAATGAAAACACAAATTGTTTCCTTGTTTATTTTGTTGAATACAGATTTGTAAATTCTCAAAGTGTTGTTTGATGCTCTTGATTTATACTTAAACTGTTTAATTAACACTCTCCACTCTTAAGTAATAAAGAAAAATAACATTAAATGATGAATAAAATTAGTTTTAAGAATTCCAACCAAAAGAAATAATGAAGGATTAAAGATTTCAATTTTCCATGCAAGATTTCTACCAAATGTCATGTTTTATGGGTAGATTATAAAATAGGAAATACAGCCATGATTGTTTATTTCTGATAACTTTGTTCATTTCTTATTTCTGTTTTATTTTGTGAATTCTTTCCAACAGCCACATCACCTAAGGGTTTTATGTTCAGAATCTCGCCGAGTCCACCTCCAGCAGAAAATGTTGGGTTAGTATCAGGGGAGAATGCGAAAGTAATCGGGCGATAACTTGAGTTTTACCGTGAGGCTTTACAGGGTTGTATATACTTTGAGGTGCCAACTTTAGTTAGCATTTGTTTAAAATTGCATTTTCTCATTATGTACACAGAATAGTGCCAACAATTTATGTTCATTGCTTTTTACATGAAAGTTTTATATTGGGAAAAAAACAGCTGAAATTTGTTGAAAATTATGTGAATCTAGATGCTAAAAAATGAAGCAATTTAAAATGTATTTATTACTCATAAATAGATATGTATTTACAGAAAGTTTGTAATTTGAAGTAGGCTACAATTTTTTCCACTTTTTTTTTATCAAAGGAGTGTTGATTTGATAAAGTTGTCCATGAGAAACGTTCATTATTAGAAAAATTTGTTTCAGTATGGTTGATTTAATTGTGTTCATTTTTCCTCTCAGGAAAAGTGAGGAGACATCTTCAAGTTTATCTCAAGACTTTCATGTCCGACTAGACAGTCTGATAAGAACACTGCACCAAGCTACTCCGCACTTTGTCAGGTGTATCAGGGTGAGTATTTGCCCAATTCTTACCTTAAAACCTCTCCCCCAACACCCCTTCTCTCCTCTCATTTAAAAGACATTAGTCATCTTGAAGTAACAGAGAAATTGTCTTGTGATTTTTTGTTTAGTCCAACGAGAGAGAGGAAGCCAACTGCTTTGACAGTGATGCAGTCCGAAGACAACTCCATCATCTCCAGCTACTGGAGACAGTACAACTCATGGCAGGAGGTAAGAAAACAACGTCCTTCGTGCTTCCTCCAAACAACGAAGAAAACAACGTCCCTTAGCCTCTCCAAACCTCACTCCCAGCTCCATTCTCCCCTCCCTAAAATCTGAATCTTTATTTGTAGGGACTCCATACACAAGTACCCACCTAAAGGTATAGTCCATCATTTGCAGCTATCCAAAAAGTAACTGATGTAATTATTATTGAAAATCATACTTGGTGTAAAGATAGTAATGGGACTAGCTAAACTCCCTGTGAAATATTCTTTCTGGCAAGCTGTCATTTTTAAGAAATAAATGGAAAAAAAAGGCCATTTCCAAAGATGCGTCTTAAGATGCATCGTTGGAAATTTCTGATTGTAGTACGTTTTTAATTTGGCAAAGCGTGCGCAAGCATTGACACGATGCACACACGCCAATAATTCATCGGTTCAGTGTGTGTCATCACGTAGCTGCAATCGGCTCAGTGCAGTGATGCTGAATTCAGGTCCAATTCAAAACATGACTCAGCATTCACTGAGTTAAAAGTTCATCAGGGTAGTTGTTCAGCACCCTTCTTGAGATTTTGAGCACTTTGGTTGCTTCAAATGAGCATAATGCACAAATTACAAATGATGGATGCAACCTTTAAACAAGGGAAAGTGAGGGGAGACCACTGGGAGGGACATTCAAATGCGTTGCTATGGTCTTATGGATTCATAAGTGAATGAACACAATGTAATACAATGTAGTACAGGTGCTAATGGCTTTAATGAGTAATAGTTTCTGTACAGTATATAATGCCAGTGTTAATTTTGTCAAACTATTTGGTACATTTTATAATCTGTTCTTTAGGGTATCCTCGTCAGATGAAGTTCCCGTTGTTCGTCAGTCGCTTTCGTTTTCTAGCCAGGCACCGACAGCTGAAAGGACTGATGGAGAAAGCTCAGGAAGACTGTAAAGTAAGGCTGGAAGCTTGGACAAACGAAATCTGCTGGTTTTTAATTAATTAATTATGATGATATACCTTAGAAAGAAATAGGATCAGTCATGATTTAAATGATGCTCAAACTGTACTTATTTTTGTCTAAACTATTGTATCATACCCTTGATTTTTGAAGTATTTTCATGGATTCAAGACTACTATACAGAAATTACATTAATTGGGTGCGATTTCCCAATTTTGTTGAAATACAAAGAATGTGGCACTGATTTACTGCACAATGTTTGATTATTATTCAAAAACACGCATTGTAAAATTGCCAGTTAACCTATGAGTGTTAACCTACACTATAGTTCAGTACAGTACAGTACATTACATATTGTGTATTTTCCAGGTGATTCTAGACTGTTTTCTGCAAGCCATGGATCAGAGTAAACTGCCATACATCAGCACAAGATGGGCGCTAGGAACTAGACATGTCTTTCTCAGGTACAAAGCAAATAACTCAGTTTAATGATTTTTACTCAAAATGTCAATGTTGATGTAAGCCAGGTGAAAATTGGCTACTGCAAAAGCAGTTCCTCTGTAATTCTTCATAATAAAACATAATTTCATTGTGGAAAGACATAACTGATGTGTTGACTTATAAATTATATTTTTACAACAAATAGTGCAAAGTAAAATTCAGAACAAGATTGATTGATAATGCTATTAACTTTTGATAAGCTTGCAATTTTGCCACCTAAGCATAATTCATGTGCTCAGGAGTATACTCATGTTAACACAAGTAACTTTCTGGAATGCAGCCATTATAAGTGTTTGTTATCTTGTTGTAGTGAGGAAGCATGGCAGTGTCTGGAGTGCATGCGTGACAGCAGGCAGCGCCAGGCAGCAGTCTTGATCCAATCCTTAGTCCGACGACGGATCTATATGAAACAATGGCCCATGCTCAAAGCATTACTCAAGACAAAACTCATCAACAGCAAACGCTTTCAGTGCCTGGATACTGAACCAATCTACGAGGGGTGAGTAGCAACAATTACTCCTGCGCTCACTTAGGTCTTAGGTTTCATTGTGCTTCATTTGTTTCTCTGTTGAACCTCCACCAATTGATTGTCATTTAACTGTTTGTACCCCCCTCCTGAATTGCCTATTTTTTGCCCTTGGGTTGGAGCACAACCCACCCCACCCCACCCCCCTCCCCACCTCTTCAAAAAATCTCAAAGAATTTGCATATTCCAACCTTCTATGTTTTATTATTTTAAATGTGCATTTACAAACATTTTACACCATAAAATCTTTCTTATCCCAACAAGGGGAAATTCCGTTATCTTTTTTACTCGTACGTTAAAATAACAGTTATAGAGACATGAAGTTGAAAATCAAAATGATTTAATCTCGATGATAAATATTTACATTTTGTTTTATTCTGTGTGATTTGCTGTTCATATTGTAGAATCCAGTCACCACCATCATCTACTGGCAAGACGTCTGAACCAGACCGATGTGAGGCTGGTATTGTAGAACAGACATGTAACGTCTATGGCTTGGATGTGGTAAGTCATGTCAGCCATTGTACAAGATATTGTATTTGCGGCTCAGAAAGTGCTACGGCCAATTCATGGCACTGCGTAACAGTTTGCAGAAATGTTATGATAATTATAGTTGAATAACAGTGTTGTAGTACTCATACTCGGTACTCGTATTCAAGCAGAACTTGAATACTTTTGAGAATACTCTTTCTTATACTCGTACTCCAATATCAAAATATTTGGACTCAAACTCACGGCACTTGTACTCGAGTAAAACTGGACTCAACTATTCAAAATCTTACTCCATCATCAAAGTACTCTTACTTGATTATAAGGAATCGGGGGAGGGGGGGGGGGATCAAGTAATCTCCTTATTTAGAGATGCACATGCTCCGTTCTATCAATACTTTAATACTGAAAAGTAACAGACTACAAACTACATGCTTCATCTTTTAATATGTACAGTGTGCAACCGATGTCTGCCTGGGATCTCGATACTTGAGATTTTTATTGTTTTCACTTGAGTACTAAAGTACTCATACTCAACTTGTACTCAGAGGTCAGGTTCTTGTACTCGGTTCCACACAACTTGCACTTGAAGGTCCAAGTACTTGGACTCGGGTACCTTTACTCGTTCTCATGGGTCAAAGTACTCAGATGCGAGTGGTACTCGGTAGCTTGGTACTCGGCAGTACTTTGTACATGGATGAAAGTACTTGACTACAACACTGCTAAGTAATAGTATCTTCATCAAGTGATGTCATAACAACCCCAATGCGATCATCGTGTTATATATTTGACAATGTCACATTTTGTCTTTTGCTAGAACCATCCACCGCCCATTCCCAAGAGTCGACCGTACACTGTGTCAGGAGGAATCAAAGTTGACTTCCCACAAACAAGAATCATGAAATGCAACTTCCCAGGTCAGTTCCAATTTGTAATCAGGAACCTTTGGGATTTGGGTAATTGAGAAAAAGATTGTCCACATAAGCTGCCTTTTTTGCATGAGGTAAGTTAGCAGCTTTTCAATGAGAGATTGCTCCCAAATATAAGCCCTTGTTAAAAAGCAGATTATATAGTTCAAGTGACATTGAGTTAATACTGTGCATTGTACGATTTTGGCAGAATCAGCCGTTAAACCCCAAATTGTCACAAAATAAAGTAAACACAAGTTGAAATAAGTTAAATTTAAATACGATGACATTATTACAGCAACAATGCACTTGTGGTGAGTTTATATAACAATACTGCAAATAATCAGTATTTATACACATGCAATATTTCCATCAAAAGATATTCCATTAAAAGACAACTCTTATGATTTGGACTCGTAGCCCTTGACATTAATTACCGTAATTTTCGGAATATAAGCTGCGCGGCGTATAAGCCGCAGCACGCAAAAATCTGCAAATTAAGATTTGAAGTCGGCGTATAAGCCGCACCGGCGTATAAGCCGCACCAACCGCAGCGGTTCAATTTTGTAAGGCCTCCAAATTCTAGTCAAAATGCTCTGAACCAGTTCCATTTACACTACGAAAGCTATAAAAGGGCCACAAATGTTATGTCAAATCATTTACAGTCGATTACTCTTACAAACAAATATGGAAATTGATGATGAGAAATAAAAAACGGGAATTGCTGCCGGCTGGCTTGTCAGTGAGCCTGTGCCGGCGAATGACATTATTTTCCCCCAGCACTTGAGAGAGTATGCAACCCACCATGTGTTGTCTGAATGGAGCGCTACAAATCCTGCTTTGTGGCAACAGACGCTGAGTTGTTTTGTCCTAAAGAATAAACAAGTCCGTTTTTACAGCAAAACTTATCAAATTGTTGTGATTACTAACGAGTAGTAAAGTCAAAACTTCAAGTTTGGATCGTAACTTTCTTCGAAAACAGTCAACACGATGCCGAGATTTTTATGGACGAATCCATTAATTTCGTAGGGGTGGTTTCACCCCTGTTTTGAGTTTCACATCGTTTCTTGAATACATTTCAAGAAAAAATATTATATTGTGACGTTAAACAACTGATTATCAAATAAAGATATGTTTCAAACTCCATAAAAAGTATTAGTTGTCTTTTTCCTTTTTTTAAACTGGGGAAATATTGGTAATTATTGTTCCCAAGAAAGTGCACCCCTTTATTACCACAAATGGTGTGGTCCATGGGGAATCCACGCAGCATGCATGCAGCATAGGCAGCATCACGTACGGTTGGTTGCCGATGTCCAAGGGACAGCTTTCACTAGCCGTACTTTTTACCGCTCGGTATCTTTTTGTGGGACGTGCTTTAGGTTTGTTAATGACTTTCTTAATTGATAATTATTTCACCAACACATCTCTTCTTGTACCAGTACATTAAATACACATGTAAATGTCATTTTTATTCTTCAAGGCTTGGCGTATAAGCCGCCCTGTGTATAAGCCGCAGTAAACATTTTCATGGGCAAATTCAACGTATAAGCCGCGGCTTATATTCCGAAAATTACGGTAGCCCATCTTAATCCTGATTCTGTTTAATTCCTAGATCAAACTCAACATCCCAGAAACATACCCTTCAAAATTAAATTAATGAAAAATAAAATAAAATAACAACATTAAATATAAGCGGCACTGCTGATTGTATAAATTGTCAGGATGAAACTGTAACTGTAACATTTTGCAGGGCAAGAAAGCATTTAATAGTATTCATAACAAAAAGAGTAGAATGACGACATAAAACATAAAACATACTTAAATAAGCTGATTCTCCCTTTTTGTAAGTTTCTATCAATTTACAATGTAATTGAAACTTTTAACACATCAAATGTCTTTCTGACTGTGAATTTTGATATCGTATTATTTTGATAACTTCAAATGCAGTAAATAAGTGACATTGCGGACAGTAAGTGCACTTTGTGGATGGCTGACAGTAGCTTTTTGGTTTTCTTTTTTTCATGTCTCAAAGCACGTCTACTATTGTGTCTTATTTTGTCTGAGAACCTGAAGAGGAATATTTCTGGGTGTGGGTTTCTTCTTCTTACAACAAAACGCCTGTAGGAATGCCTCTCTGAATCTTTGGCTGCCAGCGTTGAAAAGGATGGGATTCAAGGAAGATTTGAGTAGTATCAAAATGGCAATGATGCTGGTCCACACATCTAGAAAAGTGAAATATCTTTCTCGTGCCTGTTTGTCTGTTAATGGTTGGGATACAAACTTAAGAGCTTTACTTATGCCTACAGACAGAAAGCACATGAAGAAGATGACCGCATTGGCTACGAGAATCAGGGTCACACGATTCCGTCTCCTGGCCAGTTTAGGGGTCTCAGGAGATGCTGGTGATATCTTACGAATTTTTCTGACAAGGAGCACGTACAAGACAAAATTTATCAGCAGTACCGCAAAATGACACGACACAGTAGCAATACGATAAGCTTTGGGGAGCTCATATCGTGCGACGGGTTTTGTCAGGCCTGTTAACGAACTGTAGCGGTCTCCAATAGGTCCTGAGGTGCATACAGTCTCCTGCGTATACTCATGTAGAACGAAACCTGCCACGCCAAATGCAAATTGTACGAGCCATATCACTACCGTGAATAGCACGGCCCGTTTCTTTGTCTGAATCCGCTTGTATCTAAAGGGGTGGCAAATAGCTATGTAGGTCTCAACTGTGATAAGTGTACAGATGCTTAGAGTGAGATTAGTGCATATAGTTTTTGTCACAAAGTCTGATATGATAAAGAATTGTGCACTTGAAATGTTTGCAGTGTCTAACCTGTTCTGTGAGTACAAAACATCATGTTGAGTTGACGTTGTGTAAGTACATGTTAGCACAATTAGGTCTGCCACAGCTAGATTGGCGAGATAAAAGTTTAAAATGCTGCGCAATTCACGGACACGAAGGAGCGTAAAAAAATAGGATAGGTTGGCAAGGATTCCGAAGGCCTCAATGAAGGGTGCAATGTACCCAAAGACAACCACACTCACAGTGCTATACTCCAGGAATTGGGCTGCGTCTTCTGATAATGTTCCCTCGTATATGGAATGATGGAACAGTTTCCACGCTGAGTTGTTTGTGCTTGCGCAGATTACAGCCCCATATGAAGTGTTTGACAAGTCTGCATAACTCAGGATGTAGGGAATTGTTGGATTGTTTGGGTTGATGTAAGAGACTTCACAATCTGTCTCATTGTGGAATATACATACTACAAAGGTACATATGATTACATCAAGCTGGTTTGCAGTCAGTGAGACATTCCCGTATACTAAAGCTTCAAATCTATCTGCGATAAATCCTAACATCTTATCTTTACAACAGCTCTTCCAAGGTTTTTTATTTAATTACCGGTACTGTGTTTTACTTCAAGGAAATTTTTGTTTCAAGATTATCCGTCAAAATATAAACAAATACTTGTACATTTCTATTAAAACATCAATGTTTTTTGGAGTTAGCCAAGTCGATTATGGCATCTGAGATAGAAGTAACAGGCTTGGAATTGATGACGATGTGAAGAGATTTCAAGTCGTTGGTTCCGTGACTTTCATTTGTGCTGGGCGATGTCAACCTTCATTTGCTCGGCTTCAAAGCATGAGATCCTTACCCCTGGGAACAAAAAAGTTTGACCAAAAATGAAAATGACGCACCAAAGCCAGATTGGCATTTTGAATTCAAAGTTGGTTCTGATGTGCATGCATTATGTAAATTGCACCAATAAGTGTTTTAAGTATACTTGAGCTGTTCATTTTTTAATAACGTAGTCTTCGATTATTCCAATATTCAACGTAACATGTGCCATCCTAAACTTATAGCAGATCGCGATTTTTGTGCATCTGCGCTTGTCGAAAATTGACAAAGAGCTTAAAAGAGAAGTACAGATAGCAGAATGGCTGATATTTGAGCTCCGATGCATGAATGCGGCTGTCAACAAAAGTGTGGCATTTGTCAAACAACGAACCAAGCAACTTGAATGAATAGAATATAATAATGTTGATTTCTTCCTTGTTTCCTCGTTACAGTTCAAAAATTTTTAATAAACAAAATGTTATTCAGATATGTGTATTTGGTATAGTTTGCACAGCCCGAGAGTTTTCATCCTAAGATTTGGATATCTCCCGACCGAGATACTGTCTCCTGAAGTTTGCCTTCCTTTGTTGCAGTGCTTAAACTTCTAAAACACATTGTTTTGTTAACTTTTTGGAATTTGTTTTAGGTAATGAAACCATTTCCAAATTGTATACATATGCATTGAGCATGTGGGAATGAGTATTATATGAACAAAAGGACTTAATCAAACAAGTAGCTTAAGAAGGGTAGACATTGAATTTGTAGAGGCTTAATAATACATGTGTAGGCCACAAGAGCAGTTTGGACCGTACTTTTATTGTTTACAGTTGGAGACTACTTTTATGAACATTATTTGCATATTTTTGGACTAATTAAACTCACCTGAGCAAATTTTGAACTTGGTTAAATCCACCCTGCTTCATGACACAGTCTTTTTGTTGTTTAATTTTAACTTTTAAGTCGGTGTTTGAACTTACCCCTCGGATAGTGTGCTTGTCTTTCGAAGTGAAGAGGCATAGAAGAAAAGCAAAGCATTCAGGAAATGGAGCTGGAGCTGGAAAGTCAGTTGGCGTGTAAAAACAAAAATCTACCTGCTTCTAAGCTTTCGTAGGAACACGGTGCTTGTGCATGTTTCTGCCTAGTTCATGCAGGCTGAGGCAACTGGTCTTGCTTGTTTGGCAAAACAAGGCTTGTTCTTGGAGCGACGCTTGCTGATCACACACTTGAAGATTGTTGAGGAAATGAAAGGCTATAGTCTCAGTAGAAGGAGGAGCTGTAACCAGTGGCATCAGGCAGAGATTGAAGCTTGTGGTGTTTGCTATAAGGAACTAACGCATTATATATGGGAAAATGGCATCCAGTTTACCACCGTACGACATATGATACTGATTCTCATCCGACATTTTAGTGACAGCTGATTGGTCAGTTCTGAGTCACGTAATGTTTTATTGGCTCGTGTTCTGAGTAACACAAGTTGTCATTGGCCCATGCAAAGGTTTTCAAGAACAATGAGTAATACCACTTAAATGTGAATGTGAGATAGGACTGTCACTTCAGTTTCAAGTCGTTTACGTGAGGGAAAATATGAAGTTTCTTATTCTATTTGTTTGTGATTAAGAAATGGTCAACAAAAGCACCTTCAATTTACAAGCAAAAGTGTTTCTTGAATACATTTTACTTACTGAAATTATAAAATAAGTTTCTAGTTGTGAACGTGTGTGGAAATATGAGCTTTCTGATTCTATTTGTTTGTGATAAGGAAATAAAATATGATCAACAAAAGCACCTTCAATTTACAAGCAAAACTGTTTCTTGAATACATTTGTAGTATTAATACCATATTTAGCAATTATAGAGATAAGTGATCAAAACAAATGACATCCAAACAACTTGAATACATTTTGCTACAGTAGTTTCAAGGAGGCATTTTAGTTTCACTTTGAATCGGTTTACTGACAGAGCCAAGATTCTTAGCAAAAAACTGAAACCAAGATGTTGGAATATTTCCTTAATGATGTTTATTTTCAAGCTTCTTTGTAATTGTTTAAGTTATTGCTCTGTTTATTCATCGTATTAACGCAAAGAATCAGTTTCAATTTGCTTAATATATATCTATGGGTTTGCAGTTGTTATAATGAAAGCATATTTATTTTTAAATAATGATTTTAGAGATATTTGTTACGGATATGAAACTATTGTGGATGTTTAATATTAAACAGAAAGAGGAAAATTCAGAGGACAAAAAGAGATTGACTGACTTTAACTCAGATACAGTATTTACTGTTTATCATACAGATTTTGCCAACCTAAAACTGCCTTGCCCATTTTCTCCTCTTCCCAAAAATTTAATGATCTTGAAATCAGCTTTATCCTCGCCATGCTTAACCGAACAAGATTCAATACTGCAGTGGGCAATTTATTTGGGGAACCCTGATGTTGATCTAAATACTTTGAGTTTTACTGTTTGGGGCCTTTGAAATTGAAGGTCTTCACACTTTAACTTCTCTTATTGATTTATCCCTTTTTAGGAATTATGTTGTGTTGTGTACCTACAAGAGTCGGGGAGCAACTAATTGATACACCCATCCACTTTGTCAAAACTTTTTGTGTCAAATCAGTAACATCTTTACCTGACTTTTAACTCCAGAATTTTCAACCACTAAGTGTATACAGGGCGAATCATAAAAAGGAAACCCAAATGGCAGGAGCAATTTAAGTGTTCTTTCACGTAAGTCTTCTTTGAGCAAAACGAAAACAATTGAGGGATGTGTGAATTGTTTTCGTTTTGCTGAAAGAATGCACACCTTTTTTGTGATCCGTGGACAGAACTTTAAAATGGTAGTTGTGTTTAATATTCCATAACTTGAAAAGTACATGGGTGATTTGAATGATTCTTGTACTAAAAGAAAGCTTATTGATTGGGCTTTCATATCCTACATTTTGAAAGTGCTACATGCAGAACTTTATTAAGAAAATGATCCTGCCATTTGGGTTCCTTTTTTTTTTTTTTTTGGACTCACCGTGTACTTGTGCACATATTCCAACGTTGGATACAACAGTTGTTTGTGAAACAAGGATTGAAAGAGCTGGGTTGTTTTTATTTGTACAAAACTTTGTTAGTGAGTACTTTTTTCTCTTCTGTCTTTATAGATACATGTTCTGAGCCATTGCTTGTGATCGGGGAACCAGTTTTAGTCACCGGTGTCTCTGCAACAAAAGGTCTACTGGTTGTGGAGCACAATAGCTGTACGCTGCATGTACCATACCAGTTCACACAAGTCAAGGTTGGTCATTGTCTTGGGTTAACTCATTTAAGTGTCTCGGGTTAACTCATTAAGTACGCTTCTTTAATGAGACATCGAGTACATTTTGTCGTCAAATCTCAGATGTTCACTCCCCTCCCCCCCCCCCCCCCAACTAGGAAAAAAAGAGGGAGAACGAATATCAAATCTTTTTATATTATGAGCCAATTAACTGGCTGTAAGCAATCCACTGGTTGGATGTAAATTTTGTATTATTGAAAGTTTGACCAATTAAGGTAATGAGTGTTGTTGTGAAAGTTAACAGAAAAGTCTGTCCTCCAAGATTTTTGTTAAATTTATTACAAACACGGCATTTTACTTTAAAATGTGAATATTTTACAATTTTTTTCATATTTATTATTTGGTTTGCATTGTTGTCTTTATTATCAAGAAAAAGATTTTTTGAGAATAAAACTTTATCAATCTGACCTTTACTGTTGTTGGTGTCACCTTCAATCCATTCTCAGTTATTTCTTCAAACATGAAACCAATTTCCTCTTCTTTTGCATTCTTAAAATAAACGGTTTGATTACACAGCAGTCACGAGCTTCAATTTCATTTTTTTTAATTTCAATTTCAGTTGCAATCAGAGGTGTTTACATTTACTTATCCTTTCTGTTTCAGACAAATGGATTGACAGTCGGCACCAAGATATGAAACTGACGAAACATGTCTCAGCCTCGAAGACTAATTGGCAACAATGAGAGCAACAGCTGAGAGAACGGCCAACTGGTTGTCCTGGTTGATACAATATCGGCGTCGTGTGATTGAATTGGATGGCTCACTCATCCAAAATGTGGGGCTGGATATGGCAGAGTTGTTTAATTACAAAAAAAGATGCGATCGCTTTACAATGCACAGATTTGGATTGAAGGGTTGTTTATCACAAGTCAAATCACAAGTCAAGTCATAAACTAAATCAACTTGAAACTGTATAAAGTGTGATTGGCTTGTGAGTGGCTTGTAATTGGCTTGTGATTGACTTGTGATTGGCTTGTGATTGGCTTGCAATTGGCTTGTGATTGGCTTGTGATGATCTGGTAACTACTCTGGTGAATTGAGGGTGATTCTTTGTAAACATACTGAGGAAGTTATGGTTACTGCCAAAGAAACGTTTGGAAAAAAACAATCAAATATTTATCACATTTCCCAAGCACTTTCAAGTACTCCCACCAGCCCACGCCATGGAAAACTGCTGTAAGAAAAGAACCAGAAAAGAATGGCTATTCACTGCAAGTCATTTCATGTAGGCCTACAATAGCCTACACAATGGGCCGGAGCTAGCCCATTCATTGGTATTACAGGGTTATCCTATACAATAGCACTGCCCAGCTCACAACTGACAGTAAGTCAGTCAGTGAGTCAGTCTGGGCCCAGCAAAACAATTTACTTCTAGTGGAGCTATTACAACTCTTGTACAGTAACAGAATGCCAAACTCAAAAAGTTATGTAACAGTCACCAATACAACTGGTGTGTATCATAGTTGTCAAGTCTTGTAGAAAGGGAGATGTTTGGAGCAGGCCCGTAGCCAGGCGAGGGAAATCAACCGCAGGTCCATCATTTCCTTGCGATTGTGTATTTCCATGCATAATCAACTGTTTATGGTAAAAATGACCTTGCCCTTCCACCACGCTGGCTACGGCTCTGGGGGACGCTTGGTGGCAGCAAGCACACCGGTCCTTTTCTGTTGATTTTTTTTTTCATTTTGAACATGCGCACATTTGCTTAAACATGATGCAAACAAATGAAAAGGACCAGTGTGTTTGCTGCCACCAATTGTCTCAAAAGTCTCCTGTTGTATAAATCAGAGAACACGAGCTGTAAAGAGGCTTTGTGAGGAATTGTAAACATTGTTCTGATATTTATTTTCATTTTAGATTAACACTGATCAAAACTAAGATTATTTTAATCTCAAACCAATTAACTTGCCATCAGCAACTTTGTGAAATGCTTGTTCTGAGTTAACAAATGCAGTAATTTTGATAATTAAGATTGCTAAGTCATGTTTTTCTATGAGCTTTCAAATCAAAACATATTGTATCTAGTGAACAACTGAAAATGGAAAAGTGCAAAAGGGTGCTTTCAACTTGATATTTCTTTTCCTTTTTTTTTATATGAAAGGTAAACTTGCCAGCTTCATTTTCATATTTTAGCTCGTTTGTAACCAAATTCTGATTCATTTATTTTTAATTTAACTGAAAGACGACACATGAAATTAAATGTGAGAAGTTTTTGAACGAAGATAAAAAATCTTCACTAAAAGAGTTAAAAACTAATAACCTTCCAACTTTTTTTAAAATCAGATATGTTGTATGGCATATTTTACAGATCAGAATTAACTTTCTGAGTAGTTTTAAGGTGCATTACTTTGTGTCAAACTGAATCTCCTCAGCTCACCTAACAAATTAGGTTTATCCCTGGAATGTTGTGTTATTTTGAATAGTTGAGGAAACATGCTGCCGAATTATTGTTGACAAGTGGAAAAATACCAACGTTCTGAATGGCACTTAAATCAACTTGTCATGCCTACGACGTTAACAAACAGCAACATGGCTTGGTGCAATTCGGAAAAAGGCTTGCGTAAGGTTGAGGCCAAAGTTCCAAGTAATTAACATTGCTTGTCGGGCACAGTTTTAGGATAAGCAAACTTGTCAGTTTTGAGACTTCAAAACATACTTCAAAATAAATAAAGTGCTACGTGGTGTCTCTTCCACCTTCGCTAGCCAACTCTCACATCGTAAGACGGTACCCAAGCATGCCGAGTCCACATATACTTCTTTGACCTTATGCAATTAATTATTCGCGACACTTCGAAATATGGATTGACACAATTTCTGTCCGATCGGATTACTTGTCATAAAAACTGACCAACACAAATTTATGTACGGTATGGGCTTTGGTTGCCACTGGCTGGGCCATGTGGCACAAGCTCTGGCCCCCACCAGTCAAAAACATCTCCACCATTCAAGAGGCTTTGAACAGTAGTTCTCTGGTGATATTGTAGGCCGTTCAAACAAAAATGCTTGACATTTGGTTCTCATACGTACACAATGGTCGTCCTTTTTTTGTTGCCTTAAAAATTATATTAAATGGCTACATGTTACCTGCTTTCCTATTGGCTAACAAGCTCCAGAAAAAAATGACCACGCAGATCATGAATCAAGAATATTGAGTGAGAGTAAATGATTACGTGGATTTGGATTGCAAAGCTACCATCTTACGACCTACAAGAGCACAACTACCCTAGCTAGCGAGGATGACGTATTAATGACCTTAGCCTTCAAGCTATTAATGTTGAAATTATTGTTCATTACTTTATTGTAAAAATTGGTTCAGAATACAACATAAAATACAAACAAATTATTAGACCATTTTCAAAACAATATAGCTTTCTCAAAAATAATTTCTCATTTTAAAAAGGCACAAAATTCAGTTGTTGCTCTTTTTAATTCTGAAAGAAGTCGTTGAACAGTATTCCATAGATTTTCTTCATTTTTATCACTTTCATGCATTTTATTTCAGTTCTGTAAATTAATAAGTTTGTCATCAGTTTTGTTTATATTGTAAATACTGATTGATATTTATCTGTAAAATTTGACCCTGCATGTATCTCCATATACACTGCTGCATATTAGATTAATGTTATAAGAACAAATATGAACAAACGACTAGCCAGCTAGCTTATTTCAAAGTGCTGTAACAATGAACAAATGCTGAGGCTTTCTGCTTAAATTTGTAAACCTTGTTATTAATTTCTTATGAAACATACATTTTGTCTGTACATAACAGTTTCATTATTTATAAGTTAACATTTATGAATGTACACAAAATAAAGCAACCGTTTTTATATCCACATATATTCTGACTTAAAAAATTCATTTAGTTTTACTGACAGTTTAAAATGAGTTGGCTTTTTAAAAAAGAAATTTGTGACTCCCTCTTCTTTTTTTACATAATTGTACTACATGTAGTAGATATTGTTCCTCATAAAAAAGATTTTCTATTTGTACAAACAAATTAAGAACAATCTTTACAAATAAATTAACTTTTTTTTCTCCAAAAACAATTTACAATGCACAAAAATGATCACATCCACGTTGGTTTGACCTAATGTAACCTTGAAGTTTGCCCTTGGTTGCCTTCTATTGTTTAGGTTGAAAACATTTTCGTTCCTTGTCATATGCTCCCGAGGGACATCAAGACATATCACAAACTCCATTTCTGACAACACATGAACATGTTTATTGGTAGCTGTTGTGACTTTGACCTTCCTGCCCTGCAATTTACATGCTTCTGGCGGGCTCAATCCAAGACCTTCAATGAACTAGATTGGACTTGAAAACATCAGGTATTTCTCATGCTATTATATAAACGACTGAAAGAATTTTAGCCACTTGGACCGTAAAGTACATTGCTTTGTATTGTCGAAGCCAACTTCTGATTCTAGGCTATTCTATTTCCAGCAGGTGAATTTCCTCATGATTTCATCAGAGATTGTTTCTTATTCTTTCATGTATAAACAAACTATAATCTCTTGAATTTTTGAAGTACATGTATTTGGCTCTGCATGGTCATTCCAACCTCTAATTCCAGCCGTTTCAATTCCAGCAGGCAAGCTTCTTTTGACTGCATCAAAGACTGTCTGTCTGCCCTCGATTGGACTCTATAATCTCTTGAATACTTGAAGTACTTGACTCTGCATAGTCATACCAACCTCTGATTCCAGCCGTTCTAATTCCAGCAGGCAAGCTTCCCTTCTTGCTTTGATTTGCTTGAGTATTTCCTCCTTCTCTTTGATATAAGCACGAAGACCGAGCTACAAAAAGGAAAGACAAGCATTTCCACAACATGTTTATACAAGAAGTTAAAACGGCTATGTGTTGCTGAATTGGAAAGAAAAGTTTTAAAGTGAGTAAGATCCGGATGCAAGTTCATGTGTTGTTTTTGCTTATTATAGCAGAAAGTTCTGCTCTGGTAGTAAAGCAAGGAATTTGGAATTGCTAATATCTCACCAATTTTCCTGTAGGGATAATGTGCAAAATCGAAGAGGGTACCAATAAAGATCTTGAAAAAATTGTTTTGAAGAAAGAACAAAGATTAAAGAACTTTAAATTGAAATGTGCAAAACTTAATTTCCACACTGTCTTCTTGATTGCATGGACAATTGCAGATTAGTTGCCATTGTCCTTGCCCCCACTGATCATGTGCACTCTGTTTTGAACTAAAACCTGTTCTGTTTGTAGCACAGGGTGTTTTGACAAAGAGGAGGAGAGGAATCGTAGGTTGTCTACAAAGTTGGCATAATTCAAAGGTACTTACCAAGTCTGATGGTTCTTCAGGCTTGTCCTTTTGAAAATGGCTCTCAATTCTGTGAAATAAAAGAATTTGAACATTATCACTCTCTATTATCTCAGTTTTGATAAAATCTTTCATATTAAAATTTTAAACACAAAATACACATCAGATTTATCAGAACTTGTAATTTGAAATATGTTAGAAAACATAGGGAAAGAAGTTTAAGAAGTAAAAGAAAACATATTTTTAATTTGAACTTTATTAAAATGATTTTGGTAGAATTGGATGAAACCTATAAGTAAGGTTTATTAGGTGAAAAAGTGGTCTCTATACTGTCTCCTTTAAGAAAAAAGAGTAGTACACAACAAAGGTGTGACTAGAGTGGTGAAGTGACTTGTGATGGTATTGTCATGGACTTGACAACAATACAAGGCAATAGCATTCATTGGGGGGTACATTGAAAAACTTACTGGTAGCATTTGACCAGAGTGTCTTTGACGGACCACTGCAGCTTACTGATGTCTGCTTGATACTGCACCATGACGTTACTGCTGTCTGCATTGCCAATTCCTGGCAAAGACAAAACATTTAGGAAAAAAAAGATAAAACTTGAAATGTACTAAAACCCCATTGAAATTCAAAACTTGCTCTCACGCAATGAGTATCAGATTACCTTCTAGACAGATAGTGTGTCTTTAACTACTTTTGTTACGCGCAAGTATAGCATGATCTCAACTATAGTAAGGATTGTCCCAACTATTATTGGGACCATTGCTATAGTCGGGGCGCAATATTTTTTTAAGACAAACATTCTGCTGGGGATATGTTTTGAGCAAGAGATTGTGTCTTCTACTTTCTGACCTTGTAAGAGATTTTCCAGATCTTCAATTTCCTTCCTGATGATCTCTTGTGTTCTGTTGACTGAATACCTCCTAGAAACAAAACATTGAAGATACAAACAACAATCAAAAAGTTGTTAATGATACAAATTTGTTTCTCTATTCACAATCAAATATCACTTTTCATTTTTCACTTTTAAAATCATAAATATGGTTACTGTCCCCCCCCCCCCCCCAAGCCATTTTGCAAGGGGGGATTCGACTTATAGAAGAAAACGATGACTTACTCTTCATCATGCAGTAAGCTACCATCAGCAGCATAGATGCCCCGCCTTGCTTGTGTCTGGTTTCTGGACTCGTATGTCGGTTCCGGTGGAATGTGCTTCTCCTGTGACATTGAAGACTTTATTACATTACCAACATCATAAAGTCATCAACACAAAACATAGTTTCTTGCATTTTTTTTTCGATACCAGTCACTAAATGTCAAAAGATGAGTGTTAAATGTTTACTTTGTGTACATTAGTGTACGTTATGTAGTAGTCCTCCACAATGAGTGCCTTATCATAAAACAGACATCATGGAAATAAATGACATAAGAGTGCAATTCTAAAACTTGGAATGTCCACGAGAACACTCAACAAGGTGTACCTCCAGTTCTTAGTTTTTAAAAAAAAAGGGCAATTCTAAGTATGAAGACATTCTCTTCTTGAATATGGACCTATTTTGGTAGTGATGACGGTTAAAGGGAATATACATCATTTGCTTTTGTTTTATTTTTAGAAATGGATGGATTTGGGGGTTGGTAATATATAGCAAATATTGTTACACTGACTTTTTTTGACGTTTTGGGTCGTAGATGCTATAAAAACCAAGAAAAACAATCATTTTCCTGTAGTCTGGTTCCCTGACTCCATTTAAGATGAAACGGGGCAATTTATAGACGTTGGGAAATTGTAAGGCCAGGGAACTAGTCTAGCTGGCTTGTACCTGTTCATAGGTGTGTAATCGATTGCAAACAAATGCGGACTAACTAAATATGGTCAATTGGGGCCAGTATTTGAAAAAAGCCAGTTTTTTTTCAGTGCTGGTCAGCCGACCAGCGTTGGAAATTGATATGAAAATACCACTTTTCTTGAAAATGACAGTTTACCAGGTGCCATGATTTTACAGGATGCGTTAGACCGTCATTTACTAACAGTCCAGCGAAGTTTTTCAAAAGAATTTGGTAGTTTTATTTTTTGATGTCTGCAAATGTTGTATTTTCCCTTTAAGGCAAACTTTAACTGGAATTTGTTTGTTTGTTTGCGTTTGTTGGTTTGTCTGGGGAAGGGGCAGGGGCTGAACTATTGATATTAATATTAAGTCAGTCTGAAAAAGTATTTAAGAATAATTGAAGTGCTGACTTACCACGTCATAATGAAATAGTTTCTTTGGATCCTAAATAATAAAATGAAATCACAGATTAGTCAACAGTAACGAAAACTCAAACAAATATCTAGAAACTAGAGATACCACCAGTAATTTTTCTCATATGAAATGGAGAAGCTCACTTTGAAACAGTTGAAAACATATATACCATAAGGACAGGCATGGGTTCAGAGCTGAGAATTTCAGACATGGTACAAATCAACACATTTGATCAAAATTAGCAAATGGAAAAGGAAGGTTTTTTTTGGTGACTTACAAAGGGTTTTGGAGGAGGGGGAATGACAGTATGAGGCATGACATCATCTGCTCGTTGGACTGGCGGCACCACGGGTAAGTCATCTACTTGATGAAGGAGGGACGGTAGAAAGATCAGGCATGAAGATGAGTCTACTCCACACCTGACAGGCACAAATGGTTGAGAACAAAATCTTCAACCTCGTGGAAAATTTAATGACCTTTCAATCCAGATAAAGTTGACGCTCTTGCCTTGCTGTAAACAATCCATTCAACAGATTCCTACTTGATATGAATCATAGAAGAAAACAACTTTTGAATAGAGAAAAACTCTTTATTCTTCGCTCAACTTAATTAAAAAAAAAAAAAAATGTTTTCTTTGCATTTCTTAAGCGCAGCTTTACCTATAGTTTCGGAATTGGTCTGTTGGTGGTAGAATGCTGATGCCCCTGAATAATTTGTAACTTATCATAAATCTCTGTGCAATGTTTCATAAGAAAATTTCTGTCAATTCATCTAAAATTTTCTAAATAGTACAGTTCAGGTGCCAAACCCCCAAAAGTATGGAGGAATGAACTTTAATTAAAACAAACAAAGATTTACTGGATATGTAAAGTTAACCAGAGGCTTTTAATTAAATTGAAGTGGATTTGTCTAATTACAAATGACTCTGCAGAATACTGAATGTGAAGTTCTTGCATCCCAAAGAAAAAATCTTAAGGCTGTATGTGTCATTACCTATAAACACAATTTACAATCCATGAAGCAAGACAGTATCTTCCATGTCTGTAAAGGCAAGGCTGCAGTTAATATTACGAGTCTGATTACAAGTTGGAATTTCTGGATAGATTTTTTTTAAAGGAATCCTATTTACCAATCCATGGGAACGTCTTCCGTCAGCCAAGGCCTGAGTTGGGCAATGTCTTCTGGGATTGATCGGTCCACAATCTCTTGCTGGTCTTTCTTCCTTTCCTTCCATCTTTTGATTTCTGCATCCTTGACATCAAATGCAGCCATCTTGTACAATCCAACATCCTTGGGTGAATTTCCAGTACCACATTTTTCAGCAGACTCTGGTCTAGATTTTTGTTCTTTGGTTTCAAAAGTGAGGAACTGTTTGGGAACTGGTCTGTTCCCGATGGCTGACCCAGGCCGGTGTCGGTTCCCTGCCTCTCGTTGGGGTACATTGGCAGAGCTTGGCCTCTGACGATCCCTGACCCCGCCCCTAGGAAGGATGGTATTGTCTTTTACATTACTGGATGAAGACGAAGGGATAAGACGAGCCTTGGCACTTTGGATCTTCCTGACGTGAGGACTCATAGCTCGTGGGGGTTTCTTGTGGACTGGTGGGGTCGGTTCAAAGAGGAGCTGTGCTGTGCCGAGGCAGCCTGAGAGGGTCAAGGGTGATGGTGCTGTGTGCTTACACTGGCATTTCTCTTGCACCGGTTTACCTGATGGAGGTCTATGCAGCACTGAATCTGTAAATAAATAGTTATCAACAAAATCACTATTAAAAGTCTGCAATAATGGATCTCTATGCACAGGATTGAGAGTCCAAAATATTTTTACTACATGTAGGTCTCTCCTAGTCCAAAAATTTGGGACTCTCAGTGCTGTGTATGAGAGTCCCGAAACTAAGCTTGGTGAAAGCATGTAATACAAGAAAATAGACTAGTATTATCACATGAAACAACTAGGGCCTAGTCCAACTTTCCTGTAGTACTGCATCAATCAACTGTGTAAAAAAACACATCTGGAACATTTAATAGGCGCATAATGTTCCACCATATCGAAACGACTTGCAATGCTCATGATCGATGACAGAACAGAATTTGTATTAAATAGAGGTATCCTAAACTGTCACTTTACCGAATTTTTTTTTACATTTCATAAACAACATCCATGACATCTGGGTCAAACACTGAGTTTATATAAGTTACGTCAAGATACATTCCAACATTAGGGCCTACCACCTCCTGATTACCAATAATGTCAATCAAATTAAATTCCCAACAAAATCTGGACTGACAAAAGACCACCTAGGCCCCCTACTGAAATTTAACATTTATAGCTTGTCAAGACAAAGGGACCTTTTAATGTCACATCCAAGTAGGCCCTTGTAAATTTGCCTGGTGCAGTAACACTTGTTTATTTTCACAAAATTTAGTTTAATTTAATGATCAATGTTTATTCTTTAAGATCAATATGTCCTTTCTTGTTTTATTCATCATTTTGTTTAACAGCATGAGTAAATGCCTTAAACTTTTTTTTTAAATGTAATTTACTGCAATTCAGCTTTTGGCTGCCATGGTTAAATAAAATAAACCATTTCAAATCAAATCAAATCAAAGACCAAGATAAAAATTGTCTTCCAAATGGCCAGCATGCGTTTAGATAGACTAAACTTCGTTTATGATGTGTGTATGTTTTAAACGTTAACTTAAAGGGAAAATACAACATTTGCAAACATCAAAAAATAAAACTACCAAATCATTTTGAAATACCTTGCTGGACTGTTAGTGAATGACAGTGTAAAGCATCCTGTAAAATCATGGCACCTGGTAAACTGTCATTTTCAAGAAAAGTGGTATTTTTGTATCAATTTCCAACGCTGATCGGCCGATCAGCGTTGGAAAAAACTGGCTTTTTTTCAAATACTGGCCCCTGAGTTGACCATCGCACTTGTTTGCAATCGATTACACACCTATGAACGGGTACAAGCCAGCTAGACTGGTTCCCTGACCTTACAATTCCCCAATATATGTAAACTGCTCTGTTTCTTCTTAAATGGAGTCAGGGAACCAGACTACAGGAAAATGATTGTTTTTCTTGGTTTTTATAGCATTTTCGAACCCAAAACCTCAAAAAAGTCAGTGTAACTACATTTGCTATATATTTCCAACCCCCCAATTCCATCCATTTCTGAAAATTACAGCAAAAGCAAATGATGTATATTCCCTTTAAGTTATATAGTTAGGCCTATAGGCCCCTAACTGACATTCACAATCACATTCAGACTGTGCGTCCGGAAACTAGGCAAACAAAAACCATGAGCCTAAGTCTTTAACTTCCAACCAAATTGCTCTCTAGTTTCTTTGATACTATTCTGAACATGTGCTTCAATACAACACCTTTCTTTTCAGCATCCCGATCAATGTTTTCGACTGCTTTCACGGTAATTTCTGTTGCCGTAGACGCCATAATTTCGTTGCTTAGGCGGCCATTTTGTATTAAAAATCTCCCACCTCTATCACTTATCAGTAAAAAAAATATAGAGAATCATTCAAAATTAACTACAAAAATAATAAAAATGTAACAGATCATACCATTAAATATTATGTAAATATGTAGATTATCGTTTCATATAAATGAGTAAAGAAAGCTAATTTTATTTCAATTATTGTTGGCTCTATAATTGAAATAGTGACCTCATTAAAGATGGCAGCCTGCATGACTTGAAGTTTTAGTCGGTCGGCTGCGGAAATATCGAGAGAAAACACAGTTTTGACGGCGTAAATATAATTATCAAGATGCCGAATGAAATCGTATGTCATTATTGTCATTGCTTTTAGTAGTTTGACTCCCAGTAGTGTCTTTGTGCCTCTTACTTTGTTGTGTTAATCATGAATAGGCCTAGGCCTATGTGCCTAATCATTCTCTTGGAGTTGTTTACTACACGTTACGTAGGCTTATCCGCGTAACGTCAGAGGGCGCTGTTATTTATCATCGAATTCTAGTCTTTTGCCTTTAATTTATAGAATTAAAAAATTCCAATGATATTAATATGAGTTGAACTGGTAGATGGACATTGCATTAGCTGGAAAATGGTGAATTCATTGAATTTCTAACTTGGACATGGTTTTTAAGAACGAAGTGGCTATCAATCATTAAAGCAGATGTAACGCGATTTTCAACTGCTTTATTTCCTTTTTACTTTCATGTTTTTAATTAAATAATTATTTTTATTAAATTTTTTTTCTTCTGTTTTTTATGTCATTGTGGCTTTGAAGGATTTATTTAAAAAGGGAAATAAAGGGGGGGGGGGAACATTTGATAGGCGCATTACTTGCTGATTTTTTCCTTTGTTCTTTTTTTAACACTTAATCTCTTGCGGAGCACCCTGGATTGCATAAATTTTTCAAGGGGGGGTGGGCACTGATATCTTTTTGTTTAATTCAAGATTAAATGTTAAAAGTGGGATCAAACAACACCACGATAAGAGTCGCCCATACATGTATTTGTGTCTGTTTTCTTCGTGCAGATTGTCCGCCTCCAGTCACCGGAAGGCACCAAGAGGGTCAGTGTTCCCATGGCAATGACACTCTACAAGTTTTTCCAAAAGGTAAGGAACTTCAGAGACTAGAGTGGTGCGTAGACATCTGAAAATTATTCTTTGAATTCTCTTAAAGGTAGAGTACATCATTTGTCATTTTTACTTCTTTTTTTTCATTTGAAGCAACAAAAGTGCTCTACTGCTCTTAATCAAAAGAAGGGTGCTTAACAACTAACCTGATGAAGTTTCAGCTCAGTGAATGCCGTATATTTCGAGAAAACAATATTTTAGGATCTCAATTTCAATTCAAAATTTGCCGAGTCATGTTTTGAATTGCACCCAAAATCAGCATCCGGGACATGTTCTCATTCAGCCAATTGCAGCTACATGATCATTGATGTCACGCACTAAACCGAGGAATAATAGCAACCACACGCACGAATGCATCATGTCAATGCTTGCATGTACTCATTCACGGCTTCGCTGAATTAAAAACAAACTACAAACGGAAATTTCAAAAATGCGTCTTTAGAAAAGGCCTTCTTTTATTGTTTTCTTTAAAATGACAGCACGTCAGCAACAACAATTTTGCATGGCGTTTAGTACCATTACCATCTTTAAACCAAGTATGCTTTTCAACAATAATTTCGTCAGTTACTTTTTAGATAGCTGCAAATGATGTTCTCTACCTTTAAGACACTTCAAAACACAGCTTTGAAAACATCATGAACTGTTTCTCTTTTCTTGTACACTTGGAAAAGAAATGCCTACATGATTGCTACCTTGTACATTGAAACCAAATTCAGTAGTAAACTGTGTTTAAAAGTTTGTAACATTTTGGCTCAAATCATTAATTACCATATATATTGTTGATTTATATTTCAATCAATTTAAGTTAAAAGTTAAAACCATTTTCTGCTTCGGAGAGCAGAATTCGATTTATTGAAGCTGTAAATAGGTTTATATTCATTCCACACTCAACAGGTAATGTTTTTTGTTTAAGTACTGATATTTTTTTCTCTCTTTCAGACTTTCTTTTTGAATAATCATTGATTGAACATTTAAAACAAACTTTTCCCACAGGTGTCTGAAGCAGTGGCAATTCCCGTAGACCAATTCAAATTATTTGCCGACCGAAACAAGACAAAGGAGTTACGACCAACCAGCAAAGCCACGCTGAACTCGTCCAAAATCAAGTAATTTCTGTTTGTGACCACTATCATTTCTGTAGGGATAACGTTCACTTCAACCGAGCAATAAAAAAAATTGGATATTTACTTTTCAGTAATGGTAAAAAGGCCCAACCATGTAAACCATTGTATTTATTCACTGATGATTCCATGAAACTATAGAATGCACATGTGGTTTCAGGCACTACAGTGAGTAATAAGCAGGGGGGTTTGGGGAGGTATAGTGGTCTAAAAGATTAAGTCGTTGATATGCATGTGGACCCAGCTGATATGAATCTAGGTAAAAGTCTGAAACTAATGTGACATTTAACAAGTCCTCTAGAAATCCTCGATCAAAACATGTGTATAGCATGGATTTTGCCTTAAAATAGGAGAGCTAAATGCTGGGTGTATTACATCCAATTCTAAGAGACAATATTAGACAATAAAACACTGATAAATATCTAACGGAACATTTTAAAGAAAACTAGTGATGCAAAAATTCTCAGAAAGTAGTCATTTTCATTTGCCAATGAAAATCAGGAAAAAAACACACTATATTCAGGTTTTTCAGGTACTCAACCAAATAATAGTTAAGAAATCTGTGATAACATAAGGAAATGTCTTCAAGTCAACTTTTTCCACTATTCAAAAACTCTTATCACTGATCATGAACAACTTCTTGTATTATTTCCCTGTTGACAGACATGGAGATATGCTATATGTGACATACCAAACATCTAGCTATGATGGAGATGCTGATAAGCCAAGCGTGTCGACCTCCAGTGTAGTCGAGGATGACGTGGACCAATTTATTGCCAAACTTGATGGCAAGATCTACAGAGAAAGAGATGATCAACTGTAAGTCAACCATCAGGGAGAAAGTTTCTAATTCCTCTGCTGGGTGTTGTGTTCCAATCTCGGCCAGGGATGTAGTCAAGTACATCACAAGTCCAGTCACAAGAAGCAGTGGATGGACTTGTGTTTGTCTTGCAAGGGTTTGTGATGGACTCGACTACGCTCCTGTTCTTAGCTACAGCACTTTCTGAGAGACTAACAGAAAAGCTTATAGTTCCGATACTTCTGCTTCTTGAAGGACAAATTTGTGGTTTTTATTGCACTCTGAAATAAACTTCTGTGAATTGTTGCTGACTCAACCAGACACCTGAACAAAATTGGAAGAAAGGCAAAAAAAACCCAGAATTTCCTTTTATACAGGTTTTTATTTTTCCTTCCAGTTAAGCTCAAAGCTCAGTGGTTGAGTGGGTAGGATATCTGCACTAGTAAATGGAAAGTCACAGGTTCAAGTCCCACCTTAGAAAGCATGAAAAATAAAGTGATTGAATTGGTGGAAATATTTCCCTACTGTTGCAATCTGACAGTCGCTGCATTTTGGACAGATCACAAGTCCAGTCACAAGTATAAGGGACTCTGTATGGGTGGTGATTTACTTGTGATGACTTGTGATCCATATCAAATATCTGGACTACAACACTGCTGATACTCTATCTATGAGCCTATGATAATGTAATATATTCTTGCTCTGCTTTCCAACAGGTGTCACCATGGAGTCAATGCAAAGTGTGTCCACTGTGTACCTTTGGAGGTAAACAATCTCATACACTGTCAATATATCCAGATTTTGCTAAAATTTCATGTTTTAGATTGTTAACGTATCTTATTACAAAGGTCTAGGTAACAGGTTATCCCTACAATTTATTACATTCTTTAGGGAAAATATTGGAGAATCCTGTTTGTTTACATTTGACTTGGCAGCATTTTTGGGCTGGTTTTTCAACATTTTCTCCATTAACGTGTGGATTATCGGTAAGCCAGAACTTTGAGTTTTGGCAACCTTCGGATGAATGTGTACCTTTAATAGATTAGATTAGATAGATTTCTTGTTGCTTTTTTAGCCGTACGATGAGAGGTATCTCCAGGAGCACGATCCACCCATCAAACATCTATCCTTCCATTCTCACATCAGGAAACTTACTGGTGGAGTCGACAAGTAAGTCACTAGGATTAAACACCTACCAATGCCCTGTAGATCCACCCATCAAACATCTATCCTTCCATTCTTATATCAGGAAACTTACTGGTGGAGTCGACAAGTAAGTCACTAGGATTAAACACCTACCAATGCCCTGTAGATCCACCCATCAAACATCTATCCTTCCATTCTCATATCAGGAAACTTACTGGTGGAGTGGACAAGTAAGTCACTAGGATTAAACACCTACCAATGCCCTGTAGATCCACCCATCAAACATCTATCCTTCCATTCTTATATCAGGAAACTTACCGGTGGAGTGGACAAGTAAGTCACTAGGATTAAACACCTACCAATGCCCTGTAGATCCACCCATCAAACATCTATCCTTCCATTCTCATATCAGGAAACTTACTGGTGGAGTCCACAAGTAAGTCACTAGGATTAAACACCTACCAATGCCCTGTAGATCCACCCATCAAACATCTATCCTTCCATTCTCACATCAGGAAACTTACTGGTGGAGTCCACAAGTAAGTCACTAGGATTAAACACCTACCAATGCCCTGTAGATCCACCCATCAAACATCTATCCTTCCATTCTCACATCAGGAAACTTACTGGTGGAGTCCACAAGTAAGTCACTTAGTCACTTGAATGAAACGCCTACCAATGCCCTGTAGTAAATACAGGCCTTATCAAACTATCATCTTGCCTTCCCAAGTTAAAAAGCAACATGCGTCCTGTCAAACATGGGTGTGCACATGGATCAGTTGTAAGTATTGGAGGATTTTCTACCCGGTTAGCTCAACCCTGGTCCAAACCAGGGTAGGATTTTACCCAGGTAGAGCACTGGACCCATGTAAAAGCGGTGTTGGATTCTTGCTATTTTGAAAGGGGTTCTCGAAATCTCTTTGTTTGAACTTGGTCCAACACGGAGATATTGGATAGCGTGAAAGGCCTTATGTAAAATACAACGACATTTTGTTTTGATTTTTTTTTTTTTCAATTTTTAATGTAGATTTTTGACATTTTTACAATGACAGATGGTTGTATTGTACTGATTCAAATTGGCCTAAAGGCTATAGTAATCAACCCTTGGGTTGAACCACGAACTGAAACCCAAGCAGTTTAAAACACTTCATTTGGGAACATGAAAGAGCATATTTCTAAAAATGTGTTAATGTAACATTAGACTAATCTCTTACAAGACTAACCCAACTTTTATTATTTCTTATTCTTTCTTTGCAGAGGAAAGTTTGCGTTTCTTGAAAACATCAGTCTTAAAATCAAGCCAGGTTGTACAGAACATGCTCCCTGGCCGGGCGGTATCTGCACCAAATGTCAGCCTAGTGCCACCACACTGAACAGACAGGTACAAAACTAGGGCAAGAACCAAGTTTTAATGGGAGACTTTTGAGTCGTTGGTGGCAGCAAACAAACAGGGTTTTTTTCTTCAATTGTTTACATCATGTTTAAGCTAAAGTGTGCATGCTCAATATGACACAAACAATGGAAAAAGGACCGGTGTGTTTGCTGCCACCAACGTCTCAAAAGTCTCCCATTGTTTCATTTTCAAACAAATATTAATTTCAACGTAAATTTAGTGACAAAAAGTCACTGGAAGAGTATAGGGAAGTTGTTGCATTGTACAATGTCTTTGTGTTATATAATATTCAGTTGCATAAGCTTGGGAATAATTATTTTTATACCTAACTCCTGAGATTGTTTGCTAGGAGTCTTCAACTTCACCCCTCTGCAGAATTAAATGGCAAATCTCTGCACTTTATTAAATTGCGTTCCCTGTTCTATTTTTGAGTTTCAAACCCGAAAAATGGATTCCTTTTCCGAATTGCCTTTTCTCTAGTAATACAAAAGTCATTCACTTTTGAATGAGACATCGACTGGAAAAATTGGCCATTGTATAGTTATTAAATTATTACTTTACGAAAGTGTTATCATTAATTAAAACTTATTATATGACTTTTATCCAAATATGAATGCAGACATATCGACACGTAGACAACCTGATGTTTGAGAATCCATTCATGTTTAACCGGTTCCTGGACTACTGGCGTAAGACGGGGAACCAGCGTATTGGTTTCCTGTACGGGAAATACGAGCATCACAAAGACGTTCCCCTAGGAATCAAAGCCACGGTGTCAGCAATCTATGAACCTCCGCAGGTCAGGGAAAATTTACTGATTTGATTAGGTTTGGAAAACCATCATCATAATAAAAAAAAGGTTCTAAAGCAGCCGCACAGAAACCCAGATGTGTGTCGCCAACCCAACCAATCCTAATTGTGCTTACTCCTGGCTTTGTACAACCTAGCATTCACTTCTCGATATACAACAGACCAGCCCATCAGCAGCCTTTCTGAAGTCAAGTCTATCGCAAGTCATTCACAAGTCCAGTCAGAAATGTGAATGAACAAAAGCAAAGGAATGTATTTATCAAAGCTCCTTTGAATAGCTTGTGATTAGAATTGGGACTGTAGAAATTGTGATGGACTTGTAGGAACTTGCAGGTGCTTGTGATGTACTCGACTACATCCATGACAACCACCCATCTCAGCCCACCAACCGTCTTACAAGCAGACCACCCTAGCCTAGTTCAACCCATCCACCCCTGTGGCCTTCATTCCTCCCTACCCCAGCCTAGTTCAACCCATCCCACCCTGTCGCCTTTATTCTTCCTTACCCCATTCTAGTTCAACCCATCCCATCCTGTCGCCTTCATTCCTCCCTACCCCAGCCTACTTCAACCCATCCCACACTTTCGCCTTCATTCCTCACCCCAGCCTAGTTCAACCCATCCCACCCTGTCGCCCTCATTCCTCCTTACCCCAGCCTAGTTCAACCCATCCCACCCTGTCGCCTTCATTCCTCACCCCAGCCTAGTTCAACCCATCCCACCCTGTCGCCCTCATTCCTCCTTACCCCAGCCTAGTTCAACCCATCCCACCCTGTCGCCTTCATTCCTCCCTACCCCAGCCTACTTCAACCCATCCCACACTTTCGCCTTCATTCCTCACCCCAGCCTAGTTCAACCCATCCCACCCTGTCGCCCTCATTCCTCCTTACCCCAGCCTAGTTCAACCCATCCCACCCTGTCGCCTTCATTCCTCCCTACCCCAGCCTAGTTCAACCCATCCCACCCTGTCGCCTTCATTCCTCCCTACCCCAGCCTAGTTCAACCCATCCCACCCTGTCGCCTTCATTCCTCCCTACCCCAGCCTAGTTCAACCCATCCCACCCTGTCACCTTCATTCCTCCCCACCCAAACCAGCACGTTCTATGTAGTGTTGCATTGAATGCTAATGAGGGGTTCATTTTCTACTGTAGAGATCCACAGTAAACAGTTTAGAGCTGCTACCTGATCATAATGCAGAGGCCGTGGAGTTTGTGGCCAGTAAAATGGGACTCAGAAAGGTGAGTATGTTTGTTACAAACATTATTTATCAGAGTCTTTGGCAGTCGTTAAAGATTTCAGGATGCAGTCATATTGTGCCCAGCACTTTGCGAAAATCCTGAAATTTCTCTCATTCAATTTATCATTTGCACAACTGACAAACTTCAGCAAAGACAGTTTTAATCAAGCAGTTTTCTTTTGCCCAGCAAACTATGTCATATTTTAACGGTGACACTCCAAATTTTAAACACAGATCATATCTCTCATGCATGTGTACTTTACTTTATTACCATTGTTTTGAATATTGGGTATGACCATGGACAGACATGATTTGATTGTCAGAGTGAGTATGGTCCACATGTTTTCTATACTGATGGAGTTCAATCACCCCACTACCAAGCATGTCATTAATACGGTGTCAATTATTTGGTTATGGGCGATTCCACGCAAAAGTGGACATGACTGAAATGTGGAACATTTATGAAATCTTCAAAATTAAAAGCATCACAACCTGAAAAGTATCCAATAAAAGGGGACAACAAGACCTTTTGTTTGCATGGTGTGCCAGTCGGATTGCATGTGGTCAAGTGTATTTTATTGTAAAATGAAAATTATGGGGATAAAATGATGGATTTCAGGTAGTTATTTTGGCATCTTGTTTTCAAGTGCAAAATGCAAGTCTTATTGTGATTTTTTTTTAAGGCAGAGAGAAAGGTTAATTTTTTATAAAATAACACATAGAACTTTAAATACCATGATTCAGTGTGTTCTTTATCACGTGTGTGATGTTGATTCCAGACACGAATGTCCATAATATTATTTATAATCTTGTGATGTCCATAACAAGATTTATAAATTATGAAGTTTTAGTCATTTATTAAGTATGTCAATACTTGAGGCATTCTATTTCCTGATTAAACACCTTGGTACTATCTTGTTTCAACTTTGTACCCCCTCCCAGGCCCCATAACCTTGACAAGTAATAGAATCCACACGGCCAATTTTATGGACATCCTGTGAATTTTGCTATTGGGAGTTTTAGTAACCTGCGACACTCCTGCCCCCCCCCCCCCCCTTGCTGACAAATTCAGCTACGCCAGCAGTCAAAATCAATCAAGTGACTGTTTTTAACAGTTAACAATTCCCTTGTTGATTTGAAATAGTCATGCGTTGACTGGAGGTGATTGATATGCCAGCTGTACTGACCAGTTACCTCTTTTGTCAGTTGGTGGAATTTGACAAGTCACAGTGCTTACATGAATGTGTTCTGACTCTTTTTTTTTTGAGTCCGTGTACAAATGCATGTCAAGGAAAGTGGAAGACATTTTTGACTGTCTATGAGTAATCAAACAATAGGAGGGATTTACAGTCACATATGCATTGGTTGGGATTAAAAATCCACACTTCTTTCACAAGTATCTGAATGAGACCAATGATTTGCCCTAATCCACTAGGCAATCTGTGCAGAAACAGTTTGTTGCGCTGTGCATAACCGGACCAACTATGGGGGCCCAATGCGTAGGACACACACCCAAACGTGTGTTCACCGTCGATCATGGACGATCTGATACACCGTACCCTCTGGAGACATGTGTACAATAGGGAACAAAAGATTGTAAACGTCTCCACAGGGCAATTTCTCTAGATGAATATGTCTCCACAAGATTTTCACGAAATAGATATGGATTTTACCCAAAAACTAGGAATTTCCAAGCTATGTTGATCTGTTGAAAATGGAAGAGTTTTAGAAAAGGGATTTTAAGTCCAAATTTCAGCCAAGGAAATTAATTCTGGTTAAAATAAGAGCATTTTTAAACTACACTTTCAAACTCGAAAACTTTTGTACACGAGAACAAAGGAATGTCTCCACAAGGATACAAATTCCAGTATTGTAGTCCTATTGTCCATCTTTTGTTTGTACCCCAATCGCGGACGTGTACTGGAAATCGTAGACGAAATTGTTCTCTTTTGTTCTCTGGGTTTTTTTTCCACGGTTTGAAAAGATGAACACGTGCACTTTGTGTTTACACCGTATATGTTGCATTTAAAGCACACCTAACTAATGTTCATCTGGATATGCACAAACCTGTAGCATCTTTGCATTGGTATGGCAGCGACAGTTTCTGTTGTAATGTATCTATCTCTTTGTTACTGTTGAAGGGGCAGTTGAGGGTGGGGGGGGGGGGAGGGTAAGGGGGCCAGCGTATTTTATGTCTGTATACATTGATTACTGGTTTATGTTAAAGGGAAGATACAACATTTGCAAACATCTAAAAAGAAATGATCAAATTATCACGTAATACCTTACTGGATTGTTAGGGAATGACAGTCTAAAGCATCCTGTAAAATCGTGGCTCTTGATGTGCTGATATTTTCAAGAAAAACTGTATTTTTCCAACGCTGGTCGGCTGACCAGCGTTGGAAAAAATACTGGCTTTTTTCAAAAACTGCTCCTAGTTTTTCATATTAAGCTATTTCGCATTTTCTTTGCAATTGATTACACACCTGTGAAGGGGTACAAGCCTGCTAGACTGATTCTTTGACCTTACAATTCCCCAAAGTCTACAAATTGCTCTGTTTCATCTTAAGTGGTGTCAGGGAACCAGACTACAAGAACATGATTGGTTTTCTATGTTTTTCCAGCATCTACAAGCCAAAAAAGTGAAACAAGTGTAACAATATTTGCCATAACATACTTATCCTCCAAATCCATTTATTTCTGAAAACTGCAGCAAAAGCAAATGTTGTACATTCCCTTTAAGTTTAAAGATTTTCAAATGCAAGGATGTATCTTTTTCTTGTTCTCTTCATCTTTTAACCTCTTATGATTTTTTTTTTTGGTGTGGGGGTGAGAGTACTGGACAGGTTGTCATGCATTGTGTACTAGAGTTTATGCTTCCTGAAATAGGGCATTGGTCATTTTGGTTGTACACTGACCAGATTTTGAAAGGCTCTATGGTGAAATAACTTGAGGTTTATCATTCCTACATTGTTTTGTAAGTCCCATGTGGTGAACCAGTCACAAGCTGTATGGTTCTGAGAAAACCAGGTCTACACCCAATGGAAATAAAATCACCTCTATGGTCGGACTATTGTATTGCTTTAAGTGGGGGACCATCACTGCAAATTTGTGTGAGGGTCAGCTGCCAATTTGCCCCATTTCTTGGCCAGTCTATCGCCAATCCCTGGGCCTGGAGGACCAGGCAGTATGGAGGGGTCAAGAGGTCATGTTTATAGTGTAGGACTTGTAAATATTAACAGCTGTTGACCAATGACAGCTTGTAAACAACAAAGAGTTTGAGTTCCTAGATGAGAACTGCCTGCTTGTATTGGTTTATATTCATTTATTGCTCAGTAGAGGGCCCACTTTTATGGCTGTGCTTACTGTTAGCCAAAAATCCTTATTATCACAGAAAATGAAGTGCTGAAGGTGAGCATATTTCATGAGTTAGCAGGAATTTGGCTTATGTGCATGCATACATCCCATAACTAAGGAACACATTTCAACCCCGGTGAATTTTGCAGCGAAAATTTCAAATTTGCTTGCAGTTGCATTTAATTGTGTGTATGAACTGGCCTTAAGAATCAAACTCTGATATTTTTTCAAAGCAACTGCATGTTAAGTCAAACAAAGAATTCATTGCCTTCAGTAGTATAACAATGATATACAACCCTGCTTAACTCAAAACTCTGCTTAAGTCAAATTTGGAACCTGTTCCCTTGAGATTTCACGGCAATATTATGCAACATTTTAATGGAGCTGATGACAAGTTATGTCATTAGTATAACAGGGGATGAACAATCACAAAGGAATGCCTTTGTTGCAGTTTATTTGACAGATTGTCACTTGGCCCCTAGAATGGATTGACTTGAAAAAGATTGGGAGTACTTTATCATAACTTTGATATTTTTGGCGAATCAAACTAAAAACCTGGAATTAGCTAATTTTGGGGGGGATTTTTTCTCAGTATCACAGATGATAAATGGATTTTAAAAGTTTGTTCCCCAAGTATTTTGAAAACATCTGGGAAAACCATCCACAACAAAACAGGCCACCTCACAATGGGACCCCAGTTTTGTTTTGCCATTGTGCAATAATTGTTTGCCTCGGTGCCAATTTATTCCCTGAACTTGGGAACTGGGTCACGTTATCATGTTTGTCAGAACGAAGGCCCCACTGGTTGTTGATTGGGTATTGTGTTCAGATCTCTTGACCTTTGACCCTTCATCACGCCACATGCTGATGCAAGAGGAAATGCTTACAAAACTGGGGCTTTCTGGTAAAAACTGTACTGTATTCTGATTATGCAATGTCAAGTCCAAGTTTTGTTTAAGTCTAAGGTTGAAGTCTTCCTGTAACTCATTTTGTCATTGTTTGTTAATTTTCAGTATTATGCTGAGCGTGCAAAATATTATAACGATAATTCTAAGGAAGAATAATTTCAATAAAATGCTAAATAGATTTTCATTTTTTCCCGCCATGCTACAGAGGGTGGTAAAAAAAAAAAACAGAACGGCACACTTCCACTACCTTGAGACTCGAACCACCTGTACCAATTGATGGAGAATCCTTTTAGAAGAATAATGATACCAAGACCTGATTCTGTCCAGTAGTTTTTGCTGCAGAGCCTATTTTGTGAAGGATACTTCTTTCATGTGGTTATTATTAGATAACAATCCCTTTATCAATTACAATGTAAGTCAAATTCCAGGGCGCGGTTTAGTAATTCATCGGGACAAAAATGACCCCCACCTTGCTTCACAAAATAGGCTCTAGAACAAAAATTACTGGACCAAATCAGGCGATCTTGGTTTCAAATTGCTTCTTAAAAGATTCTCCATGCATTGGTATAGGTGGTTTGAGTCGTAGGGTAGTGGAAGTATGCCATTCCGGGTTTTTTTTGGGGTGGGGGCACCCTGTATCATGCTGTACTTTTTATTTGGGGGAAAAACCCCAAAAGTTCCTTTCTTTCATAAAAATGTTACAAATTTTCCTGAGGTCATTGTTCTCAATACCCCCTGAAAACATATCGCCAAAGTTTTGTGGCAATACCTCAAAAATCTGTTTTGATTTATAACTCCAAAACCCTGAAAAAAAGTGTCACTGTCCTGCGGGAATAAAGTTATTTTTCAAAACTACGTCAATTCCTGGCTCAAAACTTTCCCTTTATTCAAAAGTCAAAGGTCAAAGTTCAAGGTGAGAAACTTTGAGCAGCTGGTGGGTGGGATCTCGCCATTGAAACTGACAAGGTTGTTGACAGAACATCCTGGAGGTTTGCCAAGAGTTACAAGTGGAGTGACATTGTTTGGACCATTGGACCACACATCAGCTGATCACAAATCAGCTGATCGTTACTTTTACTGGGAATCTGGAACAGTGGCACGCAGGGTCTTTTCGGGTGAAGTGATAAACAACAAATAAGTTTGTTTTTGTTATTTCTCAAGAAAAGTGTGCCGGTAGAAAAAGAGTGGGGACAGTGGTAAACCAGTATATTTGGGGCAAGTGAGCAAGTAAGCCCTCGTGACTTTTGAAAACAATAAAAAATGCCCCACTTCACAACCAGAAAAAACACCCAACCCTCCTTTTCTTAGAGGAAATAATTATGTGGCCAGAAAAATGCCACTATTTTATTTATTAATATTTTTTTTTAAATTGCCATTTTGCACCAAGCTCTAAAACAATGTCAATTGTTTGGCAAATATTCCTGTACCAAATGGCCAGCCTGGATTTGATTTTTTATTCATAATGAAAAAAATTGTAAAAAGAAATATAATACAAAGCCTAACAAAAGGTAAAATAAACACCCCCCCCCCAAAAAAAAACAGAAACAACAGAGAACCATGCAACCACACAAAACTAAACTTGTTTTCCAAATGATTGGATCAAAGTATGTTTCCCTGAAAAGTAGACGTTCAAGTAGATTTTCATACAATGGATGACATGGAGCTTTCAAGTTCTTGTGTTCTGAACTTGCCACATACCTGGGGGCTTCTGTAGTACTCTACAGGCCTTCAGAAGTAGGTCAGGGACTTTAAAGAAATGCACTCAGAATATTTTTTACTTCCTGATTTAGATTTAAAAAAAAATGGATAAATTCTGGGCTAAACTTTAATTCACTGTTTGGCTTTTTCTAAAGAATGTTCAGTAACTGTGCATTTGAAATCCACTCAGTATGGGTCTCTCTCAAAGACAGCCATCTCTGTAGGAGAACTGCAACTGTGTATTGTACACAATCAAGTATGCATTGCGCAGTGTTGGAAATGTTCCAAACACGCGCGCTTGTTGCTTGAAATGTGTTCGAAATATGACGCAGCCGATGCACGTTATGCAAGTTGACGTTCAAAATGCTGATGGTCTGTAGGAAATGACGTCATTGAAACGAGATCTATTAGGAAATAGTGCATTGTTTGTGTTGTTTCTGTGCAAAACAAATATGTTTTAAATTCACAAAAATATAAGAGATTTCTGCATTCAAAGGGCAAGGTCTCAAAGCCTTAAACCTTTGGGGCACTCATGGAAAACTACTGGTGAGGTCAGGGGAGGTCATTTGACCCATGCACTCTCCCTGGGCAATAGAAATGCAAAAAGCAAGATAACTAAAGGGTCAAGGTTTGAAGAGAATTGACACAAGCCCAGAGGAAACTTGTCAACAATGTGTAAACCCTGCCTGCCCACTCCGTGTTGTTGATCTCCATAAAATGGGTCAGAGCCCACAAAAAGGACAAATCTTGCCCGTAAACAAAACACTTGTGGGGTACAGGACATAATAGATAACTCTCCATTCAATTCTGATTTGTTTCTTTGTCAGTGTTTGCATTCTCACAGTTTAACAAGCAGAGGTGTGAATGTTTTCAGTTGTGTTATTAATTTTATAATGGTGTCTGAAATCGCAGTGACACCATGTGAATATTTTATTTGTTAAACTTGCAGTTGGGGTTTTTGCTGAGAAATGTTGAAAAATTTTGGAGGCAGAGGTGCAGCTCAGAACCAAATATGGGCATTAATTCTAAAAGGGAGGCAACTACATGTATCCCCCCCCCCCAATCACCGTCCCTTTTATGACCTGGGGTGGGGAATTGTGCCAAAGAGCATTCACATATCAGATGGTTTTGCAGAACCCAAAAGTTCAAGTTTCAATTGTGGGAACTTAGAAATGGGAAGAATAAGAAAATGAAATTGAAAGTTTACACTGGAAACTGCCGTGAAATAATGAAAGTGCATTACTTAATTAGTTGTTAAGTGAGGTGTATGAATGACTTTGGTTATGACTGAGACATTTCTCGAAATGTGATTGTACCACATCACTTAGTCCTTTTAATTCCCGAAAATCTGATAGTACCTTGCAATAGTCATGAATATACTCTGCCACTTAAACTTTGACTTTTGTTAGTAGAGTGTCAAGTTTTGGGGTAAACATGTTGATTAATTCTGCTTGATCCTTATCAATTTGAATAATCAGTTTTACAAAGCAAACTTTTGTGGATCTCTGAATGTCGGTCAGAGTTTAATCATGTACATTTTCAGAACAGGAAAAGTGCAGATTTTAATTTAATAAACTTTAAAAAAAAATTGATCTTGTGGTTATTAATTGTTTAGTGTCTGTTTGGTTTTTGTTGTTTTTTGCGCTTTTATCACAAGTTGGTTTTGAAACAAAAATGCAGATTTGATTGTCTGTGGTGGGTCTAAATCACAAGTGTTGGCACTGGACATGTTTTTTTGGGGCAGATGTTAATTTAACCGATTGATTACATTCTCTTGTAGGTTGGATGGATTTTTACAGATTTGGTCGCGGATGACCTGACAAAGGGAACAGTGAAACATGTCCGCAACATGGTAAGCTAGGAAGTGTTTAAACCAATTTTTGCTCTCGCAAATGCAAATTAAAAACAATGCTTTCCAACACTTGCCAAAAAATATTAAGTGCTCACATTGTTGACTGCAAAGGAAGTAGATTCTAAAAACGAGCCTACAAAACAGACAGACAAAACCATCTGGTTTTCTTTTAACAACTTCATTTGGTTTTGTTGCAGTTAAGAGAACCTAAATGAATTTGAGAAATTTGGATGAATTTGAGATAAATACTTGTATGACTTTTCAGGATGCGCATTTCTTGAGTGCGGAAGAATGCATCATGGCGGGTGAACTCCAGAACCAAAACCCCAGCCCTTGCAAACTAGCCACGGAGGGAACGTTTGGCTCCAAGTTTGTCACGTGTATCGTCACAGGTAAGCATTCCTTCTGTACAACACCATCATTAAAATTATTTTGCGTTTTACAACAGTGATGGCCATTTTACCAATATTAAGCCAAATTGGTGTTCCAACTGCTTTGTGCTTAACAAGATTCAACGATTTACTTCAGGATAAACACTCACTACCGATGGACACAAGTCTGTGGGGGACATGGTAACTGAATCTGCATTCTACAATATTTCATGCAATCAAAAAGATGATGGAAATTTTTGTTCGCACAGAAGTCGGGTCCTAAAAAACACTTAAAATTTTCTTTGTTTGGCCTGTGTTTCTTTATTAGATCCTGCCTTTCAAAGAAACAGGTGTTTTTGATGACAGCCATGGACATAGATGGCCGATTTGTAATGACAAAAAGTGAAGATTTAGATCAAAAGAGCTTATTCAGAGGTGCCCTTATTAATTCGCCCTTGGTTGACTGCATAGTCTGAGCAGAATACATTCGAAATAATGTTTACATTTTTGCCCAGTCATTAAATATCCCCTAAGATATGACAAACGATAGTTTTCACCAGTGTTAGTTTTTCCGTCCTAAAGGTGATGCAACCAACCAAATCCACACAGAGGCCTACCAGGTCTCCAACCAGTGTATGGCATTGGTGCGTGATAACTGCCTGGTACCCACTAGAGACGCACCAGAGCTGGGTTATGTACGAGAGTCAACCAGTGAGCAGTATGTACCGGATGTCTTCTACACGGTACGTGTAATATTAACATTGAGTTTTACTCTGACTTCAGAGATTAGAGCTTTAATTAGATAGAATTATTCAGATTGAATGCAGAAAGTTGTGCATTTTCCTGTAGCTTGCCTGTATCCTAGCAAAAAAGAGAAGAACAAAATATATATGTGCCATCATCCCACATTTTTTTCTTTTATATTTTGCCGTGAAAGTCATCAAGTTGATATGATTAATAAGATACAAGAAAAGGCCACTGAACATGGAAAAGAAAAAAAAGAAAGTTGTAAATAATGGTATAAAGAGAAGTTTATCAAATTCACAAAATGTTCTACACGTGGCATCACATGCTTATGGTGCATGCAACATGCAATATTTAATGACATCTGTGGCATATTTACACACAAGGGAAGTGCATCCAAGGATTGAGCACTGTGTTATTGTTGCTCAAATATCTTGAATTAATAGAACTTTGTTAAAATAGATAAATAAATAATTTGTAAAGCTTTCAATCGTATCAACAATCTCAAAGCGCTTTACAATTTGTTGCCGTTTTTGCTTCTGAGGGCTACCTTATGCACGGAATCCCTGCAACTTTTCAACAACTGAAGATGGATTATAATGTCAGATAAATGTGCTTAAATGCATTATCCCATTTAATACAGGAGAAGGACGGTTACGGCAACAGCTCCAAGTCATTAGCAAGACCTCTACCGGTTGAATTCCTCCTAGTGGATGTGAGTACAAGTCACTGTCACTGATTTGAGAATCCTCCAATGTACAAGCAACCGATAACATTCTTTTGACATTGTACATCAAGGCCCAATGTAAAGTAATAGTGGCTCAACTATGCATTCCTCAATCCTGCAACGTTTCCTCAAACACCTGGTTGCTTGGGTTTTTTGGAGGGGGTATTCTTCCGTTTTTCTTGTTTGTGTGTATATGTCTTCCTCTCATTTTGAGGCTGTTATTGTCTTAGATTTGTAAAAGAACTTTACAGCAACACTTATTCACCGACCCCTCAGGTCACGTGCGGCTTTCCCAAGGATCCTATGTACACCTTCAACGACACACAGACAGTCAAGCATTTCCCTGTGGAGAATCGTTCAGAGCTCGGTGAGCTGCAGGATCTAGGCCCCTTAGCCCAGTACATGAAGCAGTTCAGCGGGGAGCAGTTCCTTGAAGCCATGCTGGACTTGCATTTACTCATCTACCTGGCTACTATGCAGATGCTACCTATCAGGGTCAGTATCTATTAACTATGTCATCTTAAAGCTGTCTTTCTGTAGGCTGTTTTTAGTCAGATTTACATTGGGGGCTGGCCGCTAACTTTCTGTGGGGGCGCCCTTCATAGCGTACACTATCGAACAATAGATGGAACTCTTCATTACGACAAAGACCTTCGCACGAGGTTGAAAAGGGGCACTCATGAAAAAAAGGCCACTAGTGAAAAAAAGGACTAGCAATTTCCAGTGGTGGGGATCCCCCCCCGGCCCCCCTTGGCCCTGCGCTGCAGTTGACACAAAGCAGACTGAAATTACATGAATGGAGAGGGGGGTTTATTAGTAGGTTTATTGTCATCAAACAAACTCAATGAAGAACTAATTGAGTTTTATTACATATTCTATTGCTTGAAGAAAAAGTACACCGGTTCCCCTGTGGTAAAGTTGTCACCACAGCTGACTGGGCATTCGTGCATCAATTGTTTTACTTTATATAAACTGTGATTGGGTCTGGTTGGTGCAAAAGAAGACAGTAATGACTTCTTACACCTAAGACACTTTTGTGAGGAGTCTTCCTGTGTCATCTATCACCTTACACAGGCATGCAACTTTTCCTCGGATCAGCTGATTTCCTCTTTTTGTACTTCCCAAGTGTGCCATTGAAAATAGAAATACACTGTACAAAGTCTTGGGAAAATTTGAATTTCCTCTTTTTTGTGACTTCCCAGTTGCATGCCTGCTTACAGGAAACCAGTTGCACATTCCTTACATTTTTCGGGGCATTAGACCCCCTGTAAGGTAATAGTGGATAGGATAGGCATTTGCAGTCTAGCAAAGAACCTTAAAAACGGAGAAGGAATATGGAGGTTTAGGGTTGTTGGATTATGCCCTGAATTTTATTTACTTCCGTGTTTGACTTCTTTTACTGTTTTTATTGTACATTGATAGGATCATATGGGGCCACTTCTGGATGCTCTCAGGAATCAAGATAGTGAGCTAGCGAGGGCGTGGTCTAAGAGTGAGCAGTGGGCGACACTAGAACACTTCATGGCAGCTCAGGGTGAGTCTAAACATCCACATCTCAAAAGAAAAAAAAAACAGGTTAAAAAAAACACATATATCTTTACAAAATTACTAATATCTTAGTTCCTTTTTTATAATGCTGTGTTGTAAATTTCTGAATAGTAAAGTGGTAAAAAATGTAAACTGTTAACCTTTAGCGCTTTGAAACATGGTGGAAAGCGCATTATAAATGTTGTAAGTTATAGTTATAGTTTTTTTAGGGGTGGAAATGGAAATACATTTTTTTTTTTTTTTTTTTTTTTACTCTGCTAGACTTATTTCAAATCACTTTATTCAATGTCAAGGAAACCTTTTTTAAAACCTTTAATTGAGACCTCAAACTTTAGTTTGAATGCATTGGCCCATATCTTTGCATTGCGAATGTTCCAAGAAGTGGGTCCAATTTTATGTTCAGGCTTTCAGACAAGATACAGTCTGGCGTGTAGTCGAGAACATTTCGATGAGTATGACTATGAGTAGGAGTGACAACAAATACTCAGATGAGAGTTTGAGTTTGGGACTGACACTTGACAGCATTTCATTTCCATCTTGCAGGGCCCAGTCCAACCTCGACCATCGCTGATGCCGTGGCCTCGGGTGGTGGGGTATCTCAAGGAACGTGGACATGCTCAAGATGTACCTACATCAATACCAACTCACTCAAAGCCGTCTGTGAGATGTGTGAGGGACCTAAAGATTGAAAGCTTGGCAGTCGTTAGAATTAAATAGGATCATAAACCATACCTGGGAGGTGTTTTCTTTTTAGCAGTTGAGTTGACTCACTAAGCAAGGAGACGTGAGCCAACTTGGGTCTTTGACCTGCAAATTGTGATTCTGCTTTGTCTCAACAGTGACTTAGGCCTGACTCTTCTGTGGTCAAGTCAACTTAATATATAACTCCTATCTCAGGGCCGACTCAACTTTCTGACTCAGTCTCCCATCTTACCTGACTCACTTTGGGTTCAAGAACAGCTGACTGAACTATTCTGACTCAGTCTCCCATCTTACCTGACTCACTTTGGGCTCAAGAACAGCTGACTCAACTATTCTGACTCAGTCTCCCATCTTACCTGACTCACTTTGGGCTCAAGAACATCTGGTTATATTTAGGGCTGACTCAACTATTCTGACTCAGTTTGTATACACAGACATTCAAGTGTGATTCAGCCTGTCTCAGAAGTGACTCAATTGTGACTCATATCTGACTCAATAGTGACTCATATGACTCAATTTGGGCTCAAGTCCGACTCAGTTCTTTCAAGTCTGATTCGACATTTGGCTCAGATCTCACTAAACTATGACCCATTTATGCAAGAAATTGACTGAAATGCAGGTCATGATAAGTACAAAATGTTGTGTAAATCTCAATCTCAAGCAAGTCACATAATTTAGATTGTAAAAAAACAAGTCCTTATTAAAATAATGGTAACCAATTCCCAGCCTAAATGTGAGTAATAAGTTAGTCTCTGGTGGTTGGTTTTTGCATGGAAAGGAAAAAAAAAATAACGTTGGGATGAAGTATTCAAATTTCACGCATATTTGGCACTTTCTGGTAATTTGCAGGCCAAACAGCAGATTACTGGATTCGGAACTGAAACATTTGACTTCCAGTTGAACATAGCCATATGTCAGAAATTTACCTTTTTGCGTCAAACTTGGACAAATGAAAACGTATCTATGTCCTAAGTCCTACATTAATGTTATAAAAGGAACATCAATTTTAAAAGGAACACTGATTTAGTAAGAATATCCATCCCCTTGCCTAATGCAATTACACTTTGTAGGAACCAGTTATATATTATTATTTTTTTTTTAATATTGAATTGTTTCCCCTTCAAGTTAAACATTAAGAATAACACAAATTATAAGTTTTATCAAAGTTAGTTGCATATGAAATAAATAGCATAATTGTGACATATCAAAGTTCCTGACCACTCTGCTCAGTTGTTTTTCATTGATCCAAACTTGAAAGAAAAGGATGTTATTAGATTGCTTGCATAATTCTGACTTGTCAAATTTCAAAACCAATAGCCGTTTTGTTGTTTCTATTCTTTTGTGGCCCATTTTGATTGGATACTTTGAATATAATAAATACATCTACAAATCAAGTCAGAAGTTCAAGTGTCACATCTGTTGATACCGGTATTTTAATCCTAATTTCCTATTCAGAAAACACCAGGATTTTATGATCTGTACATTCTTTGTTTGGTTGTAATATCTTTGTTGATTTAGTCTTGTGAAGAAAAATGGAGGACTACTCGATTTAAATTCCTTGTCACTAGTTGCTTCTCTTTTCCAAGGAATGAATAGACCTCGTGCCTGTCTCGATAGCTGTTCTTTGTCATTAATCTAGAAACAATGAACGCACAAATGGTTTACTCATGCTTATCGTAGAAATACAAAACCATTGCCCGATCTAACCCCGCCTTAATGCATGAGGTATATGGGTACATAAAGGACACAGAAAATTGCAGGGAAAGAGTTCCATACTGGGCCACCACTCATATTCCCTAATATGACCTGAAAAGTACCAAAAGTTGTAAATCTGAAGGAAACACTATTTAAGGAGTGCAAAAATTCTTAAAATACTTAAACTTTTTTGAGGAGCAAGTCGCTCTTTTCTTGATTTGTATCCTGGGCACTACAGCGTGTGCCAATAAAAACGCAGGATTCAAAGCGATTTTTTTTCTGAGAAAATTATGCTACTGGTGTGCCTAATTTGATAAGGATTTGATTGTCCATAATTTCATCTTTGACAAGATTTTTGTTTGGTGGAATTTGGACTTTTGGTTCAAAAGTTATGACAAGTTTTGTGAAGCCCTTCTGAGGCGGGTTGGTCTGATTCAATGACCTTAACACAACGACCAGTTATGTACAATGCAGGTATGCATTGAAGACAATTAAACCAGAACAAAACTTTCTTTGAAACAACTGATGATAAGTATCACTTAAATTTAATAACTGGACTATCATTGTTTCAAAGCATCATGAATTATTGACTAATAACATTGATTGTGGACTAAAGGATTATGTAAGCCTAATCCTGCCACACATGTCCTTCTTTGTGATCCACAAATACTTTCACCTGTACTGAATTCAAACCTTTCATTAGGTATGTGTGATTTCACAAATCAGACCAGCTTGGAATTTATAACCCTTCTTCAATGTACTCTATCTCTGGACAGGATTGTCCAAATGAGATGGGATAAAAAGCATAGTGAAGAGAAGGAAAGGTACTTTGAAAAGAGGGTTAACATTATGATGAATAGGGGTGGTTTATATTCTTAATATTTTTGTTTCTAATCCTGCGTTTTTATTGACACACGCTGTAGTGTCAAATATTGGTCAATCTGTCCAATGATCACTGAAATACAGTTGCAGCAAGATATTTGTCTACTTGCCGTCGGGTATAACCAATGGGGACAAGAAAATGGTCAAAACTGTCGGTCCGAAATGAAGGATACACGGAAGTCTTTTGTTGGGAAATAAAAAAGAAAGTGACTTTGAGATATGCTACAAGAAAATGGTGTTAGGCCTACACTTTTGACTGAAATAATCGTGTAGAGAGCACTCGCGTTTTGCACGTCCGAAAACTTGAAAAGTTCGTTTTACGGTGAAATACATGTAACACAATTTTTCTTCCTGAATGGTTGTCAATTGTTATTTTCCGTGACGGCGCCGAGTCAGCTAAACTGGAACTTCAAATGCAGATAATTTTTTTGGCAAAACGTGTTTTTTTTGTGTTTTTTTGCTTTAATAAGCATTCTGTTTTTGCACCTTGATCATCTCGTAATAGATTATTTGTTTTGAAGAAGAAGTTTTGCAACGTGGACATCTGAAGTTCAAATACCAAAAGTATACATATTTCGTAATGCATATTACGGTTTTTTACGTTTTCCCCTGTGTATTTCAAGTAGAGAGAATCTTATTTCTATGATACAGAGGCACTATTGGTAGATTGGAACATTGACTGCGCGCGGACGATCAGTGTTGCCCCCTCTGAAATGGCTACTTGTTGCCGGTCGTAGAGGGTCATTTCCGATGCCGTTTAAGGAGTTTAAAATGACCCTATTTCACCAGAATCATAACTTTGACCTTCAAGGGACGTTTATGCAGATAATTTGTAGTTAGGCCTTTGCTAGACGTTGAGTGTTGAGTTGCTGATACCTATAAAGAATAGACCCCATGTAGGCCTATGACAATAAACTAAGAGTGAAAGCCTACTCATCTAGAGCAAAACATTCCATGGTCCGTAAGATTGCTGCATTTTAAAGTCGATTCTTTAGTTTAAAAAAAAAATGACCAATGCGATCAAATCATCAACTTCATTGTTGCTTTTTCGTTTCTTGTGAACAATGAGGCTTAATGAGCACATAATTATATTAAGTCGCCTACGTGAAGCTCGTGTCAATATCTATGCACACGACACGCTATAGTTCTGTGTAGCTACCGATGTCAACACTCTTATTTCAAATTTCGACCTTTGGATGTTTTTAAAACTCCCCAACTCCGCAAATCGACATCATTAGAAACTTTGTTTTTTTTTCACAGGCAGAAAACAACCCACGATCACCAATCCTGTGATAGTACGATAAACAAGTTGATCTCGAGTTTAATGATTGTCCAAAAACTTGCAAAGTACACAACAGAAGAGCCCCTTCGCGATGCTGTTTGACCCCATTAGGAGGTGTTTTGCATACAATCGAAGCCCGCTAGAATCTACTAGTTTACAGCGGACCAATCAAAGTGGTGCTCCCTGTGTAAAAAAAAAGAGAACTTAGAAACAATTGCCAAAATATATTATAACAGGTACGATGAGCAGGCCAGAACAATTCTAAAGTCCTCGCCTATGTGCCTGACGCAAATTCAGCAGCTGGGCAGAAGTTAGAATTGGACTGAATACTACGTCACGGACAAAAAATCCTCTGAACTAGCCGCCTGTGTTTCTTGCTTTGGGAAACTTTTCGTATCCTAGCTGTGCAAGGAGATTTTAGGGGGTGAATTGTCTTAGATAATTCAAGATGAGGATTTTTCTGTTGTTGGCCTTTGTGGCCGTAGCCAGGGCAGCATCTCTAAGGAAGAGTCTAGTGCCGTGGGAGGAGTGGGATGTCGATCTTCGGATAACTGGACCGGGTACTCAGACTACCTCAGATTCACCACGGTGAGTTGTAGAGACATAGATATTGGGATTTTCAGAACAACGGCTACGTCTCCGGATGCGGATCCATGATATTTCAGTGTCCCTGACCTAGAGCCTGAGGGGGAGCGCAAAGTGCATGGCTCCATCTTCTTCATGAAATACCAAATCATTTAACATGCCTCAATTTAGAGAAATTCCGTAATGACTGTTCAGAGATGAAGCCAACAGCTGGAGACGAAGCAGGACTTTCGAGAAACCCAATAAATTAAGCAAATTTCATGAACGTGTTTCGGTGGGTTTTGCGACTCGGCCTATGTGTTTGTAAAATTAAATTTTTCCCGCAATGGGATAATAAAGTTTTTATTGTATTGTATTGTATTGTATTGTATTGTAAAATCCGTGTGCGCGCAGCAATCTGTCATGTTTGTAGTCATTTCTGTTCGGCGGATCCATGTTTGCGGATTGACACTAATTACTGTGGCCTGGGTTCACATCCGAGGCCGACATGTGAAATTGTTGGGGGGGGGGGGGTTTTAGGGGGAGGGGGTGTTCCTTGACTACCTTTTCCCTCCAATCTCGAAAACTGAACCAAAAACATCGTCCTCCTCCTTGAGTTTCCTCAGATCCACTTTCGATTTTCACTCATTTTGTTCACTTTTGAGCAACTGAGGCAATGCTGAAATCTTTGATTCACGTCCAAAAAGATCCTCCTCCGAAGAACAGTTCGGATGGTCGCGGGGTTCCTAAACATTCAAACTTCTACGGAACAACACTTCGAGACGGGTTGGCAAAGCGTAAGGATAAAGATTACAAATTCACGATATAGTAGAAATCGGGACATGCCGCTTTAACTGGGCCACGTACCGCATTATATTCCAAAACTGACAAATGGCTATTTTTGATGACCCGTTAACACTCTTACTCCCTTATCGCGGTTGGATAAGATAATACGAGCGGTCGAAGTACAGAACAATCGGGTTAATTACAGATTCATCACTCAATAATGACAGAGACACTGATCGGGACAAAACCTCCGGCTTTGAAGCCGAGATAAACGCCTGTTCGAAATAATCGTCCATCTATTTTGAGATTTTATACATAGTCAATATCACTCAAGGATCCGCACGCAATATGATTGTGTGACAGCAGGGGGCGGGGCTATGAAACACTGGCAACCCAATTTCAAAAAGAATTTTCGGCGATGAGAATAAACATAAAATACGGGGACGCCTCTTTTGGCGAACAAAATTAAGAATGGATCACTGTTGGCTAAATCCTGTCGTTATAATTATATTTGAGGTGTCCTGTTTGTGCGCAGTATGAGCTTTACAACTCATTTGCGGCCAAAATTCGCTTTTTGGTGCGATTATGGATACAACAAAAACTTAAAATAAAAGATGGTTGAAAACGTCCAAAATAGGTGGGGGAGCATATCAGTAACGGACTCTAGAGACGGTGGGATGGAAGGGGGTTGCACTTAACCCCCGTCCCGTTCAGCCGTTGACTGTATAGGCCTAATTAATGTTATGAAAACGGGGCCAAAAATAATATGGAATGCTAAAGTTCCTAAATCTATTCTTGATTGAATTGCTTTAGGGGAATCATCGTAGATTTTAACATTTTCGGGGGGGGGGGGGGCGTGCCCCGGGCAACGTCTAATTAGACTCAAATACCCCTATATCACCCCCCCCCCCCCCCAAAAAAAGAAGGGAACTAATTAGAAAATCTATCTTGCGGACTAGGTCGTTAAATCGTGCGAACGAAGGAGTAAATCATGGTAACGAATTGAATAAATCGTGCGAAAAAAAAAATAGGTAAATCGTTCGAACAAATTAGCAACGGCCGAACATTTATTATTTTGTCCCTTCTCTGGCTTCATATAGAAAACAACGCAATGTAAAGCGCTTTGATCTTATAGTTATAAAAGCGATAGCCATTTCAACGCCCCCAGCTTTTTACGTGCGTGAGCAGTGGAATTTATAACGAGACCCGGCCCCAAGTGCAGTGGGGTGGTGGAGGCCTACGTTTTGTCTGTTTTCACAAAACGTAAGCGGAGGTCCGTGCCCCCAGATACCCCCCATTAAAATATTGATTTAAAAAAAATATTATATCAGTTGCCTTCAGTGAAAAAAAAAATGGTGCAGCCCAGGTACCTCCTAAAGAAGTTAAAACCTATTCGCCCGCGCGATGATATCCTCCTGAATTATCCACTAGGGAGATTAACAATGAGGCCTTCTTGAAATTGTTAGCAATTGTAATTGTTGCTTCAAATGAAAATAATAACTGAACAAAAAGCAAATGCACCCATTACTTTTAAATAAAAGATTCTCATTGAAAACTCGTTTGGAGAAAAAAAATCGAATGTTGAAGAGAACGGGTACGGGAAGCTATAGAAAAAAGTGTGTGCCGCGCGATCGCGACACCGTCTGCTGCAGTTTGAGGGCGCCCTAATAGAAAAACTGTTCTCCATTCAGTCTTGCATGTCTTGCGGAAAGATTCAATTTTGCCGGTGTAAAGTGTAAACACACTAATTTCTCAGAGAACAGAGGCGGAAAGAATGTTGCATCCTGACTCCGCCACTTTTTTTCATCAAATGTTATCTCAGTGAAGGTCAGTCATCGCAAAATGATAGAACATCATTAGCTCTACTGTAGTACTGAGTGGAGCGTTGAATTACGGGTACCCCTCCATACAGAGGGGTATGGAGGGGTACCCGTAATTCAACGCTCCACTCAGTAGAGCTAGAACATCATGAATCAAGGGCCGTGTCTGAATTACTTGGCTTACTACGCCGGTGTGCATGGTGTGACGGCCCATGGCATGGCATGCAGCGGCCGGCTGCAGCCACTTTCCATAGACCCGTGTGTAATTCAAGCCGTAGCCATTCTAGCCAAGTAACTCGGACTCGGCCAGGGACTGTGAGAAACTAGAAATTAAAATTGTGCCTTTCTAGCATTGTCAATGTCATTTTTCGGGTGGTCAATACGCTGTGTGAGAAATGGAAATGCACTTTGATAGACGAAATACGTTTGTCAGGAATTCCACTTTCTGAAACACAAATCCACCCAAAAAGTTGCCTTGTTTGATCCATAACTCTCAACATTTCCAGAACCATTGGCGTTTGGACCATCTGACAGATTTTTTTGGAAAAAAATCTGAGCTTTTAACTCACCACCGTCAGTTTTTAGACATCTCGAACCTTGACCTAACACTTGATACTAACCTAGCTGCACGGAGTAATTTAGTCTGGTTCCTGACCAAAAATAGAACCCCATTCCTTTATTAATGTACACACGTAAAGGGCACCGTACCTGTGTTATGGCCGCATCATATGCGGGGAAAAAATTGCATGCGAGGATCTGCCGAAGAGCGCACCAATCAGAGAACCTCTTTTTTTCCTTGGCTAATAACGTAATTTAGCAGACAATGTTGAAAATCAAAAGAAATGTCATGTAAAGAGAGCAAGGTTATGATTATTTGAAGGAATTTTGGGGGCTAAAATAAAGGAGACAATGACAAAACACAAAAATGGAGATCGCAAGAATGCAAAATAACCTTGTTGCTTCCCAAAATGGTACCGTAATAAAATCACAGTTTCTTCCCAAAATTCTGTACAAATTTACAAATCTGTGCTTCTGCCTTCTGAACCACAACAGTTGTCGAAAATGTAATTTTTTCACTTTCTGTCCAACATGTTGCCACTTGAACTCTGTAATGTATACAGAGGCAATCTATTGGTACTTGTACAACGTTGTAGCAGTCCATCAATTTGGCTCTAGTCTCAATAGACCTTATAAGTGGCAGCCATCTTAGAGGGCAATGCCTGTGTTTTGCTGGGATATGCATTTATAAGTGAACCTTTTGTGTGTTTGTTGTTACTGAATTAAATTAAAAGATGCCCTCTATGATAGCTGCAAGCTACGCATGTCTGAACCCAACTATAGTTGAAACCTAAACACAAAGGAGAATAATGAATTAATTTGGTGACTTCCTTATCCGTTATCATTTACAGGGTGTGCTGGGACGCTGATTGGGATGGCAAGTAAGTACTCGAGTTAAATTTATACTTTACTAAGAGGATTGCATGACCTTATACTGATTTGAAATCATACGCGTAACTTCCTTCATAAAGCCTATTTCTGCCCTTTCACATCATCTTTACTCTGAACAACAATAGACTAATCCATTAAGCCCCGCCCCTTGATATGTTGACCAATCACAGCTGTGATTAATGTCCGTCATGTGTGCACAAAGTCTGACATGAGTTCCCATGCGTATGACCCGTGCGGCTGAAACATACAGTGTGATATGGGAGAGGCGCACGTGTTGTTGCCACACATTGTTGCACATAGGTTTGTGTAGTGAATGGGGCCTAATGGTTGATCTATTGTTTGCCAGATCTCGCTCTAAGATTCAAAGTTCCACATTCCAAAGACCATGTTGGGTTGGACACCCCTTAAGCAATCGTTTTTGTAAGAACGGAGGGGTTTAAATACCCAAGTTTAATACCACTTTAACTTTCAAAGAAATAATCTTAAATGATATTAAGCTGGCAAAGACTGTGGTTTAAAAAAAAAGTCCTTTATTCCTTTTAGTCCCGTGCAGCTTTGCTGTGAGGGCTACACTGGTCGCGTCGAGGATGGCTGCCCTACACGTACGTGCTGATTTCTTGATTCATTTATTCATTTATTTATATTATTTTACTACGGTAGCCCCATCAGTTTTCCAATGAACTGTTATACTGGGGGGGGGGGGGGGGCCTTGAGTACATTTAAATTAAAAAACATTGAACAAGTATTATTTATTAGAAAAATCATAAAATCTAAGAGAAATTGACAGGGGCAGATTTTGAACCAGTGACCTCTGGATTACACTACTGGCGCTTGAGCTTTTCAGCCCAATGTACTTTAAAGTAGTCATTTTTGTCAAAATATTCGTTCAATTTACAAAATACAAGTATTAAAAAAACGCAAAGAGATTCAGACAGCTTATCTGAGGCCCCTCTGACTTTTTTAAATTTTACAATTTGTTTGGGTTCACTCTACAGCTGTGTGCAACTCACCATGCCAGAACGGAGGAACGTGCGCTGCACCGGACCATTGCGTATGCACCAAGGCATACACTGGGGATACTTGCAGTAGTAAGTTTTTTTTATGAAACTAAAAGTTCGAAATTGAACAGAGACAGAACATCTTTGAAATGTACACCAGTACAAACTTTCCATCAATAGGCATACATGTAGTTGTGACTACATTTGATTCCCTTTGTAGCACCAGCTTAAAGGTACACAGGATCACTTAGTCTTCGTGCCTTTATTCGTTTGAAGTATTGAACCTAAGTGTGCCTGTGGGCGCACTTTTTTAGAACCTCCTTTAATAATTGTTTTCTTTTGATTTAAGCCATTTCTGCTGTACTAATTGCACAGGATATTTGGGACCATACCCTATCTGCACTTTGAGCATTGATTTTCTCATTCTGTTGGTTTAAAATTACGGGTAATTACTAACGTTCCTACGTGCCTTTAAGTTGTGCTGTACTTTTTGTTTTGTTTTGTCCTTTTTTTCAGCTTTGAAGAAGGAATACCGATGGAGCGATTGGGTGAATTTGGACCGGGAAAACATCATCGGTGATTTTGAGACATTGTATCACATCCGTGCAGTGTAAGTTACTCTTTATGAAAACCATCAGTTAAAGGGTGGCTGGTGTAGTTGACTGGAGACATGACCGCAAGAAATGAGGACACGCAATGACATAGGTTCTGTAATTTCATTGATCTCTGTGTTTGGATGTTCCTTGACTGGTATCCACATTTCTTGACAGGCTGGATGTATGTAAGAACAGCGTCCCTGAGGACATTGAGTGTCAGACTGAAGAAGGCATCGATCACACCGTTTTGGGCCAAGTACTGACATGTGACCGCCGCTTGGGCCTGAAATGCCGGAATGACGAGCAGCCTAGTCCTGACACGCACTGCCTGGACTACCGGGTCAGGATCCTGTGTCCGGTTAAGGATGTGGGTGAGTTGACCTCGTGACCTTTTGTGTCCATGAGTTTCTTTACCTAAAATAGTTGCAATTATTGATGAGGAAATAGGGTACTGTGTATGGGAATTCATGACACACATGAGGATGGGGGGAGCATTTTGTCTTGCATTGGATAACATTTCTAGCATCTAGTTTGCTTGCCTGCCATTAAGACGACTCTGTCAAGACTCTCATGATATTTGTTACTGTTCTTGCAGCGACCAAGACTGGCTTCACTTGCATCCAGAAGACGCTGGAGTACAGTGCCAGAGAGGTTGTGAAGGAGGGTGATTGCTCAGCGTGGTATGTTTCCTTTCTTATTGGATAAAATCGTTTACTTGCAACAACAATGAAAGCCTCGCTACCAGCCCCAAAAAACAAAAACTTACAAGTCACAGTGTGCTCACAAGACATGGTTACCACTCTTAAACAGGTGAACGGTCAAAAAAACTGTTGACCAGCCAAACTCTGGTTACCAGTCAACCTGGTACCAGTCATAAAACCGAATACCAGACAACAACTGGCTATCTGACAAAAACTAGTCCCTCACCACAATAGCATGCTTATTTTTGTTTGTCAGCAAAATTATCATCTGTTTGTGCTGTTGCTACATTCAGACTTCTGTCCTACTTCATAATCAAAGTTGTTTTTTTCTCCTGTTGATGCAAATTGGAAGAAGGGCATTTTGTGATCAAAACTTTTCAATTTGTAATTTGGACAATTAAAATGACTGACTTTTTGTAAAGTTTTGGTATTGTATTGCCAAAGTCATTGGCCAATATAAGTTGACACTGTATGTCACGTTAATTAAAATTGTGTCATTTACCCTCCAACAGAAATCTGTAACGTAAGATCAGTGTGTAAAATGAGATTTGCTTAGTACATGATGTATGTAGTGTTCTCAGGAACAGTCAAAACAATTCACTTATTTATTGTTGTTGTTCTTATGATTCAATTGTTCTTTTCAGTGAGTGTCAGTTGGATGGACGTTGGGAATGTCACAGGGATGAAGATTACTGTGATAGTAAGTGGCTGCAATTTTCTGAGAGCACGTATTTTTTAAATTCCTTCTTCGCGACTGGTCTTAAAGACTCATGTAGCATAATTGATTGTGCTTGAATCCTTTTTGCTTTTGTTTTACCATGACCTTATTATTGATGCTGTTGGAAAAAGTATGAACTGTACTCTCTAAAAATATGGAAGGCAAAATGGGCAGCATTCAGAGGCATGGATACCTTCGCATCATAAATTAAAAGTTGTTATCAAGTGTCAAAGAATAGAATATAGTAATATTATCTTCTGATGTTCAATTTGTCCCTTCTTCCCGTAGCTCCCATTTCCACGACCCCAGCACCTCAGTTCTCGTGGCTTCCATCTGGTAAGTTTGTAAGTTTGAGGTGAGAGACAAAAACAAAACTCACAAAATTATTTATTACCTTAGCTAGGTAAATACATACATGTACCATACATAAAACCTGTATAGCTCTGTGGATCAGCTAAATATATATTTTGTATGTTTAATTTCCTCAGTTCACTCCTGATAGTACTGTTGTCATTTTTAATTTTTTGTTTGGGTAGGCGTACAGACTGGCCAATGCATTGTGGGTGAGACTGTCTTCAATCACGGTGACACCACGACCCTGGATTGTAAGATGTGGTAAGCAAAGGGGCGGGGCAAATGTTAGTTTGTAGGAGGGGGATACTTTGTTTATAGTACATTGTGTTGTGTAGCCGCATACAAGAGTTCCAGCATCAGGAGCACCCTATGGCTCCACATTTGTTTGCTTTTTGATTATTGTATCAAGAAATTATCCTCAGAAGTTGATCATTACAAAACAAAACAGATATAAATAGTTCCACCCACTGCCCATGTAAGTATGGTGTACATGTTCATTCCTACAGAGCAGACTTGTATTGCTACTTTCTTACCTTATTTCCTGCTTGTGGTTTCCTTACAGTACCTGTGACATGACTAACGGCTGGTCCTGTGTCGACATTGATGACCCGACCTGTGTAGCGCCCCCTGATGGTCAGTCTTTACCACGTCATTCATTATTGTAGAGAGTTCATGGCAATTGAAATTGAATTCTCCTGATTGCAACTCAATCATATAGTTTGAAATTTTCTGTTCCATAAAATCTTATGGAAACAAATTGGGCTGCTTTCCTGCCATAAATTGCCTGAAAATATGTAATTTTAGAAAGAAAAACCTGGTGGGCTTTTGGTCAAGTTACAAGATATTTGACGAAACTGTGAGCATTCCTCTGTTATTGTTCATCCGCTGTTACTTATAATTGGTCTAGTTGACTGAGCGACTTGTAATTTAGTTCAAATTCTTAGCCGTATTCTTTGATTTTGTGGTTCAGATGACTACTGCCGGATCGACAATCACTTCATCTTCTTCCATGGACAGACAGCGAAGAAAGATTGCAACACATGGTGAGTTTGTTACACCCCAACTATAACTGTTGGACAGTCAAAAACCATAGTTGGGACAGTCGCCAACAATCCTAACCGTAGTTGGGAAAGTCCCAGTCATAGTTGGGGCGATGCTATAGTTGGGATGTAACAAGTTCATCTCCTGTCTAAATCATTAGATATGTGCCTAATTCAAATAAGCAATCTATTTTCTGCTAACTATGTCCAGTTCATCTGGACAGTAAGCAGTAAGCGTAGTTATTAGCATGCTAATGTCAGTGGCTAACTTTGCTCAACACAAGGAAGCAACATTAATCGTTTCTGTACATCGGCAAGTGTTAACACATTTCCACCATGAAATGCTCTTCAGCTTTTGTTTATATATTTGTATCTGTATCTGTAGCGTACTGCAAGCAAACTCCACTATGGGATATACGGTTGCAGGCGCGTGGTGGCTAGCAGCATCCCTAAACAATTTTGTTAGTAGGCCCCCTTAGTGTTGAAGACAACTGCATCTCATGGAGTCTTGACTTAAAGGACTCCACTGAAGTAGCTTCCCTGACTTCTGGAGGAAGTAGGTTCCACTGAGCTGTTGTTCTTGGTACGAAAGAGTATCTGTAGCAGTCCTTCTTAGATGTAGGGTGAACAAAGGATAATGAAGATGATTTTCTAGTTGACATTTTGTCCCGTTTGGAATCAACTTGGTACTGATCAACATCAATTGCGATTTTGTGGTGAATGGATTTGTAGAGCAAGGTTAGTCTGGATATGATTCTGCGTTCCTCCAATGATTTCCATCCGAGGTGGGTGATCATGGATGAGACACTACTTGTGCGCCTGAAGTCCTTACAGACGAACCTGGCCGCTCTGCGTTGGACAGCTTCAAGTTTATTTTTGTGGTCCTGATGGTATGGATCCCATATGCTGGCGCAATATTCTAACTTGTGTCTGACCAGGGTCTTATATGCAGTTTCTTTAACTTTGGTGGAGCAGCTGAACAGATTCCTGCGCAACAGTCCAAGAACTTTGTTTGCTTTAGTAGTAGAGTTACTTATGTGTTCGGCCCAGTTCAGTTTGTTGTTTAATTCTACTCCCAGGTAGGTGTGATTTGTGACTGTTTGGAGAGAATTGCCGTTTATCTTGTAAGATGACAGAAGAGGTTTCCTTTTGTGGGTCATGTGCATGGCGTAACATTTGGTGACGTTAAATCGCATCTGCCACTTGGACTCCCAGTTACAAAGGGTATCGATGTCGTTTTGTAGTTTCTTGTTGTCTTCTGGAGTTTGAACTTCACGGTATAATATGCAGTCATCTGCCAGAAGTCTCACTTGAGATGAGATTCCTTCCGGAAGGTCGTTGAGATACAAGATGAAGAGTAGCGGTCCAAGCACAGTGCCCTGGGGCACTCCTGATGTCACAGCTATTGAACTAGATGAACTGCCCTCTAAGACTACTTGTTGAGATCTTTTTGTAAGGAAAGTGTTGATCCAGTGGAGTAGAGAGCCAGAGATCCCAACATGTTTCAGCTTTGACAATAATCTCTGATGTGGAACTAGGTCAAACGCTTTGCTGAAATCCATGATGATTACATCGGCTTGCCCTTGGTTATCTAGGATTTTAGCGAGGTCGTTTACGGTCAGGGTGAGTTGGGTTTCACACGATCGGCCTTTGCGGAACCCATGCTGTTCATTGTTGAGAACGTTGTACTGATCAAGGTGACACATGATGTTAGAGTGGATAATATGTTCAAGCAACTTGCAAGGGATGGATGTCAGTGAAATTGGCCTGTAATTTGATGGATCTGAACGGTTTCCTTTTTTGAAGATAGGTGAGACGTTAGCCCTGAGCCAGTCGTCTGGCAGCTCCCCGGTATCAATGGATTTCTGGAAAATTTGTTGTAGGAGTGGAGCAACACTGTCAGCACATTCCTTCAGGATCGTTGGAAGGATGCCATCAGGGCCTGGTGCTTTCTGTGGTTTTAACTCTTTCAATAGCTTTTTGATGCCCGCAGTTGTGATGGTAATAGAAGACATTTGTTGAAACTTCGGACTGTCAAGGTTTGGGATGTTGTCACAGTTTTCCTTAGTAAAGATAGACTGAAAATGACTGTTTAAGGCATTTGCTTTGTCAATGGGTGTTGTAGCAATACCATTAGCAGTGTTGAGTGTTGAGACACCAGTTGAGCTTTGCCTGAGACTTTTAATGTATCTCCAAAAGGGCTTGGTGTTGTTTGATGTCAAGTTTTCACCTAAATCCAGCAGATGTTCACTACGAGATTTTCTTAAAGTACGGTCTAAGAGGCGGCGCAGCTGTCTGAAGATTTCCCAGTCTGAAGATTTCCCAGTACTGTTAAACAGCTGAAATGTGATTGAGAAGACATCTTTACCTGTAAGCTGGCGGGTGTGGGTTCGATTCCCACCTAAATAAGTGCTATTGAATTTTGTTGAAGACCTCTGTTGCAGCACAATTAAAGCATTTATGAGGTCTGTTAGTTAAGGCCAAAACCCATTATTGAAACATTTACCAATGATATTGTAAAAGAATTGTAATGGTGTGCTTTTGTCCTTCTTTAACTTAATTTGTTTTTTCTTCAATTTTTTTTGGTCCTGATCAGCATCTGCAAGAACAGCAAATGGGACTGCACTCAGACTATCTGCCCTGACAAGACTAACAGGATGGAATACTTCCTACGGTGTGTCAATCCCGAGACCAACAATCGCCATGACGACGGGGAGATCGTCAAGAGAGACTGCAACGTCTGGTGAGTTATTTGCAGTTTTCACGGATGTCGCTGAGGGACAGTGTGGAGTTGTGGAGGGGTGTTTGCAGTACATGTATGGTTATTGTGATTAAAAGAGCAATTTGCATGCCCAAATTTTTTGGTGTTGTTAATGTTGGTGATCATTATAAATCAATATATTGTCACACATATGCACCTAAATGGGAGCATCAAACTCCTGAGGGAACTGAGATGGTCTTGGGAATGCCTATATGTTCCCTGAGCAGGGGTTATAATAAATATAATGTAAAGCATTTTGATATTTGTGAAAAGCCCTATATAGATACCCATTATAATGATTATATTTTGGTGACTTTTAGTGTGTGTACTCAAGGCAAGTGGGAGTGCACACGTGACCCGTGTGAGGAGGGGACATCTCTAGACACCGATACTACCCTGTCCACTAAGAAGGTGTGTACCACACCCACCGGCCTGCCCTACCCCCACGGTGCCACTATCGGCCAGGACTGCAATGCATGGTGGGTACTCTGCTCATTATAGTTCATTTTCCTCGTTATTGACGGTTGTCACCAAGAATGCAGGTTCAGGCTGGGTTTTTTATAGTTCAGTTCAGTCAGTGATTCCTGTATTTGGCCAACGAACCTGTGATATTATCACGCATGCCTCATTGAGAGCATTGAGATACTTCCTGAATGCCAAGCTGGCCATTGCTATATCAGTTTTTATGAAATCAGGACCAAAATTCTGGAGTCTGGGGCACGGAGTGGAATCCCTGTTTAATAGCTAACTTTATTTCTTTTTATTTCATACTCCTTCTTAAAAATTCCTATGAAAAGAATAGTAGTATCCAAGTCTTAAATGCATCTCCCCTAATTTTGACCAAGCCGTACTTTAAAGGCAATCCATTAACTTGATTCTTCTTAATCTGCTGTAAAAAAAAACGTTTCTGAAACTCACAAACGTTTGTATTTGCAGCAAGTGTTTTGACGGCAAGTGGCTGTGCACTCGTCGCTTCTGTTCCCCCGAGACTTACCCCAACTCCACCTGTGTGGACGAAGTGACCACTTCACTGGTCAAGAGTGGCCAGACCATCCGACGGGGATGCAACGTCTGGTAAGTACAGATAGCTTTACAGTGTTCAGCAGTCCTGGAAATACTCAACATTTCCTTGAAATATTTTTCACATCAAGGGATATGTAGGAGTCCCAAGATATTTTCACTTTTTACAGTTGAAGTCTATTAGTCTTTTTATTTTATTATGTGGGATTGGAAAAGGTTGAAAGGAAGAGTGCTCAGATTTTCCTCGTTTGCTTTCACAGTTCACACTCAGAAAATCCAATTTTGCCCCTTCAGGATTTGAATCCAAAAAGTTGGCAATGCTGTTGATTCTTGCAGAATATCTGTCAAATGAAAAATTACTTTAAACAAACAAACAAACAAACAAACAAACAAACAAACAAGAAATACTCAAGCACAGATAAAAGGGGGAAAAAATGGTGAAATAGGGGACGTGGCATTTGGCTTTGACCATCACAAAGCAACGTTTACTCCGGTCATAGTTTGCATACACATCTTCATATCGAGAATTGTAAGGGAGTTGTTGCACATTCCTGAACACATACTTTCTTCAACATTTATCCAAAAGAAGCAAAGATGCGTCAATTTCTGCTTGTTATTTTACAGCTTGTGCAATGGCGGCAACCTGACATGTACCACTAAGCCCTGCGAGAGCAACACCGGTAAGTTAATCTTTGATTGAGCTGGCTCTGAATACACCTGTTAATTACAGGACATAACTAGGATTTAAAGATGGGTTTCATTCTTCTAACATTTTTTGTATGTTTTGTTTTAAAGAAAAATCTACTTTATTGCAATTTTGGGCGTCCATTACCCTCTGAAGATGGCTTTCATTTTGTGCACAAATGAACCCGCCCTGCGAGAGACACATTATTGTCGGCAGCAAATAATTCAAATTGTGGAAAGAAATCATTCTAAACGTTGGTGGATCTCACTCAAAACTGAATAACTTTTATATTGCTAGGAAAATAGCAATTGAAAGATAAACATGTATGGTTTTCGGGTGAAACTTGAAAAGGATTGCATCTTTAAGTCTTCAGAAAGTCTCATAAAGGAAGACATGTTCTTGCTCTTCTCTACTTCTTAAACACATGCTAACACTAAAGTTCATTTTGATCATTTTTCCCTAGGCGTCTGCTTTGATGAGCAACGTCGTTTCGCAACCACCTCCACGTCTTTCGATCGTCAGTACCGCCCAGTCTGCAACAGTGATGGCACCTTCAGCCCGATCCAATGCAACCCGCTCCATGGCGTGTGCTTCTGTGTTACCACCCTGGGTCACGTCATACCGGGAACCAGTGTCAGGCAGGGTACCGGCTCACCAAACTGCTCGCCTTACACCATCGGTTAGCAGAACCTCTCTGTCAATGCAAATCATTCAATGTTTGAATATTATAATGCAATATTCATACGTGCTGCCAATATGGCAATAGATCCATTGCACAGCACCCTCAGGTCTTCATTCCTCTGTGATGGGCATGAGTAGACGCTTTCTATTTTCATTGTCTCTGAATTTAAGTAGCACAACTTGTTCACAGTGAGGGTGCTCTGTGCAAGGGGTCTATATATTTTTGTTATAATTTCTTATTATTGTGGTACAATTACTCATATACCCTTTGTGTAGCGGCCATATTTGAGGTGCTTGCTCTTGTTTCACAATGATGTGCATTAGAAGACCTCTTGTTCTTTCATTGTTATGAATACAAACCTTAAAGATGGCTTCTGAATGCAAAAGGTCAATACCTGCATGTGAAACACCTGTTAATTCTCACTGTCTGTGTTCTATCACCCAGGTATCACCAATCCCCTGCATTTCACCATGCCCAGCACACAGACTGGTAAGTAGTACCCAATATGTATCTCAAGCTCCTCATAACCCAAAAGCAAATCTCATTGTAGTTAACAGGTTGTTAACTTGTTTCACTTAGACACTTATATCCTTGATTAGTTTCATCTGATTATAAATTACGTATAATGGGAAGGAAACACGTTATTTTTACACAATCAAGCTTACTTGTTTTGCTCGACGTTTCAAGCAACATCGCTGCCCTTCATTAGATGTTGTTACTATCTGGCTGCTAGAGTCTGGTTTTAGGCTGTTCAATCTAATGTTGATTAACCTGTCTTCTAGACACACTGTCCCCAACCTTTCAAAATCTACCACTTTGTAGGAATCCAAAGCTACATTCTTTGCACTTTAACATTCAGGGGACAACAAGTCCCATGTGAAGTCAAAGTAGCTCAGCTCTACCTTCCTCAATCCTACAAAATCTTCCAAAACTTGGTGGGTTAGGCTTGATTACCAATATAACCTTTGACCGTTTTGTAACCTCTCTTTGGTGACCTAGGTAACTTCCCCTGCATTGAGACCACCCAGGACACCACTACCCGCCTGACTGGGTACAACACCCCCAAGTGCCTGCCCAATGGGGACTTTGCCCCTCTGCAGTGTGACCCCCACACTGGGGTGTGCTACTGTGTCACCCAGGAGGGTACCACTATCCCGGGTACCGTGCTGCATGTCAGCCAGGGACGGCCTAACTGTGATGTGGCTAGAGGTGAGCAAAGAGGGTGGGGTGGAAATTTGAGTGGGTGGTGGTTGGAGGTCAGTTACTCATATCATATCAATCAGCAACTTTTGTAGTTCTTAGACCTGAAGTTGAAATCTTAAGAGAATACTTGCATATAAATTAAAAGATTTAAGGATAATTTCTGCACTGCTTATGTACGAACTTCTCAAATTCTTCTTGTTTAGTAATAATCAGCAATAAAGTTCAACTAGAACCACCACACTTTTCTTCAGTCAAAGTTGATGTATGTATTGACTAAGACTTGATTTTGTTTACATTTTACTTTCAGATGACATTCCTGTTTCAACCACCACTGGTAGGTCAAAGCTTAACATTGTATGATTGGTTGTTTGAGAATTTGTGGGAGTTTGAAGTGTTCGTTGGGGAAAGGAGGGGTGGCAGCTGGATCGAAGTTTGCCCAACATATTTCTGGCAATATGGGAGCGGCATACCTTTTGTTGCTCTTGTGTGCAGCAGGCAGGGCATAACGGATCAGTCCATTAGCCCAGCTCCAACATGGATGTATCTAAGCTTCACTCCACGCATCCAGTGCCTTGTAATTAAATATATCTCCATGATCACATCTCTCTCTTGTTTGCTTCCCCCAGAGCTCAAGACCCCATGCAGGCAGGAGAGAGACAACGCTGAACTCTACAAGCTTCCCTTCGTGCCAGAATGTGACGAGACTGGTCGATACCAGCCCCTCCAGATCAATCGGATGCTTAACATCCGTTTCTGCGTTGACGTTAACGGCGTAGTGTTGGAGCAGACCATCAGCAAGTCTAGCTTCATGGATTGTGCCAGCTACAGCCACTGTGAGAACATCAGAGTTGTCATAAGTCATCATAAGTCATCATAAGCCATCATAAGTTATCACAAGCAATTACAAGTCATCATATAATATAACACTTTACAAGAAATCATAATCGCAAGATTATCACAAGTAAATCACAAGTCAATCACAAGTCAATAAAAAGACATCACAAATCAACGATAAGCCAATCACAAGTTATCACAGACCATCAGAAATCTTCACAAGTAACCCGAGTCACAACAAGGAAAAACAAGTCAAAATGAATCATCTTTTGATGAAAAAACACCACAAGTCACCACAATTCATCACAAGTCAATCACAAGACATTATATGTCCTCACAAGTCATCAGAATTTTTGTCATCACAAGTCAATCACAAGTCATCACAGGTCAATCACAAGACATTATACCTCATCACAGGTCAATCACAAGGCATCATACCTCATCACAAGTCATCACGAGTCATCACAAGTCAATCACAAGTCATCACCAGTCATCACAAGTCATCACAAGTCATCACAAGTCATCACAATTGTTCACAAGCCATCATAAGTTAATTATAAGTCATTTATAAGTCATCACTGGTCATCGCAAGATAATCACAAGTCATCAAAGGCCATCAAGTCCAATTTCCAAACAATCTGTGAAAAATGCATTCCTTTGCCATTGTTCATGGCCTGTTACCAGTGACCAGTTACAGTGACCAGTCTGTCAACAAAATTTAATTCATAATGAACACAGTCAATTCACCTATCTAGCTTTTTTGATGGTCTTTAAAAAAAAAGATAAAACAAGTCATATATTAACATACCAGACATGAGACAACAAATTGAAAGAATCCTGAGAACAAAACCAAGAAAACTTAATATTAATTTTTAGCAATTTTCTTTCAGATGTTCACGAGGATATCAAGCCTTACACCAACAAGATGGACCCTGATAATGAACCATACACCCTGCAGACCTACCCAGTCAAGGACATGATCCACAGTGAGTACCAGACACAGAAAATGCCAGGAAAAGAAAATGGCCAACAAATAAATATTCCAGCCAAACAAAAAATGAAGTGCTCTTATTGTTTGAACAAATAATTACGCCAATTTATTTGGCCTAGGACTACTTATAGGTACATAAACCTGTCTAGGCCGTGCACTTTTTATTAAATCGTATACTATACTTTTGTCATTATCTATTAATTCTGTTTTTCAAAAACACGCTTCTTGATCACTATTTGTGTGAAACTACGGGTGTGTCTCTGAAAACGTAATCGCTAACTTGAGCATTCAGTTACCATGGCTATTTGATGTCTATCCAGCAAGATAGGCATGCTGTATTTCTCTTTCTTAAAATCCCCTTATTTATTGATTTCAGAGACCCCACGCTGCAAGCTCCAGCGTCTGATCTCTCAGTTTGTGTCCAGTGTCTACCGTCCATCCTGCCAGGAAGATGGTCGGTTTAGCCCCGAGCAGTGCCCCAGTAATACCGATCTCTGCTTCTGCGTTGACGTCACAGGTGCTATCATCCCAGAGACTATGCGCCGTGTAGGGTATGCTGGTGTAAACTGCAATGACTACAGCAGTGTCTTCGGTAAAAAGAAATTAAGAAGATTAATTCAAATGTATTCACACTGTTACATAGAAATGATTAAAAGCTCGTTTTAACCCATTACAAATTTTAATACATTTTATAAAATTGTATTACATTGTATACAATTGTATTACATTGTATACAGTTGTATTACATTGTATACAATTGGATTGCCTTTTTAGTCATTCCTGATGAATCTTTAACAACACACATTATTGGGATGGGTTAAGTGGTGTAGGGAGTAACAGGCAGGGCTGTTTGGGGCTGTACAGGAACTATGCACTATTTGCAATTTTGTTTAATTGTTACTTCCGTTGTGTACAATTTGCACAATACAGACTCTGTTCATGAAAGAGTTTATGGCATTTTTTGACAACTGTCAACATCTCCAGTGTGAGGGACACACTTTGTGCACATAGTGGTTGGAGTCTGCTATTGTATGTACACACTTGTGGTATCCTTAGGTAAACATCAGGCATGCAATGGAATGTCCTCCCAATGGTCTCCCCCAACTCTCTCTGTCTAACCGTTGAGGGGGTACTTGTGCGCAGAGCCCATTGCATTCGTTCATTGTTTTGGTTTACGTCTACAGATGTCGTGACTCCAACCAACACCACTACAGTCATGATCCATCCTGATGTCTCCCTGACCCACTCCGGATGGGAACCCAAACTGACCGAGATCGATCACCCAAGACACATGGTCGGACGACAATACACACGCACTACCAAGCCAAGAGTCTTCAAAACAAGTAGGTCTTCTTCTGAAGTAGAAATGAGATATATTTGATTCACACGGAGGCATTGACTCTCTATGAATTGTGAATTTGACTTTCTTTAAATTGCATCTTATCCCAAAGGGTTATCCCATTAACGCCAATAAATGGGCTAAACCCTGCCCATTACGGATCAGAAAGGATTAGGGTTGTCTTCTACAGGGGCGTGGCTAGACCAATTCAAATGGAGGGGTGTGACAAGGAATTTGCCGACGGACCCTCCATTCTGGAACGTAGTCAGGAATTGTTTTCCAGTCACCTGGCCATTGCAAAATTGGATGGAAGCTGGATACTGTATGGGGGTGCTGCTCAAAGTAGACGATATTGGACACTATCCAGCAATAGATGGCGCTTTTCATTCAACTTTTTTGCCGACAAATGCACAATTTTGCCAACAAATATAATTGATGTGTGACACCCCGCCTTTTGCTTTGTGTGATCTGACCACAACCATTCTTTGACCATGATTTTCCCAGACGTGACTTCCTGTATACGTCAGCAGCAGATTGCCACCATGGTCCCAGGCGTGTTCTATCCCTCATGCCATCGCAACGGAACCTTCAATACCATGCAGCACCAGCCGCTCAGCCGCGAGGTCTACTGCGTGGACAAGAACGGCGTCAAGATTGAGGGAACCGAGAGGCGTGTGGACTTCCAGCCAATGCCCGACTGCACGCCGTACTGGAATAGTAAGTCCCTAGCGTTGAGACTCATGTTATCGGTTTGTTGGTCTGTCTGTCAGCCCATCTTGCTTCATTGTTTTAGGCGAGGTACTTGTGCTGGATCAGAAATCATCAGAAGTCATCAGAAGTCATTACAAGTCATCATGAGTCCATCACAAGTCTTCCAGGGATGAATGTGACACAGCATTCCCTTGGTATTGTTCATTCCCTGTTACCTGAAACCCTAGCAAACAGTTGATGGTTGTTAGGTCTCCAAACAAGCACCAAACATACAGTGTTTATGACATCATATCATTTGGAGTATGTGTCTTCTTATTTGCACTGGTTGCATCTTTGATTTTTATGAAAACCTTTCCTTTGTCATTTCTCACACAGCCACTGTCGACATGACCAAAGTGAGCAAGCATTGGACCAGTACACCTCATCAGGATACCATGGTAACCAAACCCATTCCATTGGACAGCCTCTTCCCTGCTGGATGTAAGTTCACACTTCATGATTTATTTCAGTGGATTTATTTTATTTTAATTCCTTCTGATAATGAAAGGGGCACAGTAGCTCGAAAGCTTGAAGAAACGTAGTGCGAGAAGGCTGTGTAGAAATGTAAAGATTTAGACGTGGGAGGAAATCCATGCATGGCATTCTGGGGAAAACATCATCAGGACTGCAAACCCAATCTGGGCAGGATTTGAATCTGGGCAGGAATTGAATATGGGCAGGATTTGAATCTGGGCAGGATTTGAATCTGGGCAGGAGATGGAAGGAGAGGAAAGGACCACTGCGCCAACCTGACTCCTCGAGTCAGCTGATTTTAAAAGTCAAAAGAAAAAAATTGAATTTAGGCGTTATCCTGATGACATGGTGACAAACATGTCCAGTTAGAACCTCTGGTTCTTCTCATAATTGTTTTTGTTTAGTAGTCTGCCTCCCTCTGGACAAAACTGCAGACTGGCTCCCCGTCTGTACATTATCGATGCTGATTGTGGGGCGGGAACCAGCCTACCCAGCCAGAATGGAGTGATTGTCTGGCAGCCAATAATTCAGAATTGTAAAGTAATAATTCAAGCACTAAATATGGGCTGATTGTTTTCAATCAATATCTCTAGCTTTTGTATTGCGAGAAAAATAGCAATTTCAAAAAATAACCTATTTTTCGGGAGGTAATAGCACGGAAAGAGCAACTTTAAAACTCATTCAATTTCTTTGTTCAGTGCACCACCACCCCAACTGCACCAGGCAGCAGGAGATAACGAGTCGTCTAGAGGGCGCTGTTGTCCCGACCTGCGAACCCAACGGCACTTACACACCGCTGCAGTGCAACGCGACCACCGGTGTGTGCTACTGCATGCTGCCATATGGCGACGTGCTGCCGGATACCGTACTGCCCATGGTCAAGGGAACGCCTAGCTGCTGGCATCTCAGGAATGGTACATCTTCATGATATTTTTTTTAATACAGAATTATTTCCCATATTTAGACAAAATTTGAGCATTTTGCCATGGTGTTTGAGACGATATGCTGTGGCTCACCATTTTTGCCTATGTATCAACTCACCGTACGCAAAGAGATAACGGATATTCGAAAACCATAAACAAGTTTGTTCCTAGTGAAATGTTCTGATCAAATTCTCAAATGCCAATGAAGTTATTTAAAAATTTCATTTTTTTTTCTACATTGCAGTGTCCATTCTGCAGTCGACCACTCCAGTGCCCGATGGTAAGTTTTCCCTCAAAAAAAACCTTTAACTCTGTCCATGAGTTTTAACAAAATTGCTTTCAGTTTTGGTTCCACAGTTGAAAGTAAATAATAGAATTGCTGATTGCCAGGTGTCAGCAGACCAACAGGTGTCTTCTGACCAACAGGTGTCACCTGACCAACAGGTGTCACCTGACCAACAGGTGTCACCTGACCAAAAGGTGTCACCTGACCAACAGGTGTCACCTGACCAACAGTCGTCATTCCATTGGCCAATGTCTATTCTGTCGATAGAAAAGCTATGACATGTGGCCGTGCCTTTCTGTATTCATTACTGATGATCATATTGTTTTTCAAACCTTTTGAACGTTAGTGTGCCGGTTGCCTGTTGTGAAAGGACCGTGCAGGGCTCGTTTCATCCGCTGGGCCTTCAGTAAGCTCCTGAACAAGTGCCACATGTTTGTCTACAGTGGTTGCCGCGGCAACGACAACCACTTTGAAACCATAGAGGAATGCCAGAGCACCTGTGGATACTTGAGTGAGTGAAAATAAAATTTCGAATGTAAACTTTCAATCAAATAACACAAAGTAAAACTCAAATCTGTGCTTTTTGAAGTCACACTGCAAATAGTATTTCATTGTAGACGTTTCAAATTGAACCAAGAAGTTGACTAGAGCGGGGTTTGAACCTACAACTTCCGGATTGCCATGCCAACAATCTACCAATTGAGCTATCCAGCTCCATGTTGGCGGTTCTCCAATTTGAACCAACCTGATGAATGCAACCTCTCTTTTGTTATTAACTATCTTATTCCTTTGCCCCGTGTTATCCCCCCCCCCCCTTCAGCACCCCCCACGGATCCTCGTCCGTTGACCTGTGAGCGTAAGCTTGCTCGCTTCAACCGGATGAACTTTGCCCAGCGTCTGACCATGAAGCGTCCACTGTGTACCCCTGATGGCAACTACAAGCCCAAACAGTGCCACCTGAGCCGAACTGATGACGGGATGTTTGAGAGAGTCTGTGAGTGTGTGCACCGAGCAACGGGAGAAGTCCAAGTCTGTGAAGAGGAGGGAACAAGGAACCTAAATCTTTGGGAACGTGTGGGTGAGTTTTGTTTCCCTTTTCAAGTATTTGTAACAACATCACCCAAGAAACGTCTCACGGGCTGTATTGATCAGTCTAATATCACTTACTCTGTGTGCATACCTTGCACTAACTTTGTCACGTATTTTTTGTTTTGATTATTGCATTTGTTTCAATTTTTCATACATTTTTTTGTTTAGTTGTCTCCACCACTCCAGCTCCAATCCCAGAAATAGACGGTTGCATCTCGGAGGGCGTCATGTACCATAGAGACGATGAATTCTTCCAGGATTGTAATTCATGGTAGGTGTGGCCAATGTATTGATGGATTGGGAGGGGCATGGATTAAATTGAATTGTAGGTGTGGTCAATTGAATTGCAGGTGTGGCCAAGTGATAGGTAGGTGTGGCCATTTGGGTAGGCCGTGAATGGCTTGTAGGTGTTGCCAACTGATTAATGGGTAGGCCTTGAATGAATGGTAGGTGTGGCCGATTGATGATAGGTAGGTGTGGCCAATTGATAGGTAGGTGTGGTCATTTGATTAGTGGGTAGGCCTTAATGCACGGTAGGAGTGGCCAACTGATTGATGGGTAGGTGTGGCCAATTGATAGGTAGGTGTGGTCATTTGATAAGTGGGTAGGCCTTCATGCACGGTAGGAGTGGCCAACTGATTGATGGGTAGCCTTAAATGAATGGTAGGTGTGGCCGATTGATGATAGGTAGGTGTGGCCAATTGATAGGTAGGTGTGGTCATTTGATTAGTGGGTAGGCCTTAATGGACGGTAGGAGTGGCCAACTCTGATTGATGGGTAGGCCTTGAATGAATGGTAGGTGTGGCCAGTTGATGGTAGGTATGGCCAGTTGATGGATGGGAGCCTTAAGCAAATGTTGGGCGTGGTCAGTTGAGTGATGGGCGACCTGAAATGGCTGGTAGGTGTGGCCTATTTAGGGATGGGGAGGGGCATTGGGCATAACGAATGGTAGGAGTGGCAAGCAATTTACAAAGGGGGGGGCATGGTGTATTGTTTACCAATGTCAGTAAATTTCAGAGCTATTAATTACAAATCTTTTCTGCATATGCTGTTAAGTTTTAATATACCATGTATCTTTCTTTACTTTCTTGCAGTGTGTGTCTCGGCAACAACCAGGCTGCGTGTACCAGGAAGTACTGCCCATCATGTGAGTATAGCGAAGGGAGGAGTACATCAATGAAAAGATTATGAAAAATCAAGTAATGCTGAAAAATAATGATGAAAAATGCTGAAAAGTTGACATTCGCAACCCACTAAATATTTAACCATTTCGCTAAAGTGGGAAAATCAACTCTTTGATTTACATGTTAATTAAACAAGGTTTCTCCAACTTTTTCAAAATTTCCAACAAATTTTCCTACTTGTTCTATACTTTGCTCGCCTTCCTTAATCCAATTCTCCAATTTTTCTGGAAGTTTCCTATCCCGTTTGAAATATGTTACCGAAACTTCAACGCATTTCCTAAATGTTTGGAATGCAGGTCCTACAAAGTGAAACAAAATAAAATGCAAATTAACACCCCCCCCCCCCAAATAAAAGGCAGTTTAGGCCACGTTTACCCAGGTGTATTTTCTGCTGTTAAGAGTGTAGGTTTACTCGTGCACTTATCTTTGTGGGTGCTTCATTACAGATAATTGTTACCGCTTTGGAATGGTGGAAACACAGTATGAGCGCGGATGTGAGGAATGGTGAGTGGAATTTGATATTTCCACTTTTATTCTGCCAGTTAAGGTCCTACATTCGAATCCAACCTCTGTTAAAACTCTTCATTATGATATCAACATTACCAATGTGTATTACTTGATGAAGCCAGAAAGTTTGTAATTTTCAAGTGAGTTTGTAAGTTTGGATTTGAGCTTCTTTCAACCAGAAGAAGAAAAGGCAGAAACGCACTTTGGAGGCCTACATTGGAATCCATCCTCAGTTAACATTCTTGAACAAAGTGTTCACATGTATCCATTTGTTATCACCTCTTGTTGCAAATAAGGAGTTTGTAATCTTGGAAAGTTCCTTTTAATAACTTGGGAAGAGCAGACGAGGTCCTACATTCGAATCCAATCTCGCTCACATTCTTTATTAGTACCGGTATATAAATCTGTATCCATACCGATAGCTAACATATGAAAGCTTCCTTTATTTTTGGGAGAGTAGACTAATCAAACAGCCGTTCAGCGGTTCTACGTGCGATTCCAAACTCAAACAAAAGTCTTGATCAATATGTTGATGTTCATCCATTAGTTACATCAAAATGCTCCCTTTCGGTTTGGATGTGCAGAGTAACATTTGTCCAGTGGTCCTACATTCGAATCCAACCTCAGTCAAAAGTCTTCATTTATATCCATAAGTTTAAAAATGCTCCCTTTAGCTTGGGATGGATGACCAATCAGCCATCCAATGGTCTATATCCAAAACTAACGTCTCTGTAGTGGTCCTACATTCGAATCCAATCTCGGCCACAATCTTTGATTGATATATGCATCGATTGATTATTTTGATCAGTAACTGCATTGGAGGAAGCTGGGACTGTCAGATGAAACCAAACTGCAATCCTGACCAGAGACCTGCCCCAGGTACGAGATTAGAAACCCACCAATCACATTGCTGCGTTCCCTGCATAGCATTGTGGGATATGCCACTCTGTAGTCATTTGCTTCAACGATGAAAATAAAACAGCATACCACTGTTGAAATTTCAGTTGTCATTCACATCATTCAAATCATTGGTTTGAACATTTTGTTATACTAGACATGTGAGATTGTAGCTACTCGACAATGTTCTACTTGTATGGATTCACTCATCACTGACTGTCACTTATGAATTAGAAGTGCTTGAAGTCTCACCTTGGCCCAAACGTTTGATGCAGGCCCATTGTGTAGGCCACGTGCTTGAAAAGACTTCCAGTGAATAACCATTCTGAATCAATTGAATAGAATTATGTGCACTCTGGGACCAGCTCTACTGGGCTTGCCTTGTTTTGTTTCATTAGGAATTCAAGATTGAGATTCAAAACAGAGTTCGACCAAATATTCTTATATTTGATCGATTCACTCACCCAATATTGAAAAACAATATTTCTGAATATAATTACAGTGGGGATCAAAATAACTATTTGTAACTGTGTAAGCTTGAACAAAGGAAATGTCTGGAACAGGATTTGAACCAACAACCTTTGCAACACTGTCCTGGCACTCTACCAGCTGAGCTATATATCCAGCCCAACGGCTTCTAGTTTATGCCGAATGAACAAAGACGATGACAATTGGGGACAGTGCCAACATAGGTCTGGATAGCTCAGTTGGTAGAGTACTGGTACTTAATCCGGAAGTCGCTGGTTCAAACCCCTCTCCAGTTAACTTCTTTTTTCAAGCTTACCTTAACTTGTGATTGATATATGGTGATTGTGTGCTGGCTTGTAGACATGGGAACTGCCACTGAGTGCCACAGGGACAATGGTAAAGTGATGACGATCGGATCATTCTACTATAATGACTGCAACAAGTGGTGAGTGAAACATTACGATATACTGAAAGAGCCTGGATGATGAATATGCAATAGAACAAAGGCAGGTCAAATGTCAAGCCCTGAAGGAACCATCTCAACAATCTCAGAATATCCTGGTTCCTTCTGCAACAGTCCATTTGTGACACAGGATAAACACAACAGTTTGATTTCAGTAAAAGTCTTTCGTATTTACTCAAATTTCCCCAAATCAAACAGCGCCCTCCCATTGTGTCTGCCATATCTCAAAAAGGTGACTTGTCAAGTATTCCTATATGGAATATTTGGGATTTATTTTTTTTGCCCTTTTGTATTGCTTCAATTAAAACCCAAATTAACTCTGAGTGTACAGTGTTTATACGTCGCCAAATGGCAAAACCTAATACTGATTTAGTTAACCCTTCAGTCCCTGTACCGCCCCAAATCGCCCTGCCTGTTACTCCCCTGCAATGCTAGAAACCATCTGTACACTATGGTTTTATGGTTACCTCAGTGAATGTAATACAGTGTAATACAATGTAGTACAGGTGCAAATGGTTAATCCAGTATTGTTCTTTTGTCTACTCCCCATGCAGCACTTGTATGTCTCACGGCCATGTGACGTGTGAGACCAACTACTGCATCCCCCGTAAGTCTCACTCTTCAGTTATTGGTTGAAGGAGTACGTTGGCAAGATGGTTGATGGGGAGGTTTTTTAGAACGTGAAAGTGGAATTGTGTTTTACATGTTTTAAAGGTCTGCTTATGCTTCACACAAAGAGAATTTGACAGGAAACATTTGCTTGGTGGCGCACTGTTTTGGGAATTGCTCGTATTGAGAGTTAACATTGAGGGGGCAATGCATGCTTGAACACAAGCCCAACATGTGCATGTTCATAATATGATGTGTGTGGCTGAAATATTCAGTGTGGCATTGGAGAAGAACACTCGTTGTTACCAATATGCGCAGAGGGTAATAGATTGGTCTGTTGCAAGCCATGGCTAAACGCCCTCACTCTGTATATGAGCTAGCTCTGACATCCATCGTCTTATTTCTGAATTCTTGTTCTCAGGTCATTGTTACCATGAGGGCACACCCTACCACACTGAGGATAAAATCATGAATGACTGCAATGAATGGTAAGATAATTTGGTTTTTCCAAAATACAGATCTTGTTCTCAAAATTGCAAGCATGATTCTGAATGCTGTGGGCACCAGAAATTCAGCTTCTGCTGCAAGTAAAGATGATTAGCCCCCCCCCCCCCCCACCATTCTTCTTGTACTTCTCCTTCTTCTTCTTATTATTATTATGACCCTCTTCCCTCATTCACACTAGCGTTCCAGAGTCTTGCAGAACCATAAAGTATTAGGAGCAACTCAGGTTGACACCAAACATAGTTTGGTTTTCAGACAGGCTAATGTATTGACTATAGTTTGGGGTTGTTCCAGACGATAGCAAAAGAATAATTTGGTTTGTTTTTGACTTACGCATGCCAGTCTGAAATAGGTGCTATTCAGCCAAACTGTCTGAAGGACTCTAACAAGCTTAATTTCTTATTATTTTGACTGTTTCTTATGACAGCACTTGCTATGGTGGCCAGTGGCAATGCCAGGATTACACCTGCGATCCAATCATCCGCACCAGTAAGTCTTTTTGAAGCTTTCAGACTAGAAGGATCATATTTCCCACATTCTGTCCCACGTGTCATGTGGACAGGAATCACTGCTAAATTTACAATTCATCAATAAGTTTCATGCAGAGGGGGCACCTCCCCCACCCCCCCCCCCCTCCCCCGACGTATTTTTGTGACAATTTTTTGTTTGAGCAATTATTTAAATAAATGGTTAAAGAGTTCTGACATCAATCCCAAAAAAGAAAAAAGAAAACCTGCTGAAAATCATTACAATGCAGCATGGAAATGGGCATAATATTTGAAGTACATGTATGCATAATAATGGTCAGTTTTGAAGAGCGCCCCTATTTGGAAGAGGGGTACCCCCCCCCCCCTTTACGGAGGCCAAGTGTCCGGAGAAAAGAGCATGTCTACATTTCGGCGTGGATGTGCGGTTGCACCCCCCCCCCCCCTCCGACATCAAAAGCTGGATACGCTACTGTCATGTTGCATATATCACTACAAGTCTTCAGTTTCTTTGTGTTTTTCTTGTGTGATTTGCAGGAGTCCGCCTGGAAGGTTGTGAATACAAAGAAGAAGCGTATACCAATGGCCAGACATTCTACGACCGATGCAACTTGTGGTATGTTAATTCAGCTTTGTGTCTTCATTTTGACTGATTACTTGCCAAGCCTTTTTATTTTATGAATCCTGTTGTAGCGCTACAAGTCGAGTCCAATCAATTAGTCCAACATGTACACTGAACAGAAAAGTTATAAAAGTTTCCGCCCATTTTGGACTGCAAATCCAAATTAATTTGAAAGTGATAGCTATAGCCTGTGTCTGTGTCTTTTACTACGATCACTGAAAATCATTACATTTTAAGAATTTTTCAAGCCAAAGTTAATAGTGAATCAACCTATAAAATCATCAGTATTTTAACAATTCTTGGTGATTTTTTTTAAACAGCCGTTGCCTAGGAAACAATGCCACAAGCTGTGACAGGGAGTACTGCAGCCCATGTGAGTAGACTCTTCTCATAATTCTTTCTCCTTTCTTTCGCCTCGACGTTTATAAGTCATCCCTCAGCAGTTGTTCAATTCAAGACGTGGATGGGAAGGGTGTCAGCCAGTATAGAAGTCAAAACTCTGGCTGGTTTGCATGTGCTATTATGGCCCAATGTTTTATTAGAGGTCAAATAAAGTACTGCCACAATCAATAGTCTTGAGAAAGTTATGTTGATGAATGTTTGAAGAATTTTTCAGTACTTTTTATAAGGTTCAGGAACACCAATTCTATGAAATTCCTACTTTTTCTGCGTACACGAATGGGAATGCAAAGCTTTCAGTAAGCGTTGACATATGTGTCGAGCAAAACATGTAATTTTGCCTCTCTTATGCCATGGACCTGCTGGGAAAAGGAAGTCGATTCACAAATATCTCGAGCTGAGAATTTATCAATGGCTTAATTTATTCCAAAACAATTTAAAATAGTGATCTGAACCGTACTGAATGGACTGGAATTGAAAACTTCAAACTCTTGACCTTTTCTATATTTGTCTCAACCCTACAGCAAGCTGCTTTGTGAAGGAGGTGGAAATCAGAAACACACAGTCTCAGACCATTGACTGCCGAACATGGTGAGATATTCAAATGATTTACATAAGGCCAAATAAAAAATAAAAAAACATCAAACATGTTTAGCGTCCCCGCCCGCTTCCTTTTGGAGGCCGCCTCCTTTTTCTTTCTTTTTTTACCAAAAAAATGATAAATTTTAAACACTATTACATTTTACTACATTGTAATACATTTTACTACATTGCATTACATTGTATTCAATGAATCACATAGTGCTGGAGTAGTTGGGGCAGTGCAGGTAGAAACAAGAAGAATAGTCTAAAGTTTACATTGAGAGCTTTTGTTCTGAATCTTCATGTTATATCTCTTGTTGTCCTTTGATTTTGTCTTCAGCACTTGCCACAACGGATTGTTGGAATGCGTAGAGGATGCGGAATGTCTGCATGTCATGGTGCACCCGATTGTCCAAGGTACTTGGCATTGTGCCAAAAACACTATCGTAGTCGAGTCCATCACAAGTCCCCACAAGTTCTCACATGTTTTCGAAAGTCTCCACAAGTCCTCACATGTCCTCGAAAGTCCCCACAAGTCCCCATAAGGACCCACAAGTCCCAACAAGTCCTCACAAGTCCCCACAAGTCTTCACATGTCATCGAAAGTCCCCACAAGTCCCCACAAGTCCTCACAAGTCCCCACAAGTCTTCACATGTCCTCAAAAGTCCCCACAAGTCTTCACATGTCCTTGAAAGTCCCCAGTAGTCCTCACAAGCCCCCACAAGTCCCAACAAGTCATCACAAGTCCCCACAAGTCTTCACATGTCCTCGAAAGTCCCCACAAGTCCTTACATGTCCTTACAAGTCCTCACAAGTCTATCACAAGTCCCCACAAGTTCCCACAAGTCCTCACAAGTCCCCACAAGTCTTCCCATGTCCTTACATGTCCTCAAAGTCATGTTTGAGTTTGATCTCATTTTAAAGCCAGTCCTGGTAGCATTAATGTGGTATTTTCTTTTCAAACTTCGGTTCTCTGTCAGTGATTCTGTTTATTATAGTTTTGTCGTTCTGCTCCTTTCCAAACTTTTGAGTAATTGGTGTTTATTTTCTTTTTGTTGCCAACAGTCAACTTGGATTCCTCCATCAAATGCCAATTTGAAGGCAAGACCTACACTAACGGCGACCAATTCTGGAAACAGTGCAAGCCATGGTTAGATTGCTGTCATCTTTTCCAGCATTCGGTTTTGATCTTTTTAAGTATTTATGCAAAAATTGCACAAATATTTTACTTCTATTAGCAGGCTCCCTTTAAATTTAAACAGAACACAAATTTTAATAATGTGAAGTGTATACACATGCAATCAGTTTTCAGTTTAATTCTTCAAAAATACAAAGCATGAGAAGCACATTAGTACTCGATCACATGCCAGGAAGTTGAATTTAATTCTCAAAAGTTTTGACAAATGTTTACAAAATACAATAATAAAGTTAGCATCGTCTTAAGTGAATTTCTTTCATGCATTTTAAGAGCAGATTATGTTTGAAATGATTTTGTGTAGACTTCTATTTGAATAGGGCAAGAGTCTCACAGCATTTCAGCCTTTTTTTGTGAGGTGATAAAATTGCGATAAAATTATAAACAAGAATTATGGGATACACATGAAGGAAAATCAGATTCACAAATTTCACATTTGGCCTAAAGGCTTCTTTAACTTCTCATTAAGGTTTCCTTAAGTTTTCATTGCTCAAATGAATTAAGTTATACCATCTGTGTACCTAACATATTTCAAATTTTTTTCAGAAAAATAAATTTTGTGGGGAAAGGCACTAAAACTTTTAAAAAGCTGTATTTTTGTCGCTTTTGTTTACAGTCGTTGCTTTGACGATGGAGAGGTGCAGTGTGAAGACAAAGCCTGCTCACCAAGTATGTCAAATTGTCTTCTTTATGAAAAATTATTTCGGACAGAATTTCAGTTGAATGAAACGAAATAGTTACATTCCATGCACATTTTTGGTCTTTTGTTTTGTTGTGGTTTTATTTCATAGAAAAGTTGAGGAAAAGTTGCTCCCCCTGCCCCCTCCCCCTTCCCCCGCCCTCCCCCCGCCCTCATTGGCTTATAGAATCTTAGTCAGCAATATGTGGATGTTCTGTTGTGTGACCAGTCCTGCTTAGTCAAGCAGTGGCTGGTGAAGTATCCTCGTAAGATTCTCAAGAACAACACAGATCTTCTATCAAACAAAATAAACTGCATCGCAGTTTTCTCCAAAACTTTCTGAGGTTATTATCAAGATCACTCCTGTGTTTCATGAGAACATTTTTTTTCTTCACTCCTGCCAGATCTTTGCTATGAGGAGGGAGTCGCCTATCTGAGCGGAGATGTGCTCTTGACCGATCTCCACCAATGGTAAATTCCAACTTTTATTACACCTCATGAATATTTACAAGGCAAATGAATGTCTTTTATGCCTCTTTCTCAACTTCCAATATTCCAAAATGCAATATATGCCATTTTGTTAAGTTTTAGAATGCCACTGTCTCTTCGCTGCCCACAGTCCATTTCAACGGCTGTTATATACTCAAGACACAACATAAGAATACAATAAAGTGAAAAATGAAGCTTAAAACAGTTGTGATACTGTCTCTATTCTTTAAAGTTTGATAACTGCACAACGTATTCACTGTTTTTAAATGGAGATATCACATTTGAAGCTAAAATCCTCATTTGATATAGTGGTTGTTGAACACAAGTACAAACCAGCCCTCCAAATTCTAATCTCAGCTTTTATGTGGTATAAAAACCTTCAGAATGAATATTTGCATCATGGAAAGGATTTTTGCTGGTCATGCCCCATTTGTGAAATATGTATAATATTGTGATAAAGATATTTGAATAAACTCTATTTGTCAGTGTTTTTCTTTTCGTTTCCTAGTACTTGCTTCCGCGGTGGCCACTGGGATTGCGTGGACAAACCTCAAGGTACTTTTTATTTTTTTCTCTCACAATTTAGTGATTTTTCAAACAGAATTTTGTTTATCTTGTGAGCTCTTGAAGTGATAACTGTTTCAGAGCTACATGGTAGGCTGTTGGAAAAATGCCAGAACTGTAGTTTAAGGGGTGTTGTTTTATTCATAAAGTCAAATGTTTATTTAACAATATTTTGGGTGGAACTTGCAAGTATGTGGAAGACTGTATTGCAATCTTTTGTTACTTCTGTGGTGTTTAGATGCTGGCCGTCCTGATGTGATTGAGTGCCCCAGTGAGCGTCCAGCTATCTCTTGTCTGACCAATCCCTGCGATGGCAGAGTCTGTCCGACCCGCCGCGATGCCGTCTGTGTCCCTGACTACTGCGGCCATTGCCTCCCAGTCTTCTTTGACCAGTACGGTAACCGGCTCCGATGCTAAAAGGTAAACATAGCAACAGGGATGGAAGGAGTCATCCATATATTGTTGGTGTTTTCACAAAGTGACAAAAACGTGGAAAATCAATAATGTTATCGATTTTCAGTTTTCTGGCCATTTATTTACATTTGACACATTTTTATTACAATTTGGCCATGATAAGGGAATCTGCGAACTTCTGCACAAGGTCTGTAAGCTGAGAAAAACACTGTGGACATGCTTTTAGTTTGACCGTTTTTAGATCATTTTGCAAAAATACTTTAAAAACCCTGCTTATTCTTTTCTGTAATTTTGTTTTTGTCTTGCAGGATTGATTTTGTGTCTGTTGATTGACTGAATATCTGCACAGCGAGGACAACTTGAGGAATAATCCATTTGATATGAGGTTGAGAAACCATAGAAGTAATGAGTTTTCTTAATGCCAGGACATTGAAGTAGATTATACATAACTTGATTTGCATTCTTAACTTTAACTGAATTCTGCTAGCTGTCGATATTGTAAACTTTGCTCTAATAAACTCTAGTAATTGTAGTTATATTCGTAGATTTCTGCTGTCTCCAGGTTTAGAAATGTACCCTAAGATTTCTTTTTCTTATCAATGGTCAACATCATCAGTGTTAAGACATTTTGCTACATCAAACTTTCCTTATCATTTTCTTCTAATATTAATACATCCTCATGGTAACATGCTCAATGTATACGTTTGCTTTTACTAAAACTCACAGAACCATTTTTTTGACAAGATATGCACATTTCCAGACAGGCAATTGTTTTTGGATATTTGAGGTTTTGGTTTTGAGATATTTAAATTAGTTTGATTTTTGGTAAAAAAAAAAAAAAAAGGGAAAGTTTGGTTCTTGGTCACACAATTTTTCCCCCAATATTTTCTACTTTTATTTTATCTGTGATAAAAGTGTAGAAGTGTGAGTATCTTGTTTTAAAAATCCAGCAAAGTTTTGTGTTGCCTAATTGTAACTTTTATGTTTTTAAAGACATACAGTGGACCAAAAATATTTGCCGTAGGTAGGAAAAATACATCATTGTGTAAACACATAGTTTCATAACATTGTTACAATTACATATCTAATTGTTCGTCTTCCTATTGAAACAAAACTGCATAAAATATTAACACTTTCTTACTCTGTCTGATTACTTGCCTTAAGATGTAAACAATGTATATGTAGGCTTATTTCTAATCGCAATTAAAACGCGCATATCGTCAATGATGTTATTGTCTAAAGTAATGTTTCGTTTTGTATGTGATAATTATGTAGTCTTCAGGTCCTGGCTAATTTGAATAAATTTGCATGCATAAATAAATCATACTTCAAAGAGTCATTTGTCATTTTTGCGAAGCAGTGAATTTTGTGAAATTGCAGTTTACTCAAAGAAGTTCAACCAACTTTTATCGAATTAATCAATTTATTAAAATGAAATGTTAATCATAAATACAACAATTTAATTCTTTATCTACTGGTTAAAGCACAATCAGTCAATCGAAAAACAAATGAACTTTCTATCGATCAGTGAACACATTTCAAAAATTATCAAAGCAATCAATTTAATAACTAAAAATAAAATCAAAATTTATTGCCAATAAGTAATATAAGAAATGTACAATTTGTACACCATTCTTAAATTGAATTCAAACACTATAAGAAATCAATGTGACTTTTAAATTAAGTAAATGAGGGAAATAAAACAAAACGAAATTAACAATTCTTCTACAAGCTTGATTGATTATGTCATTGCATAATAATTTAACCGTATCGGTTTGAAGACGCATTCCACGTTCTAATTTCGAGTTTCACCTCGAAAAATAACTTTTTTATTACATTACCAACCAGTGGCGTAGCCAGGAATTTTCAGTGTGGGGGGGGGGGGGCGTCATGTATATCAATGATAATTTTTTTAGAAACTCAAAAACTCAGTGGGGGGGGGGGGGGGCGACAAGGTTTCATGGACAGCAGGGACCATTAGGTGATAACGCGTTCGCACGTTAAGGGCGAAAGTGCATAGGCTACGGCCGCTACGCCCTTCTAAACAAACTTGCCACCTCGTAAATGTGATCAAAACCTGAAGCCCTACAAATGAATCGACCTGACCACACAAAGAAATGATTACAAAAGTGTCAATCAAGATAAGAGGAACGCCAAAGCAAGGTTTAGTTTAATCTGAATTTAACAGTAGAAAATGTCGAAAACGGACGTAAAAAGCTGGTATATGCAAGCATGTTTCATGCACCCTTTCTTTTTATGAATTTCCAACTACGGGGATTCCAGGTTTTTTTTTAACAGTTTCCATAAATCGTTGGGCAAGTTATTCGATTTTGGTCTGAGCAAAGACCTCGACTTCAACACTTTCACATATTGTGATTATAGCCAGACCTTGGCTAGTCTATGTAATACACCATAGCGGAGCATGAAGACTGGCTCCGTGGCTAATGGGTGATACTTGGAATAGACCTTGGCCAGTTACATCACAAACAAATGTCTATTATTTGCTCACATGTTATCGAATTTCTGTTGACGTGAGCAAGGGCGGATCCAGAACACAATTTTGGAGGGGGCCAAAAAAATTTTGGTCCCCCAAAAAGTGGGTCACAAAAATTACGGCGTGGGGTTCGGGGCCCGCTTAAGGGCCCCGAAATTTTTTGGATTCTAGATGCTCTGTGGTGCGATCTGAGGCAATTTCTGACCACTTTAACCAATGCTTTTTGAGGAAAAGATGGTGGTGTACTCATTGCCTGCCTTTATTGCGATGTCACATAAAAAAAAAAAAAAAGTTTCGTTTTGGGGGGGGGGCCATGGCCCCCATTGGCCCCTCCTGGATCCGCCCTTGGACGTGAGAAAGATAATGAAGAGACATTGCGTTCTTGTGCATCTTCTCTCTGTGCATGACCCGCTATCTCATCGATGTTTTGTTTTCAGCACACCAAGTATATGTTACTGTCAATTGTTCACACCCGTACAAATTGCCTCATTAAAACAGCTAATCAGGGACGTTGGTTGGTTTGTGTAGTGTCATTAAAATGGTCCGTACTTCAATAAGTTCAATTTTTATCTCCTAACAGAACAAGGGCGGATCCAGAACACATTTTTTTTGGGGGGGGGGGGCAAAACAATTTTTGGTCCCTCAAACAGTGGGTCCAAAAAATGACGGCGTGGGGTTCATTTTGGAGGGGGGGGGGGGAATGGCCCCCGTTGCCCCCCCCCCCCCCTGGATCTGGCTTTGTAACAGATTTTCTATTTGAATCTTTTGTATTATATCGAGAAAAAAAAACAGTTTTTGCCATCCAATTTAGGGCATCTTAACCATCTGAAAGGCTTTTATTTTTGGGTGCCTGTCCACACAAATCCGCACTGCGAGTAGAGAAGTGCTCGGTCCCTACATTATCGATTCTGAAAGTGCGGCGGTAACCAGTCTACCCTGTATGTGAGAACCGAATGATGATCGGACCGCAAATAATTCAAAATTTGTGAAGGAACTGCTCCACAACTAAACGTGTGCCGAATTTGTTTGTTCGATGCCTAATTAAAGCTATAGTCCATCATTTGCAGCTATCCAAAAAGGGACTGGCGTAATTATTGTTGAAAAAACATACTTGGTTGAAAGATAGTAAGGGAACTAAACTCCCTGTAAAATTATTCTTTCTGGCATGCTGTCATTTCGAAGAAATTGCAACGGAAGAAGGCTTTTCCAACGGTGCTTCTTAAGACGCACCGTTGGGAATTCAGGCCAATTCAAAACACGATTCAGCAACTTTTGATTTGAAATCGAGATCCTAGAATGCTGTTTTTCTTGAAATATACAGCTGAGGCTGAGCTTAAAGTTCATCAGGTTACTTGTTCAGAACCCTTTGAGCACTTTTGTTGCTTCAAACAAACAAAATGCACAAATTATGATGGACTATACATTTAAAAATGGGTGACAGGTTGAGGTTCAGACTTTGAGGACCACGTATACACTCACATTTCTTGGCGCGCTGATTACACAAAGTCCGCAGATTCTCTACTTTTTAATGACCTTTTTCTTCTCTTAATAATATTGTCAATTATACGGCCTACTATGGACCCGATAATGATAGAGTATGCAAAACGATAACGAAAAAAAAAGAAGCTTGAAATATTTAAATGAATGAAATATTTCACCTGTTCTGGACCATAGTAGCTGGTACCGGTTCTCTCAATCAGAGCTAACGGGTATCGCGACGCTGTAGCCCTGTTCAGCTCACACCTCCTCTTCAATCCCGGTACATACCGTTATTTCGTTTTACCGTTTTAGATTTTCTCAAAAACAAATACAGTCAACGAACCATTGACTGTTTTGTCGTTTTACAGTTTTGTTACACGATCAAACGGTATTAAGTCACACAAAACAATGACCTTTTTGTTATCTTTTTAAATTGTAAAAAGCGATAAAAGGTTAGTTGCTTTATTTTTAGAGTGTTGTTTTACAAAAATATGACAATGACAAAACGGTCAGTAGTCTTGCCGACCATTTTTAGATTCAGGTTTGGCAATAAAGCAATGCACCTTGGAATGTTAATTTCGTTTTACCGTTTTGGATTTACTCAAAAACAAAAACAGTAAACGAACCATTGACTGTTTTCTCGTTTTACAGTTTTGTAAAACGGTCAAATGCTATAAAGTCACACACAAAAAACCAATTAGGCCTACCTTTTTTTATTGTAAAAAGCATAAACGGTTAGTTGCTTTACTTTTCGAGTGTTGTTTTACAAAAACATGACAATGACAAAATGGTCAATAGTCTTGTCGACTATTAAGGTTTGGCAATTAAGCAATGCACCTTGGAATGTTATTGTGTCCTTGGGATCGAGTCACTGCCTGGCAAATTGCCCTCCTTACATTTATGTCGTTCGCACGACAGAATTTGTGAATATTGGCTATTGAACTTTGAAGAGCAGCGCCGAACTCCAATTTCCTTCAACATAATCTGCAACTTCTTCATACGTTAATACTATCCCGTATCCCTTGTGAAATTTCTTCCTTGAAATTTCCCAGCGCCATTTTTGCTTGTAACTCTTTAAGCCCCATCAACTGAATCGCAGTGGATGGGCTCAGGGTCACGCCAGGAATCACACCACGCATTACTTCGTGCACGGCATGGTCCCTCTCCACCCACTTGCCCACCGCCACAAAATGCACTACGGACTGTTAACTGTTACACTGAAATAAAAAAATCACGATCACGAGGCTGAAGATTGGTATGAGGAGACACAGCTGCAGCATCTTGGTCCGCTTTGCTCCGAATTATTGAATTTGAGAATTGTTGTTCCGATAAGTTATACTGATTCACGTTTACGTCCGTTTTGATACCGATATTAACAGTGGTGATAACAGGCAATGCCCAATGATAAGAATATTGGAAATAATGACAATAGCTGTATAGTACATGCATGTACAACGCCGCGCCTGAATCAATCCCTGACTTCTGATTGGTGGGTCGTTGATCACGTGTCGTTGAATTATTCGTCCCAATCCACGGCCCGGCTGCATTCAAGCGTTGTTTAAAACAACTGAATTAGGCCTAAACAGTCATCAGGCCTATTTATAATAAGTAACTCGCAGTCATTACGCTATTGATGGCGGTGATAATGTATTCTAATTAATTAATAGCTCCTCAACAAGACGAAGAGTTGCCATCAATTGCTATGACAACCCTTGACACGGGCATCGCTGGTCCAGCATTGACCTGCATGAAAAATTTAAAACTAACTGGCTGGAGAAAGTCTCATCAGCAATGCCTCATCGACTGGTTTGCTATGAATTAAGTTTACCTCTCTCATGCTGGAGCACACCGTTGCAACGTTCAACCAAACCGAAGGGACTTCTCATTTCTGAGACTAGGCCCACACTGCATTTCTTGGGACTTCTTTTTTGCTACACCAATTTCCCCGAATATGACACTGATCTAAACAAAACCTTTCATTTGACTGTTAAAGGGTAGTCTACCAGTTTTTTGGTTAGCCTATTATCCGAGATCTTGGAAGTGGTCAGACAGACTTCTGTTAAATGAAATCAGAGAGTCAAGTATAACTGAGTCTTTAATATGAGATGGAAGGTTGCTCCCGAGATGCGTGGAAACGAATGGGTGATGGAGTTCTTGACGGCAAGAGTTCTGGCATACTGGTGATGATTAAAGTCTTGCATTTGAACCTTGATGACGAAAAACAGCACGTGGACTCTATTGATTGCCATGGAAACCGTTGATAAACTGCAGGTTATTGTGCATGTGTGTATGAAACTATAGCACTGCTCGTTACTGTTACATGTACATGTAAATAAAAGACGTAATACATGTA